AAAGGTTTGCTTTTTGATTAAAAATCAAAGCGCATTCCGCACCCAGTAGGTAGGTACTACGTGGGAATAATTCAAATCTGTGTTGCCATTATACGCGCGTTATGCACGCCGTAACATAAAACAAAATGGCGAGTGTCACTTGCCGGTTGCGTTTCCATTGTAGGAGACGAGAAAGCTTTACTATCTATTTCCATTTATTACATGAGGCCGCTAGACCCAGAGTAGCCTATCTGCAATGTTATGACTTGAGATATATATTTTTTTAGTCTAAAATAGTTCTCAAGAGCACAGACCGAAAATTCTAAATATAATTCTCACACAAATAATAGTATAAAATCATTTTCGCAAAAGTTAATTGCGCAATTTTTTTTCCTCATTATTGAAAATATGTTTATTGTTAAATACTGTCTATAGTTTACGGGGGGGGAGAACAAAAATAAAAAAAAAACATTTACGGTTAAAACGCGATATGTTAAAACCTTATTGAAAATGTTTATTTACTTGGCCCAGGGTGGTTTGGGAGAGGCCGGGGGCAGGGGGAGACTGCTACTGCAAAGCATCCAAAACATTAACATTTCAACAACGTTAAAATTTCCAAATAAGTTTACTAATATACATCGCGTTTAAAACCGTTAAAGTGTTTTATTTAAACATGTTTATTGTTATTAGGCAACTCTTTCTCTAGCTTCATATAAACATGGCGTCCTATTGCTATATCAAATGGAGGGTAACTATAATCAATGTAGTACTTGTGGACTACAGCAGGTAATTCAGGTGTATACACCAGTTGACTGAAAAGACTTTTTGAAGCTTTTTTATTCAAAATAGATAGATATACTTAGTAGGGTTAAAAATATGTGTTTTTTTAATACATGTCGGAAATGTCATTAGTACGGGACGACACCGTAACGATGCGAATTTAGTGCGCTACGACAGAGTGAAGCCTAACTAGTAAGTCGAGTTATAAAAATGTTTCTACTCGGGCAGGACTTGAACCGGCATCGTCAGCATTCCGTGCTGTTGCTCTACCAATTGAGCTACCGAGTCCTACACCTCATCGTCGAATTTTATTCAACTTATTGATACATGCAACACTCGAGCAATGTTTAACCTTAACACTTAATTATATTTAGCGTATTAAGATTCAACGCAATTAATACGCAAGTCAAACACATTTTTTCAATTTTTAAATTATATAGCGCCGTCATGTGCAATTGACATATAAAAAAAACATTAAAGTTTCAAGGTCAAGTTATAAAATTGCAATTAAGCTACACTGCCTTTAGCGGCCTCATTTATAAATATCATTTTCTATGTAAAGCTTTAAAAGCTACAATGGAAACAGTCGCCGTATGTGGCACATTAAAAACATGAAAAAGCCGGCAACACGACGCAATTACGACATTGTTTAGAAAAAGTTTCACAAACGCGGGAAACGTGCGCGGACTATGTTTAATTGTTTTCATAAATCATTAAAAATGTCACTTGGCAATTTTCATTTCGGAAACATTTCGCGGACAGTAAAGACATAATTTGGTTATAATATAATAATGTCTCTAACTACCTATATACTAAAAAATTGAAAAAAATTTCATCATTCATTATAATTTTTCTTAAATATGGTCTCCTAATTCTTTGGACTTTGTTTGGAAAACTGTATATTAAACGGGCGGTAGTAATATGGAAATTCGCCGTGTCACGGAACACCGCCCACAGAAAGGCGTCAAGTTTAATCGCGTTTCGGCTTCAGTTGCATTTCCAAATGTCCAAACCCGAAATAGGTCGCCAGTCCGTCACATTGTTTAGTGTTCAACTTACCGTCAACTCGTCTATTTAAAAGAGTGTTAAATATTATGTTCTTATTATCATTTTGTTGGTATAAAAATTAGAAAACGGATTACAGTGAATTTTTCTTTCCGAACATATGTGTTTATCGCACAAAAGTATACAGTCGTTTTCATGACATATTTGAACAAATGCACTTACAATTTGCAGTTTTTTACTGAAAAAATTAATACTTTGACTCTAAGGTATACCAACGGTGATAGCTTAGTGCTTATAGCGTAAATTTCGGAGAGATTAATAGCTTATTAATTTTGGTAATGTAAAGCTGTTGTGATGGATAAGCTGCACCTGTGTTGCAGTTTGAATTATAGCCGAGTTAGATGAATTAGATTTAGACTGACGCTATTAATTTTAGACCACTGGTAGGAATTTGAGACTTAAAGATGGTAAGATGTTTCTAAAGAGTTGATTACAAACCAATGATTTTAGGCTAGATATATTCATGACGTATTAAAGATTCACTTGATTAAAAAAACACTTGTAACGGTTTAAAACGCGAAATGTCTTAGTGAAACTTTTGTATTGTTTTAGCCACAAAAATCGTTATCAATTATTAATGCACGCTCAAAAGTAAAACATAAGAAATTATAGGAAATCTATAACCGTGCCACGATGTTCTAGCGATATTCTCCTATTTTACACCCTATAGCTAAAATATTGTGTTGGTATCGTTGGCCCGTCCATTCGGATGCTTTGTAGCAGGTCACAGGGAGACGTCGGTGCGTTGTTAAAATAATTTGTCAAGTTCAATTAATACATTTCGCGTTTTAAACCGATAAAAGTGTTTTATTTATATGTGTACTACTCGCGTAAACTACGAACAGGATTTGATATTAGATCTACAAAAGCGATTTTTGTAATTTAATTTGATTAAAAAAAATAAAACTTCAAATAAATTTGTCTATTATTATTACCATCCAACAATAAAAGCAATAATCATTTTAACTAAATTTATATAAATACTGTCTATAGTTTACGCGAGTAGTACACATTTAAATAAAACACTTTAACGGTTTAAAACGCGATATATTAGTTAAACTTAATAAAAATAATTTTCAAATAAGAATGGCGCTAGCGTAGCAATTTTTTTTTTTACTTTGACGTAGAGACATCCTCCATCTTTAGTCTCCCCGTGACCACGGCTGCTGCAAAGCATCCGAAACGTCGGGCCGTAGTTAAAAATAATTTTCAAATAAGTTTAACTAATATATCGCGTTTTAAACCGTTAAAGTGTTTTATTTAAATAAAATTATATAGATAAATGGCGTTCCTACAGCTACAAACTCTATAGAGAGAGATGACACACCATAGAGAGATGAACACCATTTCCATGTCCGTCACTGATAGTATATAAAATCATGTAATTAATTGTCATCTGTAGTTTACGCTAGTAATAAATAAATAAAATACAAGCTACGGTCTGATAAGCCGGGACTGCAAAAGGACTGCTGCAAAGCATCCGAAAGAACGGGCCGTAGTAACGATAAATAAACATTTAACTAATATATTTAGCATTTTAAGCCGTTAAAAGTATTTTATTTAAAAGCTCTTTAGATTGCTGTGTCATTTCTGAAACGAAATATCGTTTTCCCCGGGATTCAAAGCCTGCACGTTTTCCGTTTGAGGTTAGGAAATGCTTATGACCATTTAGTTGCGTACGCGGTCGAATTGTAAAGATAAATATGTACTTATGCTCAGGAAATGTACTATAACAGTACACCGCGCCAAAAAGGTAACTAAATAACCTCCAAATAATCACACAGTGTTTCCCGCGCTTTACATTTTGTCGCCGTTACGGAATGGACGAAGGAAATGACGTGTGAATGCGATAAGCCGAGGAAGGAGTGAGGTATAGGCGAGCGATTTTGTTGAAATATTTGCAATATCTACACTAATATAAAAGCTGACGAGTTTGTTTGTTTGTACGCGCTAATCTTAACTTAATGGTGGAAATTGAAAAATTAATTACGTGTTGGTTTATTTACCGAGGTATGTAGGCTTGCTCTGCGATCTCTATGGACTTCCGTGGCGCACGCTGCAAAAACTTAATTGACTCGCAAGAACAACGGGATTGTCGACGTCGTGGGTCGTCTACACACACAATAGTTATATTATAAAGATGAGGAGGTATGTAAAATCAAATTAAGATGCCCAATTTAACAATGCGGATGATGTCGGAGCAGAGCCACTTACTTATAACTAAGCGTAAATATTTAAGGTCAGGTTGCAAAATCGCTTTCTCATACAATATGAACGGCTCCTTATAATCGCTGGAGCGTTGAGCGAGTCACTGGTTTTCTATTCCGCTTATCTCGGGTTAAATGATTTGTTTCGCCCCATCGTTATTCCCAATGGCTTTGTCTGTGTACTCAAATATACTAAATCGCTAATTAATAGATCTTTTATGGATCAAAATCTAGTTTATGGGTCAATTGAATGACTCGCAAGCGGATCTGAGTGGATAAGTTTGAAAAGAGATTCGGAAAAGTCTTGGCGAGATTTTTGCCAATTCTTCACGTTAAATCTCGCGCTATCTTTTCTGAACTGGTATTAAATGTAAATTTAGATGTTCTCTTCCAAATATATTATATTGTATAAATATTTTGATCAATCAGCAAATCTGCATCAATTTGAGCAAATCGTTTGCTTATTTCAAGAATTTTGACGTGGGAAAGTTACCACACTTACTAAGTCTACAATGATTGTAAAGTATAGTCTGTAATTTACGCCAGTAGTACACCTTTAAATAAAACCCTTTTAACGGTTCGAAACCTTACGTTTTTTTATATTCTAACTACGACCCGACATTTCGGACACTTTGCGTAGGTAGTATATCAGGTCATTGTTAAAATAAATAAGTTTAATAGCCTTTTGCGTTTAAAACAGTTAACAGTGTTTTATTTATATTTATATTCATTTTGATAATAAATTAATAACGAGTATTTTAGGAAACTAGACGACAACTAGACAACGACTAGACTTTAGTTAACATATTTCTTTTAGACAAAGATTAGACTAGACTAGACTACACTAGACAACGACATCGACTTGCAATAAAAGACAACATTCTTAATAATCACTTTATTTAACACATTTTACACTTAAATCGTTAGATTTAACATTATTTATAATCTGTAACAATTCATTCATATCCGCTAATATCGGTTCTCGCCGTCCGTTTGTGTAAAGTTCGTATCTTGGTGGTGTTTCACGACGGAGTTCCTTCCACAAACTAATATGTACGGATAACCCATTCTGAAATGTATAATATAAAACAAAAAAAAAAACCCCCCCCCCCCCCCCCCCCCCCCCGGGGGAAAAAAAAAAAAAAAAAGGGGGGGGAGAAAAAAAAAAAAAAAAAAAAAAAAAAAAAAGGGTTTAAAAAAAAAAAAGGTTTTTTTGGAAAGGGGGGATTTGGGGGGGAAAAAGGGAAAAAAAAAAGGGGGGGGGAAAAAAAAAATTATTTTGGGGAAATTATTCCTCCAAAAAAAAAAACAACCATGGTAGGGGGTTGGGGGGAAAAAAAAATTTTTCGGCCTTTTTGGAAAAAAACCTTTGCCCAGCAGTGGGGAAGTAACAGAAAATAACTTAAAGCTTAATATATTGTGCAGATTCTAGATGTATGAACTTTATTACACTCTGGAGTTCGATTATCATGCAATAAATAATTAACAATAGAAAATAGCCCATTTGACTAGTGCTCTACACAATTGAACGTCCCTATCCCAACAGTGGGACCTCTTGTGGGATTAAGATCGTCGTCGTCTTTAATACGCACCTGTCCGCTGTGAGCAACCGTTTGCCAATTGTCAGATTATGTCTGTCATCGACTATGACGTCATCGGGTAACACTTCATCCAGCGCGTGGGCAACTGCTTCTATTCCGTCTGCGCCGTGCTTAGACCACTCTGTTGAGCCTTCCTAAACAACACACGATCGCTAAGGTTTAAAATCTAGACCGGACCAAGGAAGATTTCAAAGTAAAGGTAGTATTAACAATATAAATGGGGATGCTAGAGTCATAGTGGCCTAATAACAAAAACATGATTTTCAATAAGGAACGAATTATTTGGCGAATATTGTGTAAGAATTGCGTTAACAATTTTTCAGTCACTGTTCTTTTGTAGATTAACATTTTTAGGCTGAGTGAATAATTCTAGTCATAAAATTGCAGTTAGGCTACTCTGTCTCTAGCGGCTTCCAATACAAATAACTGTTGTCACAAAACAAGAAACAGAACTAAAAGAATAAATAGAAGAATTAAGAGGTATGAAGAAATTACTATACTAAAAAAAGATTTTTTTGAAATAATTAGAGATGCTACTTCATATCTATATTTTAGTCTACGTGAGTATAAATTTAAATAAAACACCTTTAAGGTTTAAAACAAAGATTTTGTTAACTTATTTACTACTACTTTTTAACTAGCTGTACCTCTAGATATGTACAAACATCATTCAAATCAGTTCAACATTTTTAACGGTGAAAAAGTAACAGACGACAGATTACTTACTTTCGCATTTATAAATTATACGGATTTATTACCCGTTCTTTGTTTCACCCTGTGACTACGTCTGCTGCAAAGCACTCTAAACTAAGTTATATACATTTCACTTATTAACATTGTTTAAAATTATTCGTTACGATTTGTTTTATTAAAATCATTCCCAATATGAACAGCCAAAAGTAGACAACACATCTTGTTTAGATGTTATATGACTGGGGTATTTCCTCTACTATCAAGTGATGCTATTCTGGTCTGTCCTCCTCTATCATAAAAAATGGTGATCAAAATACCTTGGGACCTATGACAATAGCTGAAAACGGGGCTATGGACTTCGGCCATCTGAGAGAGGTCTCTGACGATAACGCTTCTAAACTCGCTGCCAACAATCTGTTCGAAAGAAATCATTATCAACAGTGAATGTAAATAAAACAGATGCTGTGTAACATCGGCGCCAGCCTCAAAAAAGCGAGTGAGTTAATTTACGCGAGTAGTACATTTAAATAAAACGGTTTAAAACGCGATATATATAATACACCGCTGCTGCGATGCATCGGACACGACAAATCCGAATAGGTTTAATAAATATCAAGTTTTAAACCGGTAAAGTATTTATTTAAATTAAAAAATGTTTTTGTCATTTAAGTTACACCCATGGGCGCAGCCAAAGGGGGAGACAGGGGAAGACAAGCATCGTTGAAGGTAGTTTAATAGGACTATGTTTATTGTATAAAGTAAAAAAATTTGACTAGCCCCCTTCTCCTCTAAGCCAGAAGTTACATCATAGCACTAACGCTACCAAACATTCCTTTAATTTATTATCACTACATAGTATAAAACAAAGTCGCTTTTTCTGTCTCTATGTGCGCTTAAAACCACGCAACGGATTTCGATGCGGTTTTTCATAGTTAGTGATTCAAGAGGAAGGTTTTTTCAAAGTTCTCAGTTTTTCTGTAGGGGGGAGGGGGGGCGAGTTAAAATTTATAACTTGCCTCGTAATCCCGATGCCATAGCACGACATAACCAACGGTGTGGGTTTCGAATCCGGCTGGACACACTTCGCTTGTAGTGGCTCACTGTACTTTGTTCCCAAGATGAATGTATGGCCGACCTAAAAAAAATACAATGACAACGCTTTTGGAATATCATTACTCAGATTCTTAGCCAAATTTATATCCTACGCAGACAAAGTCGCGGCCATAGCTAGTATATTATATATGTAAGTTACAAAAGTAAGTACAACTAACATATATTAAATTTTAATGCAACTAAACTGTTAACTGGGCTTAAAATGTAACTGAATATTACCTCAATACTCTGAAGTATCGTCATCTCTTTCCCACATTGTACACATGCCTTACTGTCAAGCTGGGTGTGTGAGCAGGACGGACATATGGCTAGCGAGTCCTCTCCAGCTGATGCTGGAAGTTGCCACTCGTGGGATAGTGTACCGCCCATGTCACCAGAGGGCGCTACCACTGAATATTGAAAAATACATCTAAGTAAATAATTGAGATTTTTCTACCTTTGAAGGAAAAGCATGAAATCAATATCTTTATAGATAGTAGATGTGTTAGCGACCTATTTAGGCTATTTAGGACATTTGATATACAGATATTTTAGTAGATAGTAGATAGAGGGTGGGAGTGTGAGTTAGAGTAGGAGCGATGTGAGGTGAGAGTGTTGCGGCAAAGTAGCACTTACAACATCGGCTGCCTTAAATGCGCCCTTACATAATTTAATAAACAGCCTGAATAATAAAAATTCTACACCAACACACTATTCCATGCCGACGAATTCGCGGGCACAGCTAGTTATATATAAAGGTATTTTTCTAACGTTTCATAGAATCTTAAATTAATATTTTATGCTTAAAAAATAATTACGGACGAGACTCGAACCCATATCCTTGCTCTTACCATACCATACCTTACATTTGTCAGTCTGTCGGTAAACTTCAATACGTGTTTCCGTTTATGTAATTTTATATAATAAAATAAGTTCTTAAATAAAAGAAAAATAAATATCTTGGAACGCGATTTCCTACTTTATTCTAATAAAAAAAAAACTAAATATTGTCTGTAGTTTACGCGAGTAGTACACATTTAAATAATACACTTTAACGGTATAAAACGCGATATTTTAGTTACCACGGCTGCTGAAAAGCAACCGAAACGTCGTTAAAAATCCATTTCAAATAACTTTAACTAACTAACTAACGCGTTTTAAACCGTTTAAATATTTTATTTAAAAAAATATTGAATTTTTTACTTAAACAGATTTTTAATTAACTAAACTTAAAATGATTATGCCATTGATAACAATTGCATGGAAAACCCAAGCTGTTCAAAGTAATAAAGCCATGTACTAAAATAATTACCTTGATGTACCGGCAGATCCAGCTCTCTAAAGAAATCCTTATAAACCTGTGTCACTTTTGAATATGTGCCTTCAGCACATTTAACATCATTATGGATTCCGTATAAGTCCATCATTTGAAATTCCCTCGCTCTCAACAGACCATGCTTCGGTCTTAGCTCATCTCTGTATTTATTTGTTATCTGCAAAGTTATTAAAAAAATTGAAAATATTCTGTTGGGCTATATAAATTTCAAGTGTCCATAGACCGCCTCTGTATCCAAATGGTTAAACGTTGCCTAGCATTGCGTTAAGCGCGAGAGGTGGGATTCGAACCCAGGGAAACAAAAACTTGATTTGGTCGGGCAGGGCACAGAAGTCTGTTCAACTGCTTGCCTGTGGAGGAACGGATCAGATGCTTTGCTCTGGGTTGTAGTTAAAATAATTTTCAAATAGGTTTGTATCTGTGCTTTTTAAATATACTAAAAGAACTGTTACGTACTGTCTTGAAAGTATGAATTAAAAAGATATCCCAAAGTAATGATTTACCACACCTGGTATAACAGTAACGGCAGCTGTTTATAAGATACAGGTCCAATGTCAACCATCAAATCGGCTATAGCCTCTTCGTGTGTCTGAAATTGAGACAGTAAAAGCATTAGACTTAATAAAAAAGAAAGAAAAACAAATGTATAATGACACATCATCTTTCCTAATGTACGGCTGACACATTTGTATATCCTGTCTATAGTTTACACGAGTACTACACATTTAAATAAAACCGTCTCCCCGTGACCACAGCTGCTGCTAAGTATCCGAAACTTCCGAAGTTAAAAATCATTTATAAATAAGTCTAACTAATATATCGCGTTTTAAACCGTTAAAGTTTTATATAATAATATAAATAATAATAATCTCATTTTCTCTATTTTTTTTATAAATCTTGGGTTGCCCGGCGGGGTTGCTTGTTAGGTATAAGACCGCCTATTGCACTTCATTCTAGGATGTAAGTATTATCTGTATTATTTTATTTAGTTCATTACAAAATCCAATTAATACTGTTACATATATTAAAGTTATTTATAGGCAAATAGGTATTTGTAATTTTGTCATCTACCCAACCCCACAAGTAAGCCACACAGGCATTTGAATTTGTTGTTGAAAGACATTGATTAAATTATATTTAGATAACTTTCAATAATAATTTTAGACTTTAAACCATTCACAGAAAAACTAAATTCTTATATATGAACAGGTTTGGCTGTTTCAGACTTTTTTTTTATTTTCTTGGTCGCTAACACAGTCATAATTAATCTGTAATAGTTAATATCACATATATTTAAAGAAACTAAAATTGCTCTAAGAGACATAATGTTATACTAGTCACTATGTAAAATTAAAAATTAATACTATAAAATTAATTATATTTTTAAATAGATTATCACATCTCACCGGTGCTAGTAAGAACTTTTTCTCATGCCTGTCTTCCATTGTGAACAGTTCAGAACCAATACTTTCTAATCTGCCAGTCTTTTCCCAGAGCTTAGCAGACGTCAGACAGGGAAGTGAAATCCTTTGAGCATGTACTTTTTGAAGGTTTGAGTGAAGAAGCTGTTCTAATTTATCTAATCCTCGTCTAGCCAGAGGAAGAATTGTGAAAAATCCGGCACTCGTTGGACGAATTAGACCACATTCTAGAAGAAGCTGTGAATAGATATAAAAAATGCATACAACCTCAATACATGGCTTTACTTTAAATAAATTTAAAAGACATAATATTGTTACTTTTTGACTTTTACATGTTATTTCAGTGTTTTTAATTTTCGCCCCCTTAGGTATTGTTATCACCGGTTGAAATAACCGCGATAAATACTTCATTTTTTATCCACACCTATTAAATTGTATGTTTGAAATTGTATCTTTTAGGTTATCTACACAGCTGATATTTGTTGTGACAGATTTTTTTTTTATATTTCTTAGCTTGGATACAAGTCTTTCAATTACAGAATAACGTTAGGCCATTCTATTTTGGGTACAGATAATATAATTTTACTGAAATTCTCACAGATGGCCCTGTAGCAAATTTTAAAATACCAATTATAATTTTAATAATTATTTTCATAATTTTTAATAAAAAAATCAGATATTGATTTGATAAAAATACTTAGTATAACTTGCATGATTAAAATATTAAAAGGGACTGTATGTCACGTATGACATGATATACAAAAAGTATGTATTATTAAAGTAATTAGTTTAATTTCGTGTCAAACACAAGCCATTATATCCTACAAGTTTTTAATAATAATAGTAACTCAATAAAAGCACATTTATATTCAAGAAGGAGCTGCCAATCGCCTTTCACTATAAATATTTATTTTATAACAGTTCTCTCTTCGCGAATTGATTTCTTTACAAACATTATTTATGTGTTACAAATAAGTGTGCCACTGTAGCAAAGAATCTAGAAAGTCTTTAAAAAAATGTTTATCGATATTTCTGAATATTTCTTTAACCTTATTTAAAGTGTTAACACAAGTTTTAATATTAAGTTGCCTTGATACTTAACAAGTTAAAACAACACACTTCTTTCCCTGCGATTAAAAATATAATTAATATAAAATCAACGTTTTTTATTTAGCACGGAACGTTGTGAATATCATGTATTAAAGTTTTCAAATAATAATCTTTAGCTTATCAACTCATTAATTACGATCCGTACTTTGTTAATTAATCAATTCATTATGGTACAGTATTCATTACATTCCGTACACTATTAATTTAATAATCTCAATAATTGCATTGATAGGTTTTGTACAGGTTAAAATTTATTTTGAAGACATTACTTTAGAGCACAGATAAATAATTATTTGTAACCATTATAATTATTTTATTTTGGTTCAAAGCAAATTAATGTAAAAGGCAACTACTAAAGAACATCGTGTGCCTTATTGTGTTATTTATTGATATGTGCTTGTTTGCCTTATTCAAATAAATTATACTTATAGATTTTAACTGGTTAATAATTTATTTTTTTTAATTTTTTTAATGCTTGTCTAAAAGAAATCGAGCGGCAAATTAAAAATAAGAGAGACTCAACCATTTTTTATTTTTTCTATTTTCTGTCCAAAATATTATATTTTTATAGCAGATATTCGACTGGGTTTCTTACACTCATTTATTTTCCATGTATATTTTTAATAAGCTCTTGTCTCGTGACACTCTACAGAAGACATATCTAGCAACGTAACGCGTTACTTAACGTCATGAAATCTATACTAATATATAAAGCTGAAGAGTTTGTATGTTTGAACGCGCTAATCTATATAGACTTTAAAACATTGCCCTGTAACTAAAACAAGCGAAAATACTGCGAGAAATGAGACCAAAATTTGGAAAATTATTCATCATTTATGTTTCGTACGCGTACACTGCAAAAATGGTACAAGATACCCAAAAAATATGTATAAAAGAATGATTTCTCTTTAAATGATCTAAAAAACGTCCGCGGCGCTATATGTCTATTTTTAGGATTTATTTGCAAGAACGGGAAAGGACGCGACCGACGTCGTGGATAACAGCTTAAGTTTATAAAGATGAAGGGGTTTGCAAAAACAAATTTACATGCCCAAAATAACGATTCTCGCGGATGAAGTCGCTGATACAACTAGTTAACATATAAACATCTACGCTAGGAATCCAGTTCCATCCAAGCAGTACGTGTTTTAATACGAAAAGGATGCGCAAATCAAATCCCAGGAGTTTACCGTTTCGTGTACTCAGTTGAACTCGCTTGGTATTTTAAACCCCACTACACCAGACCACTTGCCGTCCGTACACAGTTGGCGCGGAAATCTCGCTCGTTTCGCGCGTGTGTAAAAAACAAATCTGTCAGTTTTCGGCGCCATTGTTTCCCGCGCTAAATGTAAGTTTTTTTTTCTTTATCGCCAGTACGCCGACGCAGTTAGCGTACCAAACAGGTTTTAATTGTCGTGTAGGTACTTAGATAACGGAACAAGATTTGCCTTGCAAATTACAATATTTACTTTTAAATTTCAATGCCATTTGTTGTTAAGGCTCATTAATTATTTCTTTGATATATTTCGATGTAATTACTATTGTAAAACATCAAATCAATTTAAAAATAACAAATTAGCCCCAATTGTTTTGTTTTTTTATAACATGTAAATAAACTATAGATTCCATAGTAGACTGTACACTTATATCGTCAACTAACTTCTTTTTGTACCTACGCACGCGTATTCTAAGATTTATCCTTGATTGTACCACATAACTCACAGCAATTGTTAAATAGTAAACTGGTTTTATAGCGCTGTACTTACAAGATTAACAAAAAATACAGACTGTTGAGTTTCTGCAGATAAATACGCTGTATTAAATGTAATTTGATTTGCTTTACTTTAATTAGTTGTTAACTCTATTTAATTATAAATTAGTAGTAGGTAGTAGTAGTAGGTGTAATGGTAGCAACATATAGCTAACAACTATCGTCGTGGCTTCGATTCTCACCGAGTAAAACATTTTTCTAATCGAATTTTGTTAACGTATGGACTTAGTCTGGAAATATGCTTATTAAGTGGGGGATAGCGATATGCGAATTTTGTCCGTATACCGCCGTCCTGTTTAGTCTGATGTATATGGCTGGGGTGTTCTACCTGGCAAGTTTGTCTGTCCTCTTCTAACATAAAAAGCTAGCCACAAAATCGCGCTAATTTTCGCTTCGTCTTTCGCCGTTCCCACGAAAAGCGATTACGATTGCGTGCCCACAAACATTATTACCTCACCAAAGCCTACATGGCTACCAGCAAGTACCCCCATTGTGTTTGACCCAGATGTTAATTGCGTAATTTTATTTTTGTTACTACATAATGGTTTGTTTTTATTTAGCACCATGATAGTAAGTAGTGGCATCTGTGGCTGACCTCTACTATGTTTCCTTGGGATTTGAACCCAGGACTTTGACAACGCGATTTAATCACTGAGTCGCAGTGGCAGGCATATCACATAGTACCAATACTGTCTGTAGTTTACGCGAGTAGTACACATTAAGTAGACCAATTTTAACGGTTTAAAACGCGAAAGTTAAACTTATTCACAAATAATTCATCATTCATCTAGACTCGACATTTGGATGTTTTGCAGCGGTCGTGGTCATGGGGATAAAAAAAAGGCGGTTGAAACGTTCCTTAATGTGAAAAAATAAACTGCTACCATAGCCCATAAGTTTCAACTAAACGAAAAATAAGTTTAACTAATACATTTCGCGTTTTAAACCTTAAAAATGTTTATTTAAATTCAGTTTTGACTTTGTGTTTCTTACCTAAAATGGGTTATCACCTTACGAGATATACAATGATAAATATAATTATGGCTCTTTGGGAAATGTTTGCTTCTGGGGTTAACAATTATGACCCGATAATCAACATAGGCGCCAGTGTCGAACTTTGTTTACACTTTTTTATATTACTTGTGCCCGTTCCACATTCCTCGATGTTTCTTCGCTTCTATTGGTCACATCATGATGTTTTATAGCCTTAACCCACCTTGATAAATCTCTAAACAATATTTTTCAATTTTAATTTTTCATTCCCCCTTATGTTTAACTTATATTTTTATAGTATTTTAGCATAAATTTTTTATTTAATAAATTTTCTAAAAAAAAGTTTTAGATTATTTAAAGAGTAATCATTATTTTATATATGTATATTGCAATCTAGGAATCTCAATCAATATAGGAAATAAAACACTTTAACGGTTTAAAACGCGATATATTAGTTAAACTTATTTGAAAATGATTTTTACAGGCACAGACACCGTGTCTCCCCGTGACCACGGCTGCTGCAAAGCATCCGAAACGTCGGGCCGAAGTTAAAAATCATTTTCAAATAAGTTTAACTAATATATCGCGTTTTAAACCGTTTAAGTGTTTTATTTACATGTGTACTACTAAACGTAAACTATAGACAGTATTTGTATTCCTCTATATAAAAAATACAGACGTGACTAAATATAGCGTCTATCCGTAATATCTATATTATTTATTTACGATATTAAAATGTTATCAAAGTTCAAAGTGAGATGGGTCATCTTATCTTCTCTTAGTTACAGCTTCGAGTTGATTTGTGTTTTGTTATGAGCCTAGCAAGACGTATTATTAGTGTTCTATTGAAAAAGGTTCGTTTTGTGTCCATCTAGTGTAAGCGGTGAAAGATTAGACTGAGTAAGAAAACTTTTGTTTGGTAGTGTTGTCTCTGTCACACAATGACGTTTATTTTGCGATGTTAAAAGACTGGTAGCTGTGACTTCGTCCGCGTAGAATAGTGATTTCGGCCATCCACATTTGTTTTTGCAACCCCTGTTTTTATCTTTTTAAATTTAGGCTTTCCTACCAAGTAACCAAACCATCTTTTGTTTACTTATCCCCCCCTTTTATTACCTCTTCCACTGTTTCTCGCTCCTATTGGTCTCAGCTTGTTTTTATAGTATCAAGTAGTCTATCCTAACACAAGAGATTTTCAATTTAAACCATTGCTGAGATTAACGCGTTAAACAAACAATCTAATACGTTAGCTTTGTAACATTATTCCAGACGGTCTGTAGTTTACGCGGGTAGAACACATTTAAATAAAACACCAACGGTTTAATACGCGATATATATTAGTTAAACTTTTTAGAAAATTCTAAAAAGTTCAACTAATATATACATCACGCTTTAAACCGTTAAAGTGTTTTATTTAAATGTGTACTCGCGTAAACTATAGATAGTATTTCATACTAAACAAATAAATCCCCGTGTCCCCCTGTGACCACGGCTGCTGCAAAGCATCCGAAACGTCGGGCCGTAGTTAGAAATAATTTTCAAACAAGTTTAACTAAAATATATCGCGTTTACAGACACAGTACAGTACAGACAGTCTGTAATAATTCTAACTACGACCCGACGTTTCGGATGCTCTGCAGCAGTGACCCGCGTGTCACCCCGTGACCACAGCTGCAATAACCTTTCTCAATAAACGCCCTAGCAAACACAAAAAAACAAACTCCTCAGCTTTATATATTAGTATAGATGCACATAGAAATAATGTATCTAGCAACACAAAAATAAGCAAAATATATTTTATAAGATAAACATTTTGTTAATTATTAGTTGGTAATTGGTGTACAGGAGATAAGTACCAATTGTCTGTAAGTAGTTAAAGCGAGTAGTAGGTACTTAGTACTTATTTACCTTAACTCAATGCTAAAGTCAATATAAAAAGTTAAATTATAACGCGGACGACGTCGTGGGTAAGAGATATAATTTAAAGGCGAAGGCTGAAGACGTTGTTTGCAATAAATAATATTATGGATGTAAATAAAACACTTTAACAGTTTAAAACGCGATATATTAGTTAAACTGATTTGAAAACTCCTAAGTTTAACTAATATATCGCGTTTTAAACCGATAAAGTGTTTTATTTAAATGTGTACTACTCGCGTAAACTATAGACGGTATTGAATGTTATCGATGGCCACAATAACAATTCTATGCAGACGAAGTCGGGGCTGTACATCGTTTTGACGGGCGCGTCGATCTAATGGTAGCAATGTATACTAATGATCAATAGGCGTGGGTTGATAGAGGTCATATGTTTCTCATTTTTGAATTTATAATTTGTCTAGCCGTGAAGCTTAATCGTTTTGGATTAGTTGTGGATTTCCGAATATCCAAAGCAAATAGACAGCGATCTGGTTAGGTTATAGACTGGGGGGTCACTCCCAAAGCGAATCCCAGGCCATGTTGTCCTTCCCTATCATTAAAAAGTATTGAAAACAATGTTTAAATATTGTATAGTTTACGGAGTAGTACAATTTAAATAAAACATGTAACAGCTTAAAACGCGACATATTAGTTAAACTTAAGTTTTTAAATTAAAATTAGTTTAAGTATTTGTGTAAACACCGATATACAGATAAAATCATTACCCTCTCTTTTGAATTCGCTTAAAACTAGCGTAATTAAATTGTTTTTGTGAGTAAATTCATTAAGACAAAGATAAGTACCGCGGCAGAATTTTAATCAACTCGAATCTTCATTCATGTATTTAAGAAGAATCAATCTTCCATAATACTTTTGATATCTTGAAATTTACGCAGGAACGAACTGAAGCCTCAAAGATAAAAATCTTCCTCTTTTTCTAAATTTTCCAATTTGTTGTTTATTATAAGGATTAGATCTTCCTAGATAATACGTACCTAACCCAAAAATATTTTTCAATTTGAACCGTAGTTCTGAATTGACGTTCAACAAACTCTTCAGCTTTATATATTAGTATAGATTTAAATAAAACACTTTAACGGTTTAAAACGCGATATATTAATTAAACTTGTTTGAAAATGATTTTTAACTTCGGCCCGACGTTTCGGATGCTTTGCAGCAGCCGTGGTCACGGGGAGACAATTTCAAATAAGTTTAACTAATATATCGCGTTTTAAACCGTTTTAAAGTGTTTTATTTAAATGTGTACTACTCGCGTAAACTATAGGCAGTATTTTATTAGTATAGATACTAATATTATAAAGCTAAAGAGATTGTTTGTTTGCTCCGAACCCCCGGGTTCAAATTGGAAAAAAATTTTTGGGTTGGGCACGGTATTTATCTAGGAAGGCTTTAGGCTACATCGCGCTGTGACTAATAGAAGCGAAGATACAGCGGGAAATGTGAACAAAACGGGGGAAATTTTCACCTCTGTGGGTTTCAAATGCGTACGCTGCGAAAACTGTTCGAGACACCCAGAAAATATGTAGTAAAGAATGGTTCCTCTTTAAATTATCTGAAGAAAATGCCCGCGACACTATATGTCTACTTTAAGATTAACTTGCAAGAGCGACGGGAAGGGACGCGATCGACGTCGAGGCTAACAGCTCAAGTTTACAAAGATGACAGGGTTTGCAAAAACTAAATTGGATGCCCAAATTTTCTCGCGGACGAAGTCGCTGGCACAGCTAGTATATAATACGTCGTTTGTGTATTTGTTGAATATTTGGTCCATTCTGGCGAGAGGCGGTGAAATCTAGCTGTCAGCGAGAAAGCAGCAATTTGACATTTAGGTGCGAAACAAAACGTCCACTTATAACTTAAGTTGTATATACTTAAGTTACAAGCTTTAGCGATAATCATAAGAAATGTTCGAAAGCTGTCGTTTCTATAAACAAATAATTGCATAAATACTGTCTGCAGTTTACGCGAGTAGTACACATTAAAATAAAACACTTTAACGGTTTAAAACACGATATGTTTTAGTTAAACTTGTTTGTAAAAAAGAATTAACTACGGCGCGACGATTTCGAGTCTCCCCTGGACCAGGGCTGCTGCAAATCATTCGAATCGTCGGATCGTAGCCGCCTAGTCCGCTAGTGATTCTTAATGTTTGTTAAATTATAACTCGCACCACTCTATCTCATTTTAAAATGTTAGTCTCGACTAGTTTCCCCTCGAACTTGGACCACACGACAAGGTCACACTCGAGTGGTCAGTAATTGTGAAAGTACCGTCTTCCGACATCGGGCCCAAGCCGTGACGGATCATTGACCATTGACTGCGTACGCGCCGGTATTCATATTGGCCGGTTCGTGGCGGATATAGCGAGAAAATTGCCACGGAGAACGCTCAATACGAAAAACGTTCCTTAACTATTATTTCTATACATCTATAACCTTTGAAAACTTTATTACTTTTTACATGTTATTGCACATGAAGGCACTATATAATTTAAAAATCGAAAATAAATTGAAAAAAATTTCGACTCGGGCAGGACTTGAACCGGCATGGTCAGCGTTCGGTTGACTCCGTAGCTCAATTGGTAGAGCATCAGCACGGAACGCTGCCGATGCCGGTTCAAGTCCTGCCCGAGTCGAACATTTTTTCAATTTATTTTCGATTTTTAAATCATCTAAAACCTGTTGGTTGAAAGAATTAAATAAATTTAAAAAATCACCTGTTATTTTCCACGTTTAAAACCGTTAGAAATGTTTTATTTAATGTGTAGCACTAAACACACACACTGCTCATTTTTTTACATATTTAACTTACAATTTTCCACTGCTTTATCCCGATTCCCCCAGGGTGTTTGGGACGAACACATTTCTGTGTCTATTTTAGTAATCGATGATCGGACTTAAGTGCCCGCCCGAAACGCCAAGGCAATTCATTTTCCCGAGATTCGATTCCGGGACCTCTTATGAAATGTACAGACTAAAATTTTATTTACTATAATTATTATATTTATTATAGATTATAAATAACTATGTGCGTAATAAACAAATTATTTTTTCCAGTACAAGATGAGGTCACTTCTACTGATCTGCGCAGTCGCATTCCTTTGCGGCGCCTTAGCTAAGAACAAGAAGGATGACAACAAGGTAACTTATGAAATTAGTTGCATACTAGCTGTGTCAGCGACTTCGCCCGCGCAGAATAGTTATTTTGGGCATACAAAATTTAAATAAAACACTTTAACGGTTTAAAACGCGATATATTCGTTAAACTTGTTTGAAAATGATTTTTAACTTCGACGTTTCGGATGCTTTACAGCAGCCGTGGTCACGGGGAGACCCCCGGACGGAGGTCTCCCCGTTAAAGTGTTTTTTTTTATATGTGTCCTACTCGCGTAAACTACAGACATACAAAATTTGTTTTTGGAAACCTTATACAATTAAGGCGTTACCCACGACGTCGATCGCGTTGTTCTTGCAAATTATTATAAAAGATATAGTTTCGCGGAGTTATTATTATATATATACATATTTTTTGGGTATCTTGAACCATTTTCTTCTTGAACTATTAGTCACAGCGCGACGTTATATTATCTAAAGCCTTCGTCGATAAATTCTTAGTATGTTAAGAACTTGTCTACTAATAATACCTACATCGTAAGTGCTACTAAAAACTATCATACAAACTAGGGTTGTAACACTTTTGAATATTAAAATAAAACATTTTGGGGGGGGTGGGGGGGATCGAAATGCGATTAATAATGAATATAATAATAATCGCAAGTATGTATCGTTTTTAGTTATATATAAAACACTTTCAACGGTTTAAAACGAGAAATATAAGTTTTAATTTACATTAACTACGAAACGTCGTAACGGATGCTATGTAGCAGCTGTAGTCATAGGGAGACAAATAAGTTAATATATTTAAATAGAACACTTTAACGGTTTATCTCTATCCGACGTTTCGGATGCTTTGCAGCAGCCGTGGTCACAGGCCGAAGTTAAAAATCATTTTAAAATAAGTTTAACTAATATATCGCGTTTTAAACCGTTAAAGTGTTTTATTCAAATGTGTACTACTCGCGTAAACTATAGACAGTATCTAGACAATGATATGCTGAACGATGGCCGTGAAAGCCTTACACAATTTACTATAAAATTTTAGAAATAAAATTTATGACTTAAGAACTCTATATTCATGTTTTTGACTAACAATAATATAACAAGGATGGTAACCATAGCAACTATGGCCACGATATATCATCTTCAGAACATTTAGTGCTGTACAGAAATCTTTTTAACAGTTTAAAACGCAAAAAGTTCAAGTTAATTCGACTGCTACAAAACAACCTAAACGCCAGGTACAAGTAGAAAATAAATTCATACATTTCGCGTTCTAAACTGTTTAAAAAGTACCTAGCATTTAATGCTTTAAAAGATTATAACGGAAATTTTTTGAAAAGTTTAAAGCGCGAAAGGTATAAGTTAGTTAGGTATAAGTTACACCTTAAAAGTCCAAAAGTAGTTAAACATTAATTAATATATTTCCCGTTCTAAACTGTTAAAAAGCATTTAATCTGTTAGAAGGTCGGTATTCAATCATCAATGTTATACGTAAGAGTCATAAATTTATCAATCTCTGACCCACATAAGGGTTAGTCCCTTGGTTCAATAAGTGGACGTCCAATAAAAAATAACTATGTAAGATTTAGATTTCCCGCGAAAATTAAAATCTTGACATAATGAGAATAGGTCCTGACGCAACGTCAAAATGGAACAAGTTGGCGGTTTTAATGTGTAAAACCTTAAATGGTGTAATTTAAAGAGGCGAGATAATAATAAATTTAATATATTTGTTATAAACTAGCTGTGTCAGCGACTTCGTCCGCGAGAATCTTCATTTTAAGCAACTATCGTGTTTTGGAAACCGCTTCTTTACTTAAGCCACGACGTCGGTCGTGTTCCTTCCCGTCGTGTTTACAACTTCACGAATTTAGATGCCAAAATAACTATTCTCGCGAAGTCGCTGAGACAGCTAGGTAAGTATAAAGCTGGAAAGCTTGTTTCAACGCGCTAATCTCTGAAACTACACGCTGTGACCAATAGGAGCGAAGAAACAGCGGAAAAAGTGAGGAAAATGGGGAAAATTTTTCACCCCATGGGTCCGGTGCGTACGCTACAGACACGGTTTAAATAATAAAAAGAATATGCACGAAATAATTATTTCTCTGGAAATAATCTAAAAAAATGTCTGCGACACCTTATCTTATAAGATTGACCCGCAAGAACAGATTTTATGGTTATCATATTTTCGTCAAAATATTGCAAAACAACATTCAAATCAAGACATTGGTAGTCGTGGGAAATTTGAATCTTACGACTATTAACTAATAGCGTGACAGACAGCCCTATTTAAATAATGTAAGTTGAAACCTTCTCACGCAGCGCACAGGTGGGAATAAGCATGAGGTCAGCAGAAGTACTCTTGCGCATACAGCGATCCTTTGCCTCGATTCTAGATTGGAGATTTTTCAATCTATAATAAATAAATAAATTTTATAATCATAGATCTTTGGTATGAAAAAACTGTTACGCGGATATAGGCAAGCCTTTTTACCACCTTTAACGGTTCCGTAACAAAAGGGTAATTTTTTTACAGTCGACTCTCACTTGACAATTTTGAACATTGTTCACACTTAATTCGTTTGTCCCGCAACTTCGTCCTTGTGAAATAGTTATTTTCGGCATCCAAATTTGGTTTTTGCAAACCACCTCTTCATCTTTAAAAATTTAAGCTGTTACGCACGACGCTGATCGCGTCCCGTCGCTCTTGCAAGTTAATCTTAAAAGAAAAACATATAGATTCGGAGGCAATTTTTGGACGCTTTAAGAGAGGAATCATTCTTTCGAAGATATTTTTTGGGTATCTTGAACCGTTTTCGCAGCGCACGAAGTGGAAACTTTCAAAGATGAATTATCCCCGATTTTTCCACATCTCCCACTATTTGCTCGCTCCTGTTGATCGCAGCCTGACTTTTTATTACCAAAACAGAAGTACGAACCAGTAGTTCCTGAGATTAGCGCATTCAAACAAACTGTTCAGCTTTATTTTTATCCAGCGCTTTTGTCTTTCCAGGTCAAAATCGCAGTATACTACGAGTCCCTGTGTCCAGACAGCAAAAGATTCATAACGACCCAGCTGGCGCCAGTTTGGAGGGATTTCAGAGGAGCTGTCAAGGTTAAGATGGTGCCCTACGGAAAGAGTACGGTAAGTTTAAGTAGAACAAGTGAAAAAAACACTTTAACGGTTTAAAACGCGATATATATTATTCTTTTATATTTTTAGTTAAGCTCAGTTGAAAATTATTTTAACAACGGCCCGACATTTCGGATGCTTTGTATCAGCCGTGGTCACGGGAAGACGTAGTTAAAATAATTTTCAAATAAGTTTAATTAATTAGTAAGTATATCGCGTTTCAAACCGTTAAAGTGTTTTACTTAAAAATTGATTTTAAGTTTGAAATATTACAAGGCAAAGCATTTCTAGGTATTATAAACTCAAAAACAAAATATTATACAATTTAAGATGTTCAACTGTTTTGCATAAAACTATACATATGTGGAACAGAGTAAAAATACGGTACAGGCTAAAACAGAGACTGTAGGATTTTTTTTATAATAAAAGAAAGAGACGAACATGGCTCACTTGACGGCGTTTTTATCTGTGGACTGTCAAAATATGTTTGTTTGGTGTAGTTTAAAAGGTTTTTTCAATTTCAATCACGTTTTACGGTTTAAAACGATAAATCAATAATGTAATAAAAATTAATAAGTACCTACCTCTGGCGTGAATGACGAAGTGTCTGAAATTTGTAGTCCAGGTATACTCGTTTTTAGCTTCGTGGAAAGTTGTTTCACTTCGTCAACCGTGTTTATTAAAATATGTAGTGAATTGTTTCTCTTTTCCAGCACGACAAAGTGAATGGCAAATGGCAGTTCCTCTGCCATCACGGAGCTGACGAGTGCTATGGAAACAAGGTAAGGTCATACTCGCAAACACTAGAAAACGACACCTAAGTTGCTTTTAAGAATGTGTATATATATAGTCTATTTTTTTTAACTTGGCATTTTTGATAAACAAAATTTACACGAAAACCGCTTTGAGAAACTAATGAACCACCTCAAATTCACTTAATGAGAGAACAATTTTATGCTAAAATAATAAATAATCCTAAAAATGAAGTTATGGAAATGCACAGATTAAAATGTATTTATTTACTTTTACATAGGGATGGGATAACAAAGTCAAGGAGGGCTTCACTCATGCATGATCAATTAAAAAGCATTATTAATGGCGAGTTAAATAATAATGACACAAATAATTAAAACAAAAGGTCGTCATAAAAGTATTTTGAATTTGTTTTGGTCTTTATATAATGAATATGTTTTTATCCATGTGTCATCTGTGACAAAAAATTCACCCTAAAAGGTCATCGCTAGTTCTCTTTGATTTGAAATGGACCATTTTTTTGCCAAGTTAGAAAAAATACACTGTATTAGAATTTAGGACTAGTTTTTTTTTCATTTTATATTGATCATATACGAGTACAGAAAACATTAAATAAAAAAACATGTTCCGACAGACTCTAAGCAACTATGTCTATATAGATTAAAAACAAATAGAAATAAACTAAAATACCTAATTAACTAGTTACTAGTATTTAATAATTACAAATATTTTACAGAGCGATACGGGATTTAAGAGATACGGCATTTTCATCTGTGAACAGTAGAGACCTGGACATAATTAAGATATCCCTACCCCCCAGTTAACATCCAAATTTCCAGATGAAGTCCAACATGTTTCAGAAAGAAATTATTATAAATGACTAGCTATGCCTAAGAACAATTATTTTAGGCATAATATTATATATATATTATTTATGCAAACAACCTACTAAGCTTTATAACTTTCGACGTCGTCCGCGTCCCGTCGTTTTCGCGAGTTAACCTTAAATGATACATCTCGGCCATTTTTTTAGATCATTAGTTGATTATTAGACATACATTCCTATGGTAGCAATACACAAACAATCAATGTATAGACTTTAATGTGTTGTAGTCCCAGAAAAGACGATTTTTTTAACTCCTGAAACCAATTTTTCAGTTACAAGCCTGCATCCTGAAAGACAAAGGCCTGGTTGACACCGAAAAAATGGAGATGATCATCTGTTTGATGAACCAGCCCAACCCCGACAAATCTCTGGATACTGTAAGTGTTGTCTGTAGTTTACGCGAGTACTTTTGATGGTTTAAAACGCGATATATATTCATCAGCTTTATTTACGGGCAAGCAGTTGATCAGATTGTGCCTTTCATAAGCGCATAATGGTTAATTTAAGACGGTTTAAAACGCGAAACATATAATATGTTTAATTATGTTTTATATCTCTAACTACGACTACGGCTGTTGCAAGACATGTGGTACGTCGGGTCCGGGTTACAATAAATTAAAAGTAGGATAACATAATATATATATTCACCTTTTAAACCGTTTAAATTAACATGTATGCGTTTTTTATAAAAGACACAGTCTGATTGATTACTTGCCTGTAAATAAAATCGTACTACAAAATGAACACACAACTGTGTTCGCCCCTTGCCCACACGGGAAAACAGACACATTTATAAACATATTTTTGTAACCTTTGGGCACTTTAATAGGCATAAATAGGCTTCTCAAATAAAGTATGAGTTTCGTCAATGTGTCGCGGCCCTATACTAATGGTTAATTAAACATTTAATTTGTTTCTAGTGTCTCGACCAAGTGAAACGCCAAGCCGAGTCAGACAAACTCAAGAAGTGTGCCGCCGGAGAGCAAGGCGACAATCTGCTGGCGGCTTATGGAGATAAGACAGACACCGTACAGCGACCACTCTCATTCGTACCAACTGTTATCATCAACGAAGTAAGTAATTTTATATCAATAACAGAAATATAGCATTAATAATTAATTTAATATTGTAATTTTAAATACGAGTTAAGCAATTTTAAAAGTTGACTTATTTTAATGTTTTCTTTTTTTACGAGAATATTTTGTTAGAAGTTTACGTTTTCTTTAACTTGTCTTAATGATTTAAATGAAACACTTTAACGGAACGGCTAATTACAAGTTTAACTTATATGTATCGCGTTTTAAACCGTTAAAGTGTTTTATTTAAATGTGTACTACTCGCGTAAACTATGGACCGGAATTTGTTAACAAAATTTTTACACAAACAATAGTACTAGTATTTTCGCCCAAATTAATTGCGCATGCTTTTTTCCACCTTATTTTGTTAGTAGGCCACTCTGCCTCTAGCGGCCTCATATAATAAAGTTATATCTAAGTTTGTTTTTTTTTTTTTTTCAGAAATTCGACCAAGCCATCCAAGATGAAGCCTTCAAAGATTTAAAAGCAGTTGTGTGTCGCGTTTCCACAAACAAACCCGCGACGTGCTGATCTACATCTTAAAATATATTAATTTTTATTTAAAACCACAGATACAAAATCATTTCGACTCAGTTTTAGGTATTTCTAATGTGTTAAGTTTATATTAAGCTAACGTACATATTTGAATAAAGTACTTAGAGTTATTGGTGTTTTTTATTGAAGAACTAGCTGTGATAGCGACTTCGTCCGCGTAGAATTAATGTGTTGGGCATCTTAATGTGTTTTTGGAACACCTCCAGCACATTTTTATAAATTACAGCTGTTAGCCAGAGGTAGTCTAAAGCCGTTCTCGATAAATGCTCTAACCAACACAAAAGTAATTTTTCAATTCGAACCCACCGTTCCTGATATTAGCGCGTTCAAACAAAAGCTTTATAATATACCTATTAGTACTAGCTGTGCCCGCGACTTCGTTCGCGTGTAATAGTGACTTGGGGTAGAATTTTTAATTATTTAGGATGTTTATTAATTCATGTTATTGCGTATTTATCGCAGCCAAAATCTATGTTGTAAGTGCTACTTTGCCGCAACACTCTCAACTCACATTACTCCTACTCTAACTTCCGCTCTCACTCTCACTCCCACTCCAACTCCTATTCTCAATAGCCAAAGAAGAAAGTTTCAATGTTCTATCTTCAAAAACCACAAATTTCCATACAAACTTTCACCCCCTTTTTACATGTAGGGAAAAGGGGGCCCCGGGGGGGGCCTCCGCCCCAGCTTGGGCCCCCGCGATGCGGGTGGGAGCTTGACGGAAGCTACATTTAAATCCGTTCAGTAGCTTTGGCGTGAAAGAGTAACAGACAGACAGACAGACAGAGTTACTTTCGCACTTATAATATTAGTATGGATTTGTATAGATTCTTCGTAGATGCTGCAAAGTAGATTCAATGATTTCTTTAACTTCAAAGCATTAGACATTGAACAAGTAGGTATTAAGTTTAAAAATTAACGTGTTGCCCAGCATTGCATCAAGCGTGAGAGGTCCTGGGTTCGAATCCCGGGGAAACAGTAAATTGTTCCGGTCGGGGCAGGGCACAGAAGTCTGATCAACTACTTGTCCGTAAATAAAACCGATCAGTGAAACGGACACAGAAATGTGTTCTATGCCCCAGGAGGGGAAACGGCATGTACACAAGTTTAAAAATTGGTACTAAATGTAAAAAAATTATGACTCGAGCAGGACTTGAACCGGCATCGATAGCTTTCGAGGCAATCTAAAATCGATTTTTGATTTCAATAAAAGGCCTTTTTTGACCCGACTACACAAAAATCTGGTTAGGCGGTTAACTCTCGCGAACCCATAGGTGTGAGAGAGACAAGAGTAATGAGGGACAGAGATGACTAAAATATTTTTATTAAAACAGAGTCCTTATTGAGTACACGTATTCTTATATCACTAACAAGTGGAAAATATAATATTTACAATACATCAAATTCAATATACAGAATTTATTATTAACAAATGGCCACGATTTTTTCGTATCTACCTCGTCTCGTTGATCTAGTGGTTGATGCACTGGAATGCAGATCACGAGATCCAGGTTCGAGGGTCGGGCAAAAAAATTATTTCGACACTGAGGATTTAATTAACACCTTTGATTGATTGAAACGCGAAATGTATTACTTTGACATATTTACATTTTCTTAGCTACGGCCCGACGTTTAGGATTCTTTGCAGCAGACGTGGTCAAGGGGGCCGGCGAAGCGAAAAAAAAAAAAAAATTTCCGCGTTTAAAACCGAGATTTCTCCATACAAAACATCTACAATTCAGCACACCACATTCACTGTTCTCATATACGTATCTTATGCTGCTACCACAATAGGTGACCCGTAATGTCGGGTCATGTTCCGTTTTAAAACAAATGACCCGACGTGTCGGGTTATTTGTTAGGGCGAAACATAATGTCTTAAATAATAATAAAAATCATATTTCTCATTCGACTGTCCAATTGTTTTTCTTAATGTGTACGTACTCGCCTTAGCTACAGACATTACTAATATGTAGGTTGTTTAAGGATGACTTTAAAAAAAAACCTGTCTTAATGGCTTGAAATGGACAACGTTTATTTTACAATTATGTACAAAGCCAGTGATCTTCAGAGATAGTGTTCCAGCACCTTTCTCCAATTTTTTTAATGACGTCATTATTTCTTAATATAACATTAACCATATAACACAACCGATTATCCTTATTTACATTACTACATTTTACTATATCACTATAGCCATAAAAAAAAAATCATGGCGCCGTCCAAGTATTACCTAAACACCATCACCCCCCCCCCCCTTTGTATATTTATAACGACCACATAGAGGGAGGGGGGGATTACGACGTCATCAGCAGTAACCCAAGAACGTTTCTTAAATATCGACGTATGTTGTAATAAATAATATAATTTCTAAAATAATAATTATTATTAGATACACAAAAAGAGATAATCGCAATATATTTAAATAAAACAATTTTAACGGTTTAAAACGCGAAATAAACAAAATCATTACATTGTACAACTTTCGTGTTTTAAATCGTTTATATATTTTTATACTACTCGCGTAAATTTACTTACGTAATACTTGAACGATCCCCACGTATTATGAAATATAATAATATTAATATCAGGATATCATTAGTTATTATGCATTATCTTTATTCACGTCCGGTATTCCAAAGAGAATCTTTTCAATCAAAAATAATTCAAAATTAATAGTTGCATCATTAAACAATATCAGTTGAGTCGTTTCACTACTTGAGCTCACATAAAAAAATAGAAGACATGCGCCTGCGTTGATTAAATTTATATCAACATTCGATGCTGATAATTTCAACCTTAACACATACAAGTTAAGGTAGAAATTAAAATGCACCGAAAGATTGATTAGCATATTTAAAGAATTCTACAAATCATGAATCATCAATTTCGTTTCAATCTTAAAAATACTTTAATTTACACAACTAATTTGGGCTTTAGTTCTCATAACACAACTCATGCCGTTATAACTCGTGCGGTTAGAAAAACAATCTATCAATGGCGGACGGTCTCACGCTATCTCGCTCATACCTTCGCTCTGTCTCTATCGCACAGCGTACAAAACAATATGTTTGGATTAATATTTACACTGTCTCGCCACGTTTTATTACGATTGTTACGGATATTACACAGATACATTTGACAACACAGAGTGGGGAACCCCTGTTTAAAGATTTGTTTCTGACACCATAACGTAAACGGAGGGGGGGGGGAGGTTGGGTTTCTTCTGAACCCATTCCCCAATTCGTCAACATTCATTCGTGGTCTGCTCTTACTCCATCAATCTCAAACATACCCCTCTCACACCCACCCCGGCGGCACATAATCCCCATCATAGCTCTCGTCCTTGTGCTGCTTCCTCATATGCCGCTTCAAGCAGATCCGATTAACAGTGGAATAGGAACAGAACTTGCAAGCGTGCTTCACCCCGGTACAGCCCTCCCTATGCTTGGCGGCGGTTTCCTGGCTGATGGAGAAGAACCCACACCTCTCGCATCCATAGGAACTCTTGTCTCCATGTGTGCTCATGTGGTAGACCAGGCTCATATTGTGCTTGTAACTGTAGTTGCAGAGCGGACATTTGTACTTCTTGGCCATCTTCTTCGAGTTTCTGTTCCCGTGCTTCTCCTTGTGCCGAGTTATCAGCGCCCAGCTGGATGTGGTGTATGTACATATATCGCATATGTGTAGTACGTGCGTGTGTGTGTTCGCGTGTATCTTGTAGTCAGCCGCGTCCACCGCGGTGTACGTACAGTGTTCGCAGCGGAATTTGTTGAGCATGATCTTGTTGATGGCTGTCATCTTCTCGCTGGGTCTCTTTTTGGTCTTCTTGTGTCGCTTCGCCAGTTTGAGGAGGGGGACGTCGTCCTCGTCGGTCGCGTCCGATACGTCGATAGTGTCGATTTTCGGCTCCTGAATTATTACGTCGTCTTCGTCGCTGGACGAGAGGAGGCTTATGGGGGCGTCTTTTCTGGAAAAATAAATATTGCTAATATTGTTCTGCGGCCTATGTAGGTAAGTGTTTAAACCTGTTGCCTAACGTTGCGTTTCTGGTCGTTTAAGGTTAAACGTATACACCCCATACAAAAAACACTTTAACAGTTTGAACGGTTTTAAACGCGAAATATATCTGTTAAACTTATTTTCGGATGTATGCAGCAGATGTGGTAAAGGGGGAACCTTCTCCCCGTGACCACGGCTGCAAATAAGTGTACGTCGCGTTTTTAACTTTTAAACGTGTTTTATGTATGTAGGAGTGTATTCGTCATTCGAAACGTCGGTTCGTAATTAGAATAAGTGAAAAATTAGTTGACTAATACATATCGTGTTTTAAACCGTTTAATTGTTTAATTTAAACGTGTACTACTCGCGTAAACTGGACGGTATTTAAGTACTTAATAGTTTACGGAAGAAGTAGACATTTAAATTAACGGTTTAAAACGCGAAATATTAGATGACTAATTTTTAACTTATTCTAACTACGAACCGACGTTTCAGATGCTATGCTGCTACTTATAATAGAATTTTTTAGTAGTAGTGTAAAACTACTTGCCCATGCTACTACTACTTACTTTTCACCCAAATCGATGCAATCCGAACTATTGTCCTCTTGGTCCAGATCGATCTCCTCTATGCTCTGGTCCTGTTCCAGTTCGGGGAATAGTGCGGGATCGATCTCCACTTGAACGTTCTCCAGCAGCATCAGACAGTCTTCGTTCGGTTGATCTGGAAGTTCACGAGATGGGTCACTTTATGTTAGGGTATATGCCAGCCTGTAACTACTATACAAGGTGCGCCGTCGACCTATTGAACGACTGAAACCGAAACGCGATCAAACTTCACGGCGCTTTCATCTCTAGACGGTGGTTCATCCGGACGGAATTCCGATATTCCTACCACCACCCATTTAATATCCGAATTTCCAAAGTCCACTATGTTTTAGAAAAAATCTCAACTTAATATATGTTAAATACTTTCTGTTTAAGCTAGTAGTATACAATTAAATAAAACCTTTCGACGGTTTAAAACACGATATATTTAAGTTAAACTTGTTCAGAAATGATTTTAATCACGGTCCGACGTTTCGGTTGCTTTGTAACAGCCGTCTGCAATATATATCGCGTTTTAAACCGTTAAACTGTTTTATTTAAATTATCATACTTATGTTATCTTTATCTCACTGTTACAAATATAACTCGGTACCTTGACCCACTTCGCCAACAGATATCTCTACATATTTCGGATCCAGCGCAACATTTTCCACGTTTCCTTGGTCGATCTCTTTATTGCTGTCTCCCTCACTCGGTTTATCCTTCTCGCTCACTGACACCTCCCTTTCCGCGGTTATTTGGGACAAGGGACGTATTTGTTTTATGTGATAATTCGTTAATATATCCTCTATGTCTTTGTTGGGGGAGAATTCTAGATCGGGTACTCTGAAATGACAATTAAAGTTTTATCTATACTAATATATAAAGCTGAAGAGTTTGTTTGTTTGAACGCGCTAATCTCAGAAACTACTGATTTGAATTAAGGAAACTTTATAATCACTATTAGCGGAATAAGTATTTCACTTGTTAAACTTGTCTTTAGTTTACGCGAGTAGTACACATTTAAATAAAACACTTAACGGTTTGAAACGCGATATATAAGTTAAACTTATTTGAAAATTATTTTTCATTTAAATAAAACACTTTTAACGGTTTAAAACGCGATATATTAGTTAAACTTATTTGAAAATGATTTTTTAACTTCGGCCCGACGTTTCGGATGCTTTGCAGCAGCCGTGGTCACGGGAAGACCACATTTCCAAATAAAACATTTAAGTTGGTTTACAACGCGGTATTTGGAAATTCAACTTATTTCCAAATACCAACCAACTATGAGGAAATAGAAGGTGCGTAGCAGATTTGACTTTGAAATTAGGGACACCCTCCATCTTTAGTCCCCCCGTGATTACGGCTGCTGCAAAGTATCCGAAACGTCGGGCCGTAGTTAGAATAATGTGTAAATAAGTTTAACTAATATATTTCGCGTTTTAAACCGTTAACCGCACGTCGAAGATGTAGTACGCATTACGAGGGGGACATAGATCTCGTTTCTTATCAGCCAGATGTTACCGTATAAACTGTGTATAGTTCGCATGAATTTATATAAAACTACCCGCGTGATGAAATTTAATTATTCTAGTAGTTATAAGTGATGTAATTCTGAATGAGAAATAAATGTGTTTAGACCGACATTAGTTTATAACTCATAAATATGCATACAAGTTTTTATCTTCCTTCGGTGAACTGTGACAGGGCTCCGGAACAGTTACGTTTTCTTCTTCCCCTTTACTCTCTTTACCTTCTCCGTCATTCTTCTCATTTTGATTATCTACAGCCGTTTCACACTTAGCTTCTGTCTCATCTTTCTCCGTCTCACTTTTCTCTTTCTGAAAATTTATCAATACATTATTATGTATAACGGAAGAAAGAAAGTGTCTTGAAGGGAACTGAGGGGGTGCTCTGGGACGGTAGACTAACCTAACCCATAATCTAATCTAATGTTTGTTTGTTTAAACGCGTGTAATCTCGGGAACAACTGGTTCGAATATAAAAATGTTTTTTGTCTGTCTAGACTAAAGCTTTACAAAAAATATTCATCTTCATGACACCATTGCCCCTAGAAACGGTTCAAGAAACTAAAAAATATGTATAAAAGCACGATTCTTCTTTACATAATCTAAAAAAATTCTGCGACAGTATATTACCTTTTGAGATTAACTCGCATGTTCTTTGGAACCCTAAATCGTCTGAAGTAATAAAAAAAAAATGGACGCAGATGACGTCGTGGGTGATAGCTAAAATTTATGAAGCTAAGGAGATGGTTTGCAAAAACAAATATGATGACGAAATTAACTATTCCACGCGGACGAAGTCGCGGGCACAGATATACATTGATGTAAATAAAATGCAAAAGGTATAAACAAAATAATTCGTTTCATTTTAATACAGACCGGGCTTTCTTTTAAAAGCTTGACGGTTTAAAACTTACTTCTTCAAACACACAAGGCACAACTTTGGGTTTCAGCCGCCGTTTCCCCCGGACAAACATGTACTGCTCATCTTGGAAGTGCCTACTGCAGACAACCGCGTCGTCTGTCAGTTTCATGGTACTCTTTATAGCTTCGAGCCATCTCTTGCGCAGCGTTCGACTCACTGGTAACCTGAAACGTGGAATTTAGAATTATAAAACAATTGAAATTTAAATAAAACAATTTGAACGGTTTAAAACGCGAAATGTACTAGCTAAAATTATCCTGAATTTAGGATTGTAAACCCAATTGAATTTTGAATAAAACACTTTTAACGGTTTAAAACGCGAAATGTATTTCTTAACATTGTCCTGAACTTACGTTTATAAAACAAATGAAATTTAAATAAAACGTTTAACGGTTTAAAACGCGAAATTTATACGCTAAAATTTTCCTGAATTTTGAATTATAAAACAAATGAAATTTAAATAATACACTTTTAACGGTTTAAAACGCGAAATTTATTCTTTAAAATTGTCCTGAATTTACGTTTATAAAACAAATGAAATTTTAATAAAACGTTTAACGGTTTAAAACGCGAAATTTATACGCTAAAATTATCCTGAATTTTGGATTATAAAACAAATGAAATTTAAATAATACACCTTGAAAACGTGAAATTTATTTGTTACAAATATCTAAACTGTATCTGAAAGATACGTCCCTAATGTCAAAGTCAAATCTGCTTGGTATTTAGGACTATCACCAACGTAACGAATACATATCGCGTTTTTAAGTGTTTTATTTAAAGGGGTATGCGCGAGAGGTGCATTTATCATTAGGAGTATGTCTCTGTATCTCAATTGGTAGAGCAACAGCACGGAACGCTGACGATGCCGGTTCAAGTCCTGCCCGAGTTAAAAAAAAAAACAGTTTTTCAAATGCGAACTACAGACAGTCCTTAACTCCTGAAATACCAATTCCACTAATTCTAATGATTACGTTTTCGTCTTTGGGGAGTTCAAGAAAAGACATTGCAGTATAAATACTTGATGGATAATGAATTTTACCATTTCGCCATGGAGACAGTCGGACCGAGCGCGGTTCATCAAAAGATAAGGAAACTCGGGGTTACCACAAATTGTCTATGATGGTTACTATATCAAAACTAATATTATAAAGCTGAAGAGTTTGTTTGTTTGAACGCGCTAATCTCAAAATACTAGATTGAATTGATTTTTATTGTATGTTGGTTAAAGCGTTTATCGAGGAAGGATTTAGGGTGTAAAATGTCAGGGTGCAACCAATAGGAGCAAAGAAGAGGGGGAAATGTGGTGAAAAACGGGGAAAATTATTTATCTTTTTTGGTTTCCGTTGCGCACGCTGCGAAAACGGTGAAGATGATTGTTCTTTGGAATTATCAAAAAAATGTCAAGTCGCAAGTCGCAAGAATGACGGGAACCGAACAGCTAGTAATTTATAAAGCTGAAGAGGTTCTTTGCAAAAACAATTTTTTTTTCCAAAATAAGTATTTTACGCGGACGAAGTCGCTGGCACACGTAGTTTTATCTATTAATAAAAACCGCGATTTTACAATTTTTCTTTAGTCTATATCATATATCATCCTTGTTAAGTTTTTAATATTTAAATAAAGCACTTTAACGGTTTAAAACGCGATATATTCAATAGCGTCTATAGTTTTCGCGAGTAGTACACATTTAAATATAACACTTCAACCGTTAAAGTTTTTGATAATTTTATAGGTACAAACTATATCTATCAGTTTATTATAAATTTGATTTCAAATAAACTTACTTATAATAATTTATGTCCTCCTTATAGCTTAAGCATCCATCAACACAGCACTGGTCTACCATTTTTAAATTACGGAATTAAACTGAAAGAAACAAAATAATAATTATTAAAAGTTATATTAAATATCATAAGTAAGAAATTTTCTTTTCCTCATTTAGGGTATGAGGTAGATAGATATGTGTTACCGTTTCTTTGATCAGTTTTATTTGACAGAATTATAGAAACGATGGGTCCTGTTTTGCCAAAATATTTTATAATTTAATACTGAGCTTTGAACCTGAAATCTTGTGCACATTTGTAACATGTTAGATGTTAGCACATGAAAACAAAACTCAATGAAATTTAAACAAATAACACTCAAGCGAATGAGACCTATGTTGGGCTAAAATCAAACATGCAACTCTTTATAAACTTGTTATTTACAATTTTTTTTTAATTAAATCATTTACAATTAATTTTTGTAATTTGAAATACTTCGCATCGCGGTATTAATTGTTATACAATAAACACATAGTTGATAATACATATTGAACTTTATTTAAAGGAACATAAGGCCCATATTAAAACCTTATATCGAGTTCTGATGTTAACTGGTTCCGCAGCCTTATTCCAGGTACGCTATCGCGATTTTAAAACGCAAAGGACATAGACCTTATTTCTATGTATATAAGTTCTATATTTGTAAGGCCTCACTTTATATCAGACGAAGCTACTGCCAGAATAACACCGTCGCAATAATTACTATTGATTAATTGTATATTAGTTTGTTTAGAAACAAATCGGTATATTTTTCGTTCAAAACTGCGGCAAATGAAAACACTAGTCTTTCGCGCGCGAAATATTTGTAAACAAAGTTTTTAGGGATTTTGCAGTACTCACAATAGGTTTGGGCAAAGGAATGATCCAGATAGCCTGGTAGGCGGTTATAATAACAACTTCACATTAAATATTCCAGTAGATACTCCATTTTACAATTTATGATATTTTACCAAATAAGTATTACTTTTCAAAATACAACCATAATATTTCACGAAATAAGAAACCTCAAACCATTTTGTCTTTTGACAATTGACTTGTTATGCACATTAGTTAGCAAACTGACAGTTGTATCACAGCTTATATCCATGCACCTAGATTATATTACACGTGGATTGCATTGCTAGCAAGACGTTAACAACTTAATCTTATAACATAAAAAAATGTTAAACAACTCACAAATGCTTTACTTCTTAAACCACTTACCAATTACAATACCATGATAGAAATAAAAGAATTTTAAAATATAATATTTGCCTTTGAAAACTTTAATATTTTTCACATGTGGCATTATATAAATTAAAATTCGAAAATAAATTTAAAAATTTACGACTCGGGGCAGGTTCTGAACCGTTATTGTCAGCGTTTCGTGCTGTTGTTCTAACCAATTGAGCTATCGAGTCCTAGATCTTATCGTAATTTTTTTTTATCTTTTCGATACAGGCACCTCTTGCGCAGCATGGAACGCTGACGATGCCGATTCAAGTCGAATTTATTTTCGAATATCAATTTGTCTTTGCGTCATTTAATATTATTTCATATATTTAGTGAAAGTTCTGCATATCTTTAAGTTACATACAGATTAGTTGATAAGTCTTTAATAGATAAATAAATATAATATAATATAAAAAATTTGAAAACGTAATTATATTTTGTTTCCATGTTGCCTTGATATTACTATAGACAAGAAGAAATAGACACGGGTTTGATCTACTACACTTAGTTCGATTATTATATCATGGGCACATCACTAACGTCATGATATTTTGGTATAACATCTGTGGTGTTGTTGTTTGATAATAAATTTTGCTTACTGTCTAACTTTTCGTAAATTTACTATTTTTAACTGTTTTCAAGCGGAACTATATAAATTAATAGATTTGTAACCATGAACCGACTTTCAGGTGCATTGTTTAATATGTATCACTTATGTAAAATACAGATATAGATAAAGTTATATTTTGTAATAATGTGTGTTATATAAATCTTATGAATTTAAATCATAAAGTACATGAGTATATATGTAACAATGGAAGAGAAATCCAACGAAATTACCAATCATTCAGTTGACGATACCGATGTCAACGACACTTCGATTAATCCCGATTTTAAACAGTTTCAAAGTGATGAAATTAAATGTTTCAAAATTGAATTTGATGATCAGACATATTACAATTTACGTAAGATTAGTCGGTAAGTGTTGTTCTTATTTATTTTATAGGTGGCAATCCAATTCAACGCTGAACTTATAAACAAACATAGAAAAATAAGATTGTACATAATACCCTATAAAACTGTGATTTATAACCATGGTTATTAGTTTATTATTGCTTAATATATTGTGTTATTGCTGAATACTATGTACTAGCCAATCTAAAAACAGACTATTTAAAAATGTAATCAAATTGAAACTTGTTTTAGTAAACCTGCATTTTACACTGAACAAGAAACAACAACAAAGGTAGAAAAAGAAAAAAGTAAGAAAAGTAAAAGAAATGCAAGCACTGACGATTTCTTTAAAAGATGTGATTTATGCAGAGACATAACCTTTACGGAATCTCATTGGAATAACCATAGAACCTTACATTCGGAGTATGCTTTCTACATCTGTGTAATATGCAAAGAGAAATTCACTACGAATAACCAACTAAAAGATCACAAGGAAAAGCACAAAGATGAAACTTTTCTATGTGTAAAATGTAAGCTGGCATTCTCGGATCACCGTCTTTACCTAACTCATCTTGTGACTCATTTAAGAAATCAACCCTTCAATTGCTATGAATGTCATTACAAATTTAGTGAAAAAAAGAAGCTGGCCACCCATATTCACTCTCATTACAGTGAAGTAACGGAAGTATGTTGGATATGCAACAAAAGTGTAGCAAAGCGTACATTTAAAAACCATCTAGCGGAACACGATAACATTCAATGTGTCGAATGCCACAAAATGATCAAAAAATTATCTTATAGAGTGCACATGTCCGTCCACACTGGCATCAAACCCTTTCAGTGCTTCTACTGCGGAAAAGGTTTTTCCACCTTCTCTCAGAGAAATATTCACATGAGGCTACACACTAATATCAAACCGCACAAATGCAAAATTTGTGATGATACATTCAGACAGTATACAGATTTGCAGCGGCATATTAGCAGCAAGCATCGTGCGTTGCGTTACGAATGTGATACATGTGGAAAAGTGTACAAGGATAAGCAATATTTTATTACACATTTGAAAACGCATACAAATTACAAGCCTTATAAGTGTGCTCAATGCCCCGAGGCGTTTACTATGTCTGCATCATTGAAATGTCATGTGTACACGAAACATGTGAAAGGGAAACGGTTCCACTGTTCAATTTGTGATAAAAGGTTTCCACATTTATCAGACATAGCTAAACATAAGAGAACAAAAGGACATTTACGCATGCAACATAAATTGAATAACTCGGACTAGAGGGATTCTGGCCTTTCAAAATATAGTTTCATTAATTTATATCTAAACTATATTGTAAGGGCAACTCATGGAACGAAGGCTGTGGGCCGTGTTTTAATTTTTTACTTCTTAAAAGGTTTTAATGTGAGTATGAAATAGTGATAAATATCTACTTTCACATGGTTTACGTAATGAAATATTAATGAAATGTCATTCAAGAAGATTTATTTATCATTTTATAATTTTAACTTTATTTAATGTTATAAATAAAATCACTGTAATACTGTAAAATGTCTCATTTAATATTATGTATATACAGAAATAGTGAAACTATGTACAACTGGAACTTTTGATACATGGACAATTACATTTATTTCTATTACAATTTAGACTTAACAAAATAAATTAAACTGGTTTAGCCTTTAATATACATGGCTTCGTTACCACATACCTTTTGTATTGAATTTGACAGCTTTGTCCTCTTCAGACCATTTTTCACAACTTCTGAAAGTGGTATATACTATATGGTATATATACTAACTAATCTAAATATCAATTTACTGAGAATGTTTTGCAAAGTTATACTTAAAGTCACTAAGCACATCACTAAAACACTCTGTCCTGATAACCGGAGTCTTGCGGTGGTGGATTGGGCTTGGCTTGTGCTCCCGGGACATGGTGGTGATGTCGCAAATGTCCAGGGCGACGTGGTGGGGCAAGGTACTCGAACATACTCTGTGTGTGTTGAGCCAACATGTTGGCCAAGTCGCATGGCATAGGATCGGTCCAGAAGAAGTCATGATTCAGAGCAGTGTCTGCATCATACCTGTTAAGTATAATTAATTAGTTGTTATTGAAATAGCTTTTTGGACCCTCGAAAGAAATTCTGTCCATGGTCACGGGGCAGCCTCTCAGTGTGGACGTACTTATAAATAGTAAATAAACATATCATTGTTTTTCGGGCTGTTCTGCCGACGTGAGCGAGAAGAGGTTCGTCGACGAGCGGATAGCATCATCAGATGTTGTTAGCTCCTCGAGTGCTTAAAGAATTGGCCGTGAAAGCCTTGCACAATTTATTAGATTGTAAACAAATTTAACTAATACATTTTGCGTTTTAAACCAGCTATTTTATTTAAATTTCACAGTATGTAACACCCTACAGATCTAAAATGGCTCCATCTTATCGTGTGAGCTTAATGCCTGGCCGTCAAATAGTGGTTCCTATGTAACCCTCATGATCAAACTTTGAATAAAACACTTAACGGTTTAAAACGCGAAATATATTAGACATTGAATAGTAAAAACAATAAGGTAAAAAGTAGTAGGACTCTACAGACGCTAGCTGACAAAGAAAACTAGGAATTTGGTCATATATCTATACTAATAAAGAAGAGTTTGTTTGTCTGTATGTTCATTTGTTTGTCTACTACTCTACGAAAATCTAATATTAATCACCTCTTGGCAGGATCCAGTTGCAGAAGTTTGTCAAGCAAATCACAACCATAGGGGTCTTTTACGTAGGGCTTTAACCGTTCCTGAAAATATATGAAAATAAAATTAGTAATTAGAAATCTAACGTTGCAAATTATTCTATGTGTGTGCATAAATGTTATTTACTATTTTATTAATACGAATACTAGGAATAATGATGTCAGACTAGATATAGAAGCTTCAATGGTCATTGGTCTAATGGTAGCAATTGTGTGAGTGGCATCATGTGATGGGTTCGTCCTCATGGTTCCAACATTTCTATTTTTCAAACATGAACTTCATCTGGTAATGTGGACCAAAATTAAAAATAGTAACGTTGAATCGAATTTCGGGATTTGGTTTATGAATTTCTAAATATCCTAGGCCAATATTCGTTGACAGCTCATCTTGTGAATCCTATGTTGTCTATCATAAAAAAAATAGGTATTAACAATACAAGTAAATAGCTTTTCCACCATTTTCCACCTCCATGAAGAACAGAAACCAAATTATCAAAAAAATTTTTTAAGCCAAGAATAATTATTTTATATCGAGAACACTGAAGAAGAAGATAGAATGCCAGGTGATCAGTCCACACCATCAGCTGACCATTTCCCCATTTTCCAATATATAATAAGCCAATGTAAGTTAGCAATTATTTACCTTGACTTTTCTCTTTTGACCTTTAGGCAACTCCATTTTGTTATAGAGATCCAAACTCTCAACTCCCGGCCAAACATCCGGTGTGCACGATCCGCATAGTTGAGATATCAATATCAACTGTTGCTGCTCTGTCGGACCCTGTTAAAGAAATTATTATTTCTTAGACGTCGTCAAACATGTACCTTAAGTTGCATTTGGTAATATCTTGTTTTTGAAGCAAAGAAAAGAAATTTGGTTCGACGAGCATAGAAGGAGTAAATAGCTGCCTAATGCACTTGACTATCGAGGGCTTTTATAGTATACCTATGTTAAAGATAAAAATGTACATATGAGGCAACTAGAGGCAAAGCGGCCTAATAGTAAAAAACATGATTTCCAATATGGAAAATAAAAATGCGCAATTAACTGAGGCGAAAATGAATTGTGCTATTATGCGTGTAAGAATAATGTTAACAATTTTCGGTCACTGTGCTCTTGTAGATTAACATTTTTAGACTATGAACATGTAAATAAATCAATTCATAACATTGCAGTTAGGCTACTCTGTCCCTAGTGGCCTCATATATAAATTGCTTCAGAAACTTTAATATTTTCACATGATTGCTTTTTAGTTTTTTCTTAAGATGCAATGGCCATTAAATAAAGTAAGTATGCAGAGAGATGCATGTTTAATAGGTTGACGAACCATGTGGATGCTGGTTCAAAACCTGTCTGTATCTTTTTTTTAAATAGATGGTAAATTTTTAAAGTGCTCTTGACTTGCCTGCATGATTGGAGATCTAGTCCACATTTCAGCCATAATACATCCAGCACCCCACATATCTACAGGAGGCCCATAGTTACGGTCACCTACAATTTAAACATAAAATAATAAAATTTAAACGTAATGGGCAAATTTTATAGCAGTTTACTTTTGTGGCTCCACATGAAGTAATTAAGGAAACAATAGTAAATAAGGCAGGGCAAAACAGTTTGTTAAACTACTTGACTATAAATAAAATTGATTCTTGAAATCAACACGTACATTACCCCATGCTACATTATTACATTTTGTTTGGACAGGGCACAGAACTCAGAGCTCCGATAAATTACTTGCCTATTAAAATCAATCGGTGAAAAGGACACAGGAATCTGTTTGCTCTATGCCCCACAGTAGGAAAAGTGATTTTACATATATTTGAGTGTTTTGCATGACAGAAAGCAATACAGTGGCCCAATGTTAAGTCTACACACCTCACACTATGCTTTCATAAATGATGTCTTTCTTACCTAATAATAATTCTGGTGGCCTATACCACAATGTTACAACTCTGTTAGTGTATTTATTAGCTTGTCCCGATTTTGCCACACTAAATGCTCTCGCCAGACCAAAGTCAGCCAACTTCAATATGCCATTCTTTGTGATAAGCACATTTGCTGCTTTCATATCTCGGTGAAGAATCTTATTGCTATGAATATAGTAGAGTCCGTTTAACAATTGCTGCATTACCTTCTTTATTTCACCTAAGCTGAATTTGACATTAACATTTGATAGTAAGCCAGCCAAATCGTGCTCACAAAAATCGAAAACAAGGTAGAAGGTAGATCTGTACTTATTGTGCAATGTGGCTTTTGTCCTGCATATTTCTATAAGGTTAACAACGTTTTCGTGCTTCAAGAGTTGCAGGATCTTAATTTCCCGTAGAGCTGTGATGGGAAAACCCTCCTTTTCATTGTCCATCAGCACTTTTTTCATGGCTACAAATTTTTTACTGCTGTTCCGAGCGCGAGCTTTGAAGACCTCGCCGAAAGTTCCCTGGCCGATTTTCGCGACTTTTTCGTATTTTGATGATTCGTCACAGAATGGAAAGTCGAATTCCTCTATATATTTCTCTTTTTCTCTCATATTGAGAATGGTGGAGCTTGTGCTCAACACGGGAGCAGGCTCCCGTGGAGCGTTAACGTTTTGCATTTTCGAAGCTATTTTGAAGCCTTTATTGTACTCGGATCGACCTAAATAAATATCAATACATATAACTATCAAAATGAGATTTTCTTTACGCTTACTGAATCCACTCACTGAATGAACTAATATCAAGGAATATATGAACGCGAGTCAAACAAAAATAAAAATATGGAACACTATGCATGTGTCAAAATTGTCAAGACGTCGACATTTCCTTAAAATTACTGTCACTGTCAAGTACAGGCGTATATGTCAATTGCGATTAATCGAACCGAATCTTAATTAAATACATCGTAATCAAATGGTTCATTTTTCGAAAGGTGTCACATTTTTCAGTAACTATCTTAATGATGTGTGTGCAAACCATGATGTGATAATTATAACCTTTAATTGATCAATTTTTACAGTTTAAGATCTAATTAACGAATAATAAAAACGATCCATTAGATTAAACGAACCCTGATCAAATTAACGGGCCACATTTATAATGAATTCCGTTCTATAATCGAATCGTCACATGTCTATGTCAAGAATAACAGAAATCGTAATTCCGAAGGCCAAAATCTTAAAAATCAGTTTTATCTTAGATTATTTATTTAATCCTATTTAAGTACAATACAGTGATTACATTTGGTTTGCACAACTCCTTTATAATATTACTATTGCACATTACATTGTAAATGCTGGGCGTGCGACGTGAGGTGAATGTAGTGCAATTAAAGTGTTTGTAGCGGTATCGATCGCGAATTTGCAAATGAGGTTGAACTACTTTTTATTTACACCTTATCGGTGCAGTGATAAGTTGTATATGTAAGCCGGAGTAACACCAACGCCCCCTTATATCTACCTGTAATCCCGTTTAAGTCGTAAGTATTCAAAGACTTACTGATTTTGATTTTCGTTATCATCTATTGAAAAAATGTAATTGTTCGTATGCAATGTTAATTAAAATGCAAAACACTCAATATACAAGGTATAGAAAGGGAATTATGTATTAAGAACTCTTCTATTCTCTGTAAAACCACTGTTTGTGTTCTGGCAGTAGTATTCCAAGTAGGATTCATATCATGATCATGTCATGTTGCATCTTATTTACCTTTGCAAAAGAAGTACTTATTTCTTATCTAGACAGGCTATTTTTAATATTGTGTCTGTTTTCATCTCAATTCAATAGATATATTCCGTGTTCAAAGATATTTTTATTGTATTGTTACTTTATGTGATACTCTTAAAAATGGGGCCAATAAAAAAATCTGATTGTGGTTAAAAAAATTTAAATATTGAAATAAGTGTATTGTTCAAGTCTGAAACAATTGGGTTGTAGAAAAATGGCCAGCGAAAGCAGCTCGGCAGTTTTGGATTTGAATGATGTGGACACAACTGACACGGAAGTGGGCAGCGTCACAGATGATCGGGAGGGCTCGCCACTTATAATGGAGACTGGATATGACATAGCTATTAAGGTTTGTTATTAAATATTTTATCCTAGATATAGTTAGTTTTTTTTTATTTAAAGTTGATATTTTATAATAACTATGTATGTTTCCTCTGCAAAAAAATTACAAGACTGCCTGGTGAAAGAATTGCTCCTTAGATTAATAAATTTACAAAAATGTAATAGTCTCTACAAAGTTTAATTGTCTCTACAAACAGTTAGTAAATAATAGAGATAAGAGAAATATAAACAGCACTTACAACATAGACTGGCAGCCTAAAATCCGCCCTTACATAAATTAATAAACAGCCTAAATAATTAAAACTGCTACCCCATGTCACTATTCAACGCGGGCGAAGTCGCGGGCACAACTAGTAGTACATAAATAATATTTTCACTATAGTGCTGTTGCATACACAGTTAGCCACCACAGTTTTTAATGATTCTAATTAAAAATGAATCATGTGATGATTACTCAATTGTGTTGCAAATAGAGTACATACAATTTATGGCAGTTGATTTGCCATATAAATAATTTTACTAAAATGGCTAATAAAAAATAAGGGTTGATCGTAGAAGGGTGAAAATTTAAGGATAGTATGTTTTTTGTATGTTGTATCATAAAAAATTAAAAATTTTCTCTAAAAAATAAAATTTAGGGGTGGACTACCCCTAACATTTAGGGGGATGAAAAATAGAGGTTGGCCGATTCTCATAGATACCGGATAATCACAAAAAACTTAATCAAAATCGATCGAGCCATTTCGGAAAAGTATGGCTAATTGCTATCTTTTTCTAGACTGGTTTAAAAATCGCTTTTAATCTATACTGATATTATAAAGCTGAAGATATGTTTGTTTGAACGCACACATCTCAGGACCTAATGGTTCTAATTGAATAATTATTGCGTTAAATAATGGATGCTTAAGGCTATATTCCATCCCGCTAACACCAATAAGGAAGAAACAGTAGTAAATATTGAATATGAAATAATACAATATGCATAAAAGAATGTTCTCCCTTGTAACGATGTAAAAAATGTGCGTAACATATGTCTGTCTTTAAGATTAACTTGCTAGAACGACGGGACGCTAACGACGTCGCTGGCGCAGCTAGTGATTTAATATTGCAATGAATTCTCTCACGGTTCTTATACTATTAATTAATTGTAACGATGTGAACCTCCACAGGTCGATGGACCCATGAAGCAACTGTCAACGCTAGAAACGTACGTGACGTACCGTGTCCGGTGCGTATGCGCACGGTGGCAGTCGCCACCTTTTGTCAGGCGACGCTACAATCATTTTAAGGTTAATCTCTAGTCTATACTAATATTAGAAAGGTAAAAAGTGTGTTTGTACGCGCTAATCTCAGGAACTAATAACTAAGAAAAATTATTTTTGTGTTGGTTAGAGCATTTATCGAGATAGGCTTATAGGCAATACAACATTGACCTGTGACTCATATAAGCGAAGATAAAGCGAGAAATTGGAAAAAAATATTCATTATTATGGGTTTCCGAAGCGATAATCAAAAAATATGTGTGAAAGAATAATTCCTCTTTAAATGATCTAGAAAAATGTCCGTGACACTATATGTCTATCTATTAAGATAATTTGCAAGGGCGCCGACAAGGAATGCAACCGACGTCGTGCGTAACAGCTAACGAATATAGATGGACAAAATAACGATTCTCGCGGACGAAGTCGCTGACACAGCTAGTAATTTATTACATTAAAAGTGTATACTTTTAAATTCTACAACTTTTATAAACTGACCGTAACATTTGATATTTTGACAGTTGCTCCACAAACGGCTGTGTGCTTCCCAACCTCTAGTAGCCATACCGCCTCTACCACCACTTCATTCAGCTCGGCAGCAGCTCGACAGATATTCACCTTCCTTCGTCGCTGTGCGGTCGTTGGCACTTGATGCCTTTATGGGTATTTGCAAATCTTTGATGACCTTGTTCTAAAGTTGTCTATAGTTTACGTACACTATAGTTTGAAACACTTTAACGGCTTAAAACGCGAAACATTGTGAAATCCCGTTTCCCCTCGTGGGGCATAGGGCGAACACACATCTGCGTCCGTTTCACTGATCGGTTTTATTCACGGGCAAGTAGTTGATCAGACCTCTGTGCCCTGCCCGACCGAAACAATTTACTGTTTCCCCGGGATTCCAAACCAGGACCTCTCGCGCTTAACGCAATGCTAGGCAACACGTTTAACCATTTAGCTACAGGGGCGGTCAAAACGCGAAACATTAATCAATTAAAGACTGTCTGTAGTTTATACGAGAAGTACACATTTACATAAGACACTTTATGGTTTAAAACGCAGCTGGAGAGCCATGACTCTTGGGTTTTTTCGCCTTTTCTATGAATGAGGAGAGACAAGCGCTTGGTAGGAGGTGAAACACTCAGCTATATTTTATCTAAAATAAAATGCGCCGTTGAACTGTTCTGGGTCTTCGAAACGACGGACAACTCTTCTATTAGGAGACTAATATATATATATAAAATAAACTAGTGGCATGTATTTAAATAAAAAATCTAAAATACATTGAAACAATTACTGGGCAGATCCTGAACTGCAGGTGCTTTTTTCAACCTTTTGTTAAATGCACCTCTCGCGCGATGAAATTTCAACCTTAACGCATGCGTATTAAGGTTTCGATTTTTAATTTATATACTACCATTATGCGCAATAACATGTGAGGAATATGAAAGTTTTCAAACGTGCATTTATTTAACGAACTTTAATTTATAAATTAAAAAAATAATTACTTTTTTTTCAGAGCGCATAGCAAAGCATCCTATACTAACGCACAGTAACGACCTTAGATTATTCGTAATTACTCCAGATGAGGAATTTGACAAGGTATAACACTTTCTATAGTTTAAACCGTGGTAATATTTAATTAAAACACTTTAACCGTTGTTGCGGACAGCGCCATCTTAGTGTGTTCGTTAAAAATTTTACTATTTCTGTTGTTGCGCCATCTTCATGTATTCGTTGGAAACAATTATCTATAGGCGATGAAGGTAGAAAGTCATCATGCACTCACTCTGCAAATCTTGTACGAACCCTTAAACATTTATTAGTTTCCCCGCTTTTTCCCACCTTTTCCATTTTGTCGCATACACTCTAAAGCCTTCTTCTATAAATTAAAAAACAAGGGTTTGTTTTGGTTAGACCAACACAAACAGAATTTTTCAATTCGAACCAGTAGTTTCTGCGATTAGGGCGTTCGAACAAACCAACAAGCTTTATAATATTATTACAGATAGCATATTTTTTCAGGTATTCAAAAGCGAAAACAGTGCTTTAAATTTATGGGGTCTGAGCAGTGCGTTGTATGGGAATGGCGAAGCTAAATCTAACAATGGTGCAAGGTTAGTAGAAACTGGGGTATGGGGCCAATACATTTTTGTGTCCGTTTCAATGATTTTATTAATAGGCAACTTACAACTGTGCCCTGGTCGACAATCAATTTATCGTTTCCCCAGGATTCGAACCCGAGGCCGTTTGTATAATTTAAGAAAATGTAATAAAACCTAAAATATTAATGCATTTAATTTGTCTCAACATATCAATAAGAATTACAATCTAACAATATATCTTTACAGAGTAAAAGACCCAGAATTCACAGCAGCCGCAGATTACATGAAGTCTCTGCAGCAGAAGTTAACTACTCTGTGTACACTAACCAACAAATTGTATGACGGGTCCGTGTCCTTGAGCAATGAATATACAGGGTGAGGTTTTATTTTTATTATTACTTAAAGGGCTCGTTGGTCTAATGGTAGCAATGTTTGGTTAATAATCAAGTGGTGTGGGTTCCATCCCCACCGGGCCCACCACGCTTCTAATCACTTTTTTTTTACTAAAACATGTTAGACTTCGACTAGAAATCTAGATATTAAATGGGTGGTAGGAATATAGAAATTCCGACCGGGTCAAAAACCACCGACCACACATCAATAAGCTATCAAGTTTAATCGCGTTTCGGTGTCAATCTGTGGATTTCCGAGTAACCAAAGCCAAAATAGATCGACAATGTTTGTATATCCTCGTTTATCATACAAAGACATTTATATAGTTCATAAAGGGTGGGGGGGGGGGTATGTGTACGGTTTTACATATGTTATATTACATTACTTTACATTATACTAAATAATTTTTAGAATGCGTCGTGTGTGCGACGCTTGGGGCAGCCAAGTGGGAGGACGAAGCTCGCGTGCATGTGGGGCAATATCTGCCGGGTGCGCAAGCGCAGCTGCTGCTCGATCGAAAGCGCCTCTCAAATATAAGGCGATTTTACCACTGCTGGCTGCATACGCTAATGCACACTTGGAGAAAATCAAAACTAGGGATGCATTACATGGTAGATATACATTTTTAGATATGGCGTATATTTTTTTTTAATAATTCTTTTTGCTTATGTCTTATTAAAAAAAAATGTTAGCTGTGTACATTCTTTAACGTTAACATATTGATAAAAAAAGACTAAAATTGGGAGAAAATAGTTTGGCAAGAAACTCGCCGGCACTTTTCTCGCCAAGTTGTCGAAACAGAGAAATTTGGTTCTCAAAATTTGTCGAAAATGAGTGTAACTGGAAAATTTACTTTGTATTAATAATAACAAACACTACACTGTCGCATTTGTTATATTATATACTCGGTTAGATTCAAACTCAAATTTGTGTCTCTATATTTGAGCCGAATTAATGGTAAATTTTGTTTTATAGCCGCCTACTGCGCCGGCAATAATGCAACGGACGAAAGTCACAACAGGTGAGTTATTTTTAAATAGTTTTGATTACTTTTACGACTTGTGTATGGCATCCCAAAATAGATGTTTTTTTTAATTATTATTTTTTTATCAAAGATTGTCGCTTAAGTTGTTTAAAACTTACACGTATTTCTTTGAGGAGATAATTGAGGCTGCTAGAGACAAAGTGGCCTAATGATTTTCAATAAGGGGGAAATTAAAAATGCGCAATTTTATTTTGCAATTATTTTATGCGAAAATGAACTGTACTATTATTTGTGCAAGAATAATGTTAACAATTTTCAGTCACTGTGCTCTTGTAGATTTACATTTTTAGACTATAAATATATAAATAAATCATAAAACTGCAGTTAGGCTACTCTGGTTCTAGCGGCCTCGTATTATCATTCTTCTTGAGAGTGCAAGAGGACTGGAATAATTCGTTTATAATTACTTCCCTAAAAGACCTTAGTCTTGAGGCGTTGTTATGACCTGTCCGAATTGTTAGAATCTATTATGTTAGTGTTAGTAATGTTAACAAATCCATTTCAGACTAGAGCAAGCTTCAGAAGCCCTTCGCTCTGAGCTGGCCGACTGGATACCAAAGACGAGAGAAGAAATTAAAACTCACCTTCTAGAACTAGCCGATAGACAAGTCGCCATACACACACAATCGCTCATGGGCTGGGAAGCGGCTCTGAAACTCTCAAGCGACACAGATATCAGCGAACTGTTCAAAACCGTATCAAAAACGGCCGTGCAAAATCTCTCCCCGTCGAAATGCCCGATGACAGATGTAGATAGCGATATTGATAGTGATTCTACAGATAGAAAGGGAAGTAAGGAAAATGGCAGGATCAAAGCCGATTTGAATGATAATTCTGATCTGAATGATAAAAATGACACTCATACAAACGAGACGGCGGATGAAAAGACCGACGATGAAATGACTGATCGGTCCAATGTTAAAGATAATAATGAAATAAGTAATGATAGAGACATATCGAATGATATAAAGTTCGTGGACCCACTCCAAAACTTCACGGACGTGGAGTTGTCCTGATTGTGCGACTCGATATTCTGTGATGTGTTCAAGACGATCACTAAATGACAATTGTGAACGCGAATTGCCAAAATTTAATGACCACTGTGACTTAATAAAGTTAGAAGGTTAAGTGAAACACTTGAACGGTTTGAAACGCGAAATATTTTGAACTTATTGAAATTTGGCAAAATACCAATAACGACGGAACAGATGGCGTAGCAGTTGTCTTATTTGAACGTGTACTCGCCGTAAAGTAAACAATACCAAACATATGTTGTACGAATGTTGTCAACTACGAGTTCTTTTTCACAAATTTATTCTCTCCCCGTGTCTCTTACACGTAACACTTTACGATTTAAAACGCGATATATATTCATAAAAACAATTCAGTGCCGAGACGTCGGGTTAAATTTAACAGATGTTTGCGTTTTAAACCGTCAAAAGTGTTGTTTAAGAGTGTACATCGCGTACCAATAATACAAAGTAAATATATATGTAGACGTCGCGTAAAGGCATATATTTGTATATTTAGTGATTCAGCAATATTATTTTGTACTTAAATTATAGCCAATGATAAGCGTCGTACATAGGTTTTAAAATAATATCATTGTGTTTTAATTATTCTAACTTCTGTTGATAATTACATTCTCCATTTGTTTGTATATTTTTGTTTAAAATGTTTATTTTATGTTATTCTCACGCCTGATTGTATATCTGTACTGCCTCATGCGAAAACGCCTCGTTAATCCGAACATGCAAGTACAAGAACAGTTAGGCATTGTTACGAAGTTCGGATTGTCATTTTAACCTTAATTGAGAGGGTCTTTGCTCCAGTGCGGTTTAGCGAGATGATGAGATGCGCCGTCGACTTATTTTTGGCTTTGTATACTCGAAAATACAACGCTGTAACTGACACGCGATTTATCTTCTCGGCTTATTTATCTGTGTACGGTGGATCGTGAAGGACGGAATTTCGATATTTCTACCACTAATTTTGGGCCTGGTGGAGGTCGACCCGTTGCCTTGGCCTTATGTTGCTACGATTAGACCAGCATGCCCGTTTTAACAACTACTTCGATAAACAAAAGACTTAGTATTTTTGCTTGGCCGGATTATAGCGATCGCCAAACCAACGGGAGTCCGGATTAACGAGGCTTTATTTGCAGAATATTAAATCAGTATAATATCAAAGTTACCAGTTAATTAATGTAACATGTAATGAACAAACGTACTGGCCTCATATCATATGTAAATATTGTATTTGAATAAAAAACTTTATAATCACTTCGATGTTTTTTGATTAGTTTTATATATATTTAAGGGCGGAAACCAGTTTTGACGTGGGGTAGGGGGTTTTACATAGACGTGGTAAGTTACACCTTCAATATAATTCTAATAACAATAGATACAAGTTGGTCAAAATATTTCTTCTTAATTTTACACTTAAAGAACCTAACACAGAATTACCTGGGACCAGCTCAGAGGGGGGACCCCCCGGATTCGATTTAAAGGACGGTACCGAATCGCCTTGGCGATGTGGACAGTATCATGTTACGCACTTGGCAACGTTGTTAAGTAAAAGTAACGAAATCAAAGGCGTATAAGTAGCGGCACGGATCTTTAGCGCTGAACAAATCCTGCGCAGAAGTGGGAGGGTTCCCCAGTCGTGTTGTCTTTCTCGGACCAATGCGTCACTCCGCTTGCTTCTCGAGTACAGTCACGTTTTCCAATGAATTACGTGCGCGATTATACAGATGCGCAACTATACCCTCTACATTTCGTTCAGCGCCAAACATGCGTGCCGCGACCTATACCCATGTCGAAATAACACAAGTTATGTTTAATAAACACTTTATTTCCAAAATTACAATTAATAACTTATTCGTGGACTAAACGACAGTTAGTAAGTGAATATAGATCTGTGTGCTGCTTGGTCTTATACACAGGCGGATATGTGTGGTAAGCTTATAAGTACTGTCTAAGAGTAAATTAAAAAACACATCACCCGTACACGTCGGAAAATCTCTCAGAACTTTCAGGATTATTCCAATAATAAGTATACCTTAAATAAAACACTTTAACGGTCAAAAACGCGATATATATTAATCTCCCCGTGACCACGGCTAGAAAGCATCCGAAACGTCGGGCCGTAGTTTTAATTTACAAATAATTTAACTAATATATGTCGCGTTTTAAACCTTATTTAAATGTGTACTACTCGCGTAAACTACAGAGTATTTAATAAGCAGTGCTGTATAGCATCGACTTTATTTTCGAATATTGTTTCTGTTGTCGGGTTATCTATGTTGGTAATTGCTTTGTCTTTTGATTTTCTCGTTTAAAACATTGATGCCTGATATATAAAGTTTACAGTTTTTACCATAGACTATAACAGATGCCTTCATCCATACCAAACCATGATGGCGATTGCTATCGACACTGACTTTATGGTTTTGTTCATGAACAGTATAACTTCTGGGGACACCTGGAAAACCTTCTGTTCCGGACACCTTATTGTTGCAACTGGATGTCTATCGCTTTCTTTCTTATTCAAAATCTGACTCACAACTGTCCACCTTAACTGGAACACCTTTGCAAGACACTCGTCCACTTCGTAGGCTTCTTTTTTATATACTGAAGTAACCTTCTGCATAACGGGATAGGTACAGGACATTTCCTTTTGGATTATGGGAACGACTTTTCGTGTATATATATACCTACTGTGGTCTTTACTAAAGGTAATATTAATAATGAAGAATACAATATCATTTAAATTGTAAGAAAACATGACTTCTTTTAGGATACCATTAATTGTTTATTTTACATGTGATTTTTTTTTTTGAAAAACATTTTTAAATTGTTATGGCGGTTTCTTTTCAACCGTTACAGGAAATACATAGACACCAATAATAACTAAACTTAACAAAATGAATAAATAAAGGTAGACAGTCTAAAGTTATTAAATAATATATAAACACAATCTATAGCATAAAACGGCTAAGTATTGTCTTGTTTCTTCCCGGATCTTTTACTAATGTACTGTGCGTGTGTTCGGCTAATTCGTTCAGAAGCAATAGATAAGTTCGTGCGCTTTCCGTAAGCATTGTTAATAGGGCGCATAACATATCTACGCAAATAATGGAGGGGTCTTAAATTATCTGGTCTTCTTTTGAATTGTAATGCAACATTCTGTGCTGTGCACATATTACTGTAGTTAATCTTTCATTTCAATCACACTTTAACGGTTTAAAACGCGATAAATTTTATTTAAATACATTTTAAAGCTGTCTGCTATTATGCTCGTTGTAATAATGCGATGTTAGCAAGTTGTTCTTTTAAACTTTCATCCTTTTGTCGAAAATTGTTTATTATATACTCTTAGTTGTTAAGACTTTTGTATATTGTCTAAGACTAAACGACAGGTAGTGAGTGAATGTGGATCTATGTGCTGCTTGGTTTAAGTGATGGATGTGTGTATATGTGTTCCTTTGTTATTGTGTGCGTGTTCTTAGAAAAATATCTTTAATCAGGCAATCACTTTAAGTGAGGCATGATGTCCGTAGGGTCAACTACTGGGTTTGGTTGCTATCCATGTTATCCTCCAGTGTAAGATTTTTATGTTTTTTTAAATACACTATAGCGTTCTGGGTTGCTCCACTCCCGTGTGTGTTCGTTACTGTTACAAATAATATCTTTTGTTTTTTGAGTCGTATTGACGTGATTTGGAGAAATCATATTATCTTAAACTAGCCGTTTCAGCTACTTCGTCCGCGTAGAATAGTTATTTTGGGCATGCAAATTTAAGTTCCTTCCCGTCGTTCTTGGAAGTTTTTTTTTTTCCGATTTTCCTCACATTTCTCGCTGTATCTTCGGTAGTATTGATCACAGAGCGATGATTTACAGCCTATAGCCTTAGTCGATAAATGCTCTAACCAACACGAAAAGAAATTTTCAATTCGAACCTGTAGTTCCTGAGATGAGCGCGTTCAAACATACAAACAAACAAAAAAACAAACTCTTCAGCTTTATATATATATATAAAGCTGAAGAGAGATATAGATTACGTAAAGAAAAACAACAATTTATTTAAAAAAAAAATCTATTATTAAAGTATACAATAAAGTACTTTGTTAAATATTAATGTGTAACAGACAGACAGACGGACGTATTTTTATCCTTCGTGTTAAAACCAACCCTAAAAATAATATTTACATAAATTGTTTATTTCATAATAAATAAGAGATTCACTAACGACAACACATTTGTGATCTAATAAATTTGATGATTCTACACTAATAAAACATATTAAACGGTTCAAAACGCGAATAAAATCAGTTTCGAAGCTGAGGTAGCTTTTCAGCAGCTGTAGTCACTGGGAAATCTTATAATACCCGCCTTATCAAACATTTCGCGTTTTAAACCGTTAATAGTCTTATTGAATGTGTTCAAGTAACGACAGACAATACTTTATTCGGCGAATTATAAACTAGATATTGTTCTAGTTAGCTCTTGGACGTTATATTGTAATACCTACGTTCTCACGTAATCTCTTACAAAACACTTAAATTTGAGACGAACGAAGTAAGCATAACAGAGGTAGATCTGGAATACTGTGCGCAAAAACTGTGTAATAAGATCTTTTAAACAAAACAATGTTAACGTTTTAAAACGCAAAATATATCACTTAACATACATACAATTTATTTTAACTACAGCCAAGTACCTACCTGTGCTGAAAAGCATTCGAAACGAGGGGCCCGTAGTAAATGAGTTAATTGATATAATTCGCGTTTTAAATTGTTAAAAGTGTTTTATTTGAATTTGTACTACTCGCGTAACCTACATACAATACTTAATATTGCGCAAAATGTTTAAAAAAATATATTTCAAGCACTTTTAAATAAATACAGACGGAGTTTTACGATGTTGTGTTTGTATAGCTTGAAATGTATGTACTATCCCTCAGCTGGGCCCAGGTTAGGTCAGAAGGTTAGGCCCACCGTGCTGCTACGCTGTTGCGGGAAATTTACGACTACCGACACTAAATTAGTAATGACAATCTTGGTACCTCCATATTCTGGGTATCAAGCACCGAAGTAACATTCATCCTGCTCTAGAATTTAATCATTGGACACACAAAAGCAGTCGTTTCGTACTCAGTTGCCAGATAAAAAATCCCTTAATTTTCTTTCATAAATTCAAACATTTTTAAATAAAACACTTTAACGGATTAAAACGCTATAGATTGTCGTTAAACTTGTGTGAAAATTATTTTGAAACTACGGCCCGACGAATCGGATGCTTTGCAGCAGCCCCCACCGAAATCACGGGGAGACTAAAGATCTCCATCTTGATGTTAGATGTCTCCGACGTCAAAGTAAAAGTAATTTTTCAAACAAGTTTAACAAAAATATATCGCGTTCTATACCGTTAAAGTGTTTTATTTAAATGTGTACTACTCGCGTAAACTACAGCCAGTATTTAAATTCAAAATTCAAAATCGATTTGGATAAAAAATCTAAACGACATATTGATCGATCAGTTTCAAAAATGTATGAAAGTGAATTTACACCAAGAAGCTCGTAAAGCCAACAAAGACGACGCCCGCGCACGGCGAGGCGATCATTCGCGCGGCATCATCGTTCGCAATGCCCGAATGTTTTCAATCAATTGAGATCTTTCCCACCAAGAATGTTAAACGGTTTATAAGTGCGCGGTTTTATTGTGACGAAACATTTCTTCTTGATGTTTCTCCATCACTAAGCGAAGACTGGTGGTAGGCGAAAACCACTCAACTTCTTCGGTGATGACGAAATGCCGAGAACCATTTCTTCAGCTGTGCAAAATGGCGAGAAAGTTTTATAACAAAGTCACTGGCACTGACTTTGTCCGCGTAGAATAGTAGCTATTTTGGGCGTCAAAATTTGGTTTTTGCAAACCTCCTCACCATCTTTATTTATATTGCTGTTAAGTGTTACTCACGACGTCGTTCTAGAAAGTCTTAAAAGATTACACATATACTGTGGGCATTTAAAGCGGAATCATTCTTTACATACATATATTAGGGGTGCGCGTGCGCACGCTTCGGACGCCCTTAAAGATGAGTAATTTTCCCCTTTTTTTAACATTTCCCTCTGTTTCTTCACTCCTATTGGTCACAGCGCGATGTTTTAGCCTATTGCCTTTCTCGATAAATCCTCTTACAAACACACAAAACATTTTTCAATTCAAACCAATAATCCCTGAGATAAGCGCGTTCAAACAAACAAACTCTTCAGCTTTATATATTAGTGTAGATTTTAAATAAATATAACTGTGCTATCACATTACAATTTTGCTAATAAATAAATCTAATTTGTACGTTTCGGACACAACTCCTTCATAATTGCGTACGCGTCGATCCACGGCACTACTTTCGCTTTTATCTGTGGTTCCGGTGTTGCCAGCGTCTTTTTTATAAGGTCATCGAGTGGGTAACCCTTTCTCGGGAAGACAGTTGCCTATAAACAAGGGAATAAGACACGAATTAGTAAAAATTTGTGAGGTTTAACAAAAAACACACATAGAGTAAGTTGTTTTTCTTTTATTTAACAACAATTGACACACATTTTTTTGCGCATTTGTCTGCGCAATAAAAAAATGTTATGTTATATCTTCATTTTGTATTTTGTATGTGTATTTTTTCGATCTATTCCGAAAGGAGTTATGAAGTTAACTCTTTATAGATCAAATTCAGATCATTCCACACCAAAGTGTACATAAACAGAGTTATACAAAAATATCAGAAGTAGGTTACAATTAACACCAAGTATAAAAAAAACATAAATAATTTGCTGCAAAAAGATTGCTAATGCGCAGATCAATATATATAATAATACTTTATATAAGGCGAAAACACTGCCCCATGCCCCGTTAATACGTTAATAACATCACTACAGAAAACAGTTATTTTATTTACAGCTATGTAGTTAAACACTGTTGGAAGTTAACGCGATTTAAATAAAACACTTTTACGGTTTTGAATATGAAAGGCGTTTTAAACAGTCAAAAGTGTTTTATTCAAAAGTAATTGGCAGAAACTTTATATTGTGTTGTCTTGGGACTCAAATAAGGGTCTCTTGTACTGAACGCGATATACAATGTGTTCAACCGGAAGCCTTTTTTTAATGATAGAGGGAGACAGACATGCATCTAAACAAGATCGGCTGTTGACCTATTTTGGCTTTGGATATTCGGAAATCCATAGACTGAAACCGAAGCGCGATTAGGCTCCACGGCTTCATCATCTGTGGACGGTGGATCGTGAACCGTTAACTTCTTACTGCCCATACAATATCCAGATTTCCAGACGTAGTCCAACGTGTTTCAGAAAAAATTTAAACATTTTGGACCCGGTGGGGGGGGGGGGCGAACCCACGACCCGTTGATTATTAGCCATACATTGCCACAATTAGACCGACGAGCCCGTCCAAAAGCTAATGTTATATCAACTAAATAACTATCTTCCTATTAAGAAAGAATAAGAATATAGACGTACTTAGTAAGTAGATAGATACTCACGTTGCTGGGCAAGTTAGTCGCCGGACAGTAGTCGTTCCTCCCGTCCCCGCTGTACACTATCCTCTCGTAATTCCTGTCGGAGCAGTACTGCGCTAGTGCCAGCGACTTGCACAAGTTACTGGGACACCGGCGGCACGACGTCTGGCGCATACACGGCTCGATGAAAAGACGCTCGTGTTGCCAGAAAGCGCGGTTTGTGATTATCGATGTTATGGCGTCCTTCAAAAGGTTTCTTATTTAAATAAAACAGTTTAACGGTTTAAAACGTGATGAACATTAGTCAAAATTATTTTAAGGACGGCCAGACGTTTTATACGCTTTGCAGCAGTTAAAATATTCTCCAAATAAGTTTAACACATATCGCGTTTTAAACCGTTAAAGTGTTATATTTAAATGTGTACCGCTAGCGTAAATTACGTAAGGTTTCTTTTGAAAAAATACAGAGAAGATTGGGATTAGTAATGGAAGGTGAAGCTTTAACAAATTCGAATTGGCTTTGGTTGAAATCCACGACTGAACTTACACGCAATTAAACTTCACGGTTATTTATCTGTGGACGGTGGTCAGTGACGCGGACGGACTTTTGATATTCCTACCACCCATTTTATATCCAGATTCCAGACGAAGTCCAACGTGTTTCAGAAGAATTACAACTTGAAAATTTTGAAACGTTTAAATAAAACACTTTAATAGGAAAAGATTAAAAAAAGGGAAAAAAAAATAAAATTTTTTTGAAAATGATTTTTAACTTCGGCCCGACCGGTTTCGGATGCTTGGGGCAGCAGCCGTGGTCGTGGTTGAAAATCATTTTAAATAAGTTCTCGCGTTTTAAAGCTAGGAAGAGTTTTATTCAAATGTGTACCACTCGCGTAAGCTATAGACAGTATCTAAATTTGAAACATGTTAGACCCAGCGGAGATCGAAGCCACCACCCGTTGATTATTAACCACACATTGTTACCATTAGATTAACGATCTCGTCGAAAGCCTTCCATCAGGTGAGCCACATGCTCTCCCATCGTAAAGTACTCGTGTAAACAAAAATCTTCAAATATATGTCTGAGATCACCTTTAGAATCACGCCACGTCAATTCTACCCTCTATACTACAATTAAAGCAATTATAACAGTAGCTCTAATTCGCGTGAACCTCGAAGGAAATGAACTTGTCAGTGACGTCATCGACGAGCAGATAAACAATGATGTGAAAACGTGATTAGACCTTTGACTATAACAGGTAAAGCTGTAAGACTATTGTCGCCCCGCGGTGTTGCCCACGCTACATTACCGACTACCCCCTTTTGAGTGCATGTTACAATTATGCCGGACCGCCTCCGTAGCCAAATGGTTAAATGTATTGCCTAGCATTGCGTTGAGCGCGAGAGGTCCTGGGTTCGAATCCCAGGGCACAGAAGTCCGATCAACCACTCGCCCATTAAAAGAGCTGATCAGAGAAACGGACACAGAAATGTGTTCGCCCCGTGCCCCACGAGGGGGAAACGGGCTTTCACACACATACAATTATGCCGGTTCAAGTTCCGCCCTTGTCGTTACTTTATTTTTCAATTTAAAATCGATTTTTAATTTAAATAATGCCATCGTGCGCAATAACATGTGAAAAATATTAAATTTTTCGAAATTGGACGCCAAAAATAACTATTATAGGCGGACGAAGTCGCGGCCACAGCTAGTAAGATATAATGGGACCTGTTATTATTTTTTACAGTCATCTTCATCTTATTACCTGAAGACCGTGACTCTTGATCCAGTGGTTAACGAAGACACTATTGGCATCAGACAAAATGAGGACATCCCAGCCCTGTTCAGCCAATGTGGTGATGAGTTCTGGCATACCAGCAGTTGGCCGCATAGATGCGATGCTGTCGAGGATGTCCGTTGGATGGAAGCCAGCTGAGAACGCATGTTCGAATACCTGAAAAAAAATTGAAATCTAAACAAGCTTGAAATTAGAGTGTTAGTGTGAACGAGTAGGTAAAAAGATTTTTTCAATGTAAGTAAACTTTACTTTCCTTAATGTACATATGTTTAGTGTTTATACATGTATTTAAAATAAACGCTTTTAAAGGTTTACAACGCGAAATATAGTATAACGGTAACTGAATGTTAAATTGTTATTACTGCAAGTTAAATAAAACACTTTCACACAACTAGCTCACATACAGACAACTACCAGTGTTGTCTGTATGTGAGCGATATGAGGGGTTTTTTTTTAAATCGACTGCCAGCAATTTAATAATTAGTTTATGTATGGTGTGAAAAAATAATTTATGAAAAACAAATAAACATAGCTTACTTATAGCTTGTTTTTTCCTCAGAAGTTTTTTTAAACGAAAAAATTTAATTTTGGGAAAGCTTGCTGGCGGAAGCTGGTGTGATAATACATGGCGAATGATGAAATCTTCTAAAAGCGAGATTACCTATGAACGTGTCTTGGCACCGATCCCAGTGACCCTGGCCTCAGCCATTGCCACTCGGCGTCGATGCGGCTATGGCAGAATCATTATATGGGTTGAGAGTGTTTCTTTCTATTACGCTTTTTACGACGGAAAGAGATGCGCTGCCGATCTGTTTCGGCTTCGGATATTCGGGATATTAATAGTAGATTAATGAATATTCAAAAATTGATAGCTACCAATTCTTGAATATTCATAAATGTATGTATAATCAACGGGTCGTAGGCTACGATATTTATATTATTTATATATTAACATATTTTATGAAAATTATTTTCAAAAACGTGTTAGATTTGGTAGAAATATCGAAATTTCGTCCGAGACCACACATAAAGCATACAACCAAGCATTTTGTCTTCAGTCTGTGGATTTTCGAATATCCACAGCCTAAATAGCGTATGCGGCTAGACCAAGGGCGCCCCGAGGGGGGCATCGACCTTGACTGGGACCGCCGCAATGCGGGTGGAACCTTGGAGAGCTGGACGGTATCTCACACGAGTGAACGGTACGCGGAGCAAATGCTTTCCCCAAGGAATTAGGAGACCACATTGCTCTCGAGTACAAGGCGATTTAGTGGAAACTCGCGCTTGGTGGTCGTACCAAGCGCGATTAGGATTCGTGTAGGACGGGTTATGTATCGCTTCTTAATATATCACTAGCTGTGTCATGGACTTCGCGTACAACAGTTATTTTGGGACATCCAAATTTGTTTTTGCAAACCTCTTCACCTTTAAGTTTAAGCTATTACCCACGACGTCGGTCGCGTCACTTCGTTCTTACTAGTTACTCATAAAAGATACAGTGTCGCGAACAATATTTTTATCATTTAAAAAGGAATAATTCTTTTAAATAAAACACTTTAACGGTTATAAGTTTAACTAATATATCGCGTTTTAAACCGTTAAAGTGTTTTATTTAAATGTGTACTACTCGCGTAAACTATAGACAGGAATAATTATTTTATATATATTTTTTGATTTCTTGAACTGGATTCGCACTACGCATCGGAAACTCACAAATGTTAAATATGTTTTCTTTCAAAGTTGCTTCGCTCTTATTAGTCACAGCGCGATCTTTTATATAGCCTATACCTATTGCCTTCCTCGATAAATTTCATAACCAACGCAAAAAAGAAATTGAATACCAGTAGTTCCAGAGATTAGCGCGTTCAAACAAACAAACCAACTCTTTAAGTTGAGTTGAAAATAAAAAAAAATATGGTTGTCTGTCAAATAATATGTTTGTCTGTCCCGTTGTTTTGTTATTTGTATAGAGTATAGATATAGAAAGATTCTGTGTTTAAGTGGCGGTAGAAATTACTTGTGGAAATGTTTTTTCTCCAACACGACCACATAAAGGATCGATAGCCAAGCCTTGGATGGCCGCATTCTGTCAATTACTATTAAACATCTTTAAAATATGAAGTTCCACGTAACTCTCCCTCCGTGACCACGGCTGTTGCAAGTCGTGCCGAACGTCGAGTCGTAGATAAAAATAAGTTATAATTGGCGTTATAGGCTGTTCAAATTTTTTACTGCCTGTTATAAATGATAATTTTATTTCTTCTTAAGTCCTTTACATATATTTTTTTTATTGTGTAATCTTTTATTAGCTTATGTTATTTAAGTATTTTTATGCCATGAATGTATTACTTAGCTGTATCATAATAGAATCCTAAAAAAAACCTAATAAGATAATAAAATAAAAAAAGCCCTAGTTTCTAGTATCTGTGAAATTCTATTGACCCACACGACCTTATTGTCTTTTGTGTTATCGGAAAACGCGGTAGTTAAAGATTAGATGATAAGAAACCGATAAGCGTGTTATATATACACGTGTACTTTAAGTACGCTTTTAATTTGCTTTGCTTTAATTAAACTGAATAATCTATACCAATATAAAGCTGTAGAGTTTGTTTGTTTAAATGCGCTAATCTCAGGAACTATTGGTTCGAATTGATAAATTTGTTTGTGTTGTTAATTGAGGAAGGCTATAAAACATCGCTGTGACTAATAGGAGCGCAGAAGCAGCGGGAAATCTGGGAAAATTAATCATCCCTGTGGGTTTCCGTTGCGTAAGCCTTGCAAACGGGCTCAAGATACCCGTAGAAAAAATATGTACAGTGAATTTATTTTTCCTTAATATAGTCTAAAAAATGTCAATTTAACTAATAAGAATGGTTTTTGTGGTGATAAAATTTGATCGAAATTCTTCACATGGCAAAAAGAAAACGTTTGCAATAATGACCTAGTATAAATAAGTAAATAAAACATTATATCTACGTAATAATCTTTATAAGCTAAAAATATATATCGGTAAATAAAATTTAAAAGTATCCAGGAGTGCAAAAGTCATGGAAGTTCGTCAATTGATTGCGTCATAAGGAAGGAAGTTAATAAAAATATCGTTTCTCTGTTATAAGGAAAAGCAATTTTCATAATCATAGAACGTGACGCATTTTCACTGATTCTGTAAGTCATCGTTCTAATAGTCTGTTAGGATTATAAAGGGACAAAAAAAAAAAAAAAAACACAAGCGAATCAATGTGGTGCAAGAACTCGAAATAAATTAATTATATGCTACATTCCTTATGTGAGCTTAATTCTCGTACTTAAAACTTTGTGTTTTAATCTATACTGAATTGCAAATCAAAGTAATAAACACATTAGTTTAATTATATCTTTTAAAAAACTCGACGACACAGATGCGTGTTTAGAGCATCGAAAATAGATTTTATACTTATGTAAATTTATCAACTTGCCGTAAAATGCTAAAAATAAACTGTTTAAAATATAGGTATGACGATAGAATAAGAGGTAGGTAAACTCTTTGCTTTATTATATCATAACTAACGTTTTCTGAAAAATTCGTTGAAATATGTATAGCTGATATTTTCTTTTCAATCAATACATAATTACAAAATAAATTGTTATTATCTTTTAAATATAACAAGGTCCCTATGACCACGGTTACTGCAAAGCATCCGAAATGTCGGGACGTACCTAGTTAAAATAAAGAAAATAATATATTACGCGTTATAAATCGTTAAAGCTAATTTATTAGCTTTAGTTTAGTTAAATACGGATAATGTTGTTTAAATCATCCACAAAAAATTATTTTAATAAAATCACAAAATATTTTTTGCGTAAGCAACATAATAAATACTTACATCGCTCATGTACGGGGTCCAGTCCCGTGCCCCGGATTCATATTCCGGCGGAGGCTTCTTCTCTCGTAACCTCGATATAATTGTGGCATCAGAATCTTCATCTACAATGGTATGATCGAAGTCGAAAACAGCCAAGTTCGCCATTATTCAAATCTCCCGCTCACACAACACTGCACTATGATGTATCGAACGCGAGATGGTATCACAGACTGGTTCTATTTAAACATATTTTCGCATCGCGCCTGGCTTTTTCCGGTTAGAAAATTACGAATAGATACTTGTAATTTATGCAATATATTCATTTAATGAATGACATTGGCAAAATACGAACTTGACCTTAGCGGTTTTGACAAATTAACAATAAAGTTGCCAGTAACAAAAAATCTAATGTATGGCCCTGTTATCGTAAAAATAATTTAAGATGTCAGTTATTTTATGTTCCATTTCTTGTCTTAAGGAAAATAAAAGTTATGTTTAAGGCTTGAATTTTCTTAGTATAGTCCATTCTTTTGAAAGTGTCCTAAGATGTAAACAAACCCCCCTGTACATGAAGTACGCGTTATTTTTCCACTTATCAAAGAAAATAACACAATAAACATACGGACATTGCAATATCAGTTTAACACGTTTAACGTTAAAAATTAATAACAATATAATACTAAAACACGTAAAATCTAATAAAACACGAATATTCACAGTACAGATAAAAGCAAAATTGTGAATTTGAGATTACGGCATGCATTTTTTTAGTACTATTTAGAAACAAATTAAATTTTAATTTACCGAGTCAAAGATGATTTCTATTAAATTAAAAAGAATGTGATTATCTTCGAAGATATGTTATCTGTTGACATAGACAATAGTGACATTTTGCATACATGATAGTGACACTGACATTAAAGAAGTAAAAAAAACCGTACCGAGTTGCCTTACGTGTTTAAATTTCTCGCTCTTAGCAAATTATTTTAAGTATAATGGCATCGTTAAAAGTGTATTCAATAGGCAGATTAGCGAGATATGTTACAGATTCAACGTTACGAAATTTACGAACCAATTTTTACAGGTAAATGTTGCGCAACTGTTGCTGTAACCTCAAAGTTACATTATCTTAGGTTTTACTTTAAATTTTTGAGTAAATACTAATTAAATAAATAACTCTTTTATATCCCTTATATATGGAGCTCAACAAGTTAACTTAAAAGATACTTACAACATTGTCATACAGATTATAAAAAATTTCATCATCCCTTTACAACCAATTTAAGTATCTCCTGTTCTTCTGATAAATTTCTATATTCTTTGAGTGAACACCCCAAGTATCATAAAAAGTATGAAATTTTCATAATTTAATGCATTTACGGATAGTACTACTAGAGTACAAAGGTTAAAATTCTTATCATTAGTTAATATACTTTCAGAGAGTCAGTTCGCTGCTACAGTGCTGAAGAAAAGGCAGCTGAAGAACCAGAGAAACAGACTAAACAACTACCAAATACTGTAGAAGAATGCCATAAACATATTGAATCACTTAGCACAGACCTTAATACACTTAAGGACCAGGCCAAAGATTATGAAGTAAGTAGAGCTATACAACTTTGTGTCCATAAGCTATTAAATAAATTTTGAAATTACTCTTTTAGGTTTATAACACCAGTGAGACTGTTAGTCAGACCTGTATTCAGGTCTGACAAAACAAATGTTTTCCAAAGTGGACAGCACCCTTTTGTAAATTTTTGTGACTATATAGTCTAATAAAAACTTGTAAGAACTAGTCTGGAAGCTTAAGAAAACCTAAGAGTACTAATGAACATTAGTAATTTTATATTTCACATAATGTTTTTAATATTTTAGTCTATTACATTCAATACATTCATACAATGACAACTTTTAACATACAATTGAGTAAATTACAGAAATGTTTCAAATTAAATATACAAAGTGTATAATGTGAAGTGTAATACTTTCAGGACAAATACAAGAGAGCACTAGCAGACTGCGAGAACGTGAGACGGAGAATGATGAAACAAGTGGAAGATGCCAAGTCCTTTGCGATACAGAGCTTCTGCAAAGATTTGCTTGATGTTAGTACTATCTCATGATCTTTAATTAAGTAATAAAAATTTTGTAGTTGTGTAGGTAGTTTGATAATTGGGAAAAGTCAACATACTATGACCATGCTGTTGCCAGTTTTATATTGTTCTCCTGTTCTTATTTGTGTGACTTGGGGTAAAATTAAACTAGGACCATCTTTGTCTTTATGGTAAGTCATTTTCAGTTTTTTTTTTGCTTTTAATTAATTTTATTTCATGTAGGTAGCAGACACATTATCCGCAGCAGCTGAGAGTGTGCCCGAGGGTGCAGAAGGTGGAGCTGGTGCAGCACTACGTTCTTTAGCTGATGGTGTCAAGTTGACCCGAGCGCAACTCTCACAGGTAAAAATTATTATTTATGACATTATGATTTAACTTTGACTATTCAGAGAAAGTTCAGACCTTGAGGATCTTATGCAGACTATGATATTAAACTTCTAAATCTCATTACAGTTTAAACAGGAAGAGCCTAAAATACCCACCATTTAGTACTAGAAATGGGGTGGAATCAAAAAGGAACTACAAAATTTTTGCCCAATATGCAAGCTGTGCCATGTGAATTAAAGAATATTAGCATTTGTTTTTTTTTTAAACCTGATTGAATCCAATAATATATAGTAACTGGTTAAAAAATATTTTACAGGTGTTTGCTCGTCATGGTCTTGTAGCAGTGTCGCCACTCAAGGAGAAATTCGATCCCAACTTGCATGAAGCACTATTCCAACAGGTATTTACTTCAATTATGTTCCTTCATGCTAGAGCCAGAGTGGCCTAATAACATAAAACATGATTTTCCATAAGGAGGAAACTAAAAATGCGTTTCTTTTCGGTCACTGTGCTCTTGTAGATTTACATTAGTAGACTGTAAAAATATAAATTACTCCAGTGATAAAATTCCACTTATGTTACTCTGTCTCTAGTGGCCTTAATATAAACAAAGTTCCATTCTGGAAATACATTGTAATATTGATTATATATTCAAATGTTATGCCTTGTATGTAAAATGGATTTAATTTTTTTTAATATTCTTCATATATAACAGGAGGTGGAAGGTGCAGAACCTGGCACAGTGGTGACAGTCAGCAAAGTAGGCTACAAACTGCATGAAAGATGCGTCCGGCCTGCCCTAGTCGGTGTAGCTAAATGAGCTATGCAGGGTACTATTCTGGAACCACACACCTTCATAACATATATCAATGATATTATTAAAGCGTTCAGGACTATTTTTTCATGCAAAAGTCGATATGATACTTAATTTTTATCTACTAATTCTTAAATAAATTTTGATTTACAGTACTGTGTGTGGGACGTACTGTATATTTTTGTAAAACTCCTAAGCTCCTAAGCTAGGTTTTATAAATTTTAAAGGCTTTTCCAGAGCAATTTGGGTTTTTAAGGTTAGGTTAGACTTCTAGACTTTTCGTTATTAAAAGTGGATGGCGTTGTTGAGTGTTTCTCGATTAAGCGAAGCGTGGACTTGGCTGAACTGCATAGACGTCGTCATATCCTTATGATGATGGGCATCTTGGAAACTCAAATAGCTGATAGCAGATTCCAAATAGGACACTTATCCATTTGTAGCACAAATGTATATTTTGTAATAAAATTTGATAAAAGGAATTAATTTGCTTTTATAAAACGTGTATGCATTTATAGTCAAGTTAGGTAACTTGCTGGCAACCTTAACATTGACAATGCTAAAATGATTATAGAAGGAAGGTTGTTTTTTATTTAAAATTACCTAACGTGGCTTCATTGGTTTGCAATAAGCAGAGTTCAGACTAATTTCAATAGTAATGGTTTGTTGGAAAATTTATTTTGACAGACTCCCCAGTCTAAACCTTGCTTACTGCTGTAAAATATTAAGCATAGACAATACTTAAGTTTAGTCGATTTATATTCCAAATGATTGTTTTGTATGTACTGTAGAGGGTAGTTGTAGATTTTCAGTGGATGCAAATTGCTGTTGTAAAAATGAATGGATGACTTGTTGAATAAAAATATTGTTAGTACCCGTTGCGTTTTGAAATTTGGACGCAACTTATCTTTGAATTAAAATCAAAACAAAATTATTTACTTGTTAAAAGTATAATTAGCATACACTTTGTAACGCTCTACGGGACAAACACGTAGAACAATAAAAGTTACGTTCCTTTCACGTGTTCACACCCGTAGCCGTTAATCTGCTAAAACTAACATCACTTTCGTCCATTTAAGCAAAATTACACATCAGGATCATTTTAAAATTGATTTTTGAAACAAAATGTGCTGGTAATGTTATCAAATGACTTAATCCTAATAATGGCTTCATTAACTACGACACACAAATTTCTGTCTACCCCCCTCCCCTTTCATGGTATGACGTCACATTTTGCAATTTCGTGTAATTTTGTCAATTCGTCGTCGTAATTTATGAAGGAACCCTATTGTTTGTATGTGCCTTATATTGTAGAATCCAGTTCATAGCAATAAACAAGAACTTACTGTTAACAAATTAAAGTCTTAATCCCAAGACGGTCAGAATGTAAAAATAATTCTACATATTTCAAGAACCCTTAAAATATCAAAATCTAGAGATCGAACCGATCGTTGGGGCTCAAATAATACGCATAGTAGGGGCACATTCTCTCAACATTTATATAATAAATCAGTAGTCTTCTAAAGCGATACTTCAGAATTCATTTCGCCTCTTGGACGTCTTGGTATGGAGGGGGAGATTAGAATCCCTCTTGGTAGGATTTGGAGTCGAGTCGCGCCTGTAGTAATTCCAGCTGACGTCTCGCTTCGCAGACTGGGAAGTTATTTAATTCGTAGTACTGTGGCGCGATGCGTAGTAACCATTCCGCTAAAAAAGAAATAGCTTAAATGAATAAGTTATAAATAAAATGAAAAAAAAATTACGGTTCTGTGTAGCATTAACCCGATTGAGCTACCGGGTCCTATTCCAGGGTTCAGAGATCTACAGACAAATTGAAACGGATTTTTAATCTGTGGACGGAAAAATTAATCCAGACAGGATATCTAAATGATTCAGATTTTTTTTTAAATTTATTTCAGATGTATCACCTGATAAAAATCCAACCTATGTCTCGTTGAGTTGGACCATATATTGCTACCATAGGACTTCAAAACATGATGAGAAACTTACGTTTAATATCAGTGACGGTTCTGATATAATTCTTGGTGGTTAGCACAAATTCATTGTATATGACCCAATCGGGTTTGTGGTCCAGACATGTAGACGGGTGAAGTTGGACTATCTGGTTGTCTTTTACTGTTAAGTAGTGTCCACTCCTTTCCAAGTGAGCGACCTGGAAAAGAAACATTTACAACATCAGTAAGTAAGAAAGTAAGAGAAATCCCGTTCCCACTCATGGGGATTGAGGTGAACACACTATACTGTTCGTTTCACTGCTTTGTTGATCAGACTTCTGTGCCCTGCCCGACCGAACAACATCACAATGGCAATTTTACAATGCAAAAAAAAATAAATTTCCATGACTGTTATTTATTATGGTACATCAACAGATCACTTACGTGTAATTCATTATACTTAACATCACAATAAGTTATGTTATCAGTATCAAGTATAAGTTTAGCAATAGTAAAACAGTCACATATGTCAAAATAATAATTGATTTAAATTAAAAAAATAAACACTTGTCACGTGACACAAAACGCTCCTGATTGGTCGGGTTTATGATGACATCACTTGCTTCTACAGTGCTTATAATCCTATATTCTATTCTCTGCATTAATAAATAAATAAATTTGTAACTAATTCTAGTTACTCCAATCGTTTTGTACAAATTGCAGTAGATCATCTGATCGACTTACACAGATGGCCGATATAAGGCAGTGACGTCACTAGCCGATTTGCAAACGTTATTTCGTAAAATTAGCGTTTAGGCGCGCAATTTAATGTGATATATTGCAAAATATGATCAGACTGATCATAAGATCCGCTGATCATTCCAATCTTTCTGTGGAGGTTAGGTAGGTAAAGCCCTTCTATAGATTTGATCCACTGTTTCGACGCCAGCAATTGACAAAAAGAACAGTGTAGTGGGTCTTAGGTCTTAACTATTTTTCCTGTGAGAAAGATCTGTGCCCAACGGAAGGGCACTGGCAGGTAGGAGAGAGTTAGGTGATGACAAAAATAATATACCTGCATAAAGAATCCGTTGACGAGTGCTTTCCTAATGTTAATGTAGTAATCCTTACTGGTAAATTCTGTGCTCGTCCTCTTTAGATTAAACCTGAAAATAATAAACAATTGATTAATATAGAGATTTTTTGAAATGGGGGCAAACGGAGCAAACTCCTTTCTGTGTCTATTTCACCGACTGCTTTTAATACAAGTTGATCAGATTTCAGTGCAAACTGATGCCAGACAACACACAACTGTCGAGTTAGAGGTGGTCATGTAGTATGATGGTGATGAAATAATAATAGTTTTAATTACTATAGCTATTTCCCACTGTTGGGACTTGAGTCTACTAGAGGACATAAGTAGTTGACACTAAGAATAATAATAAACCTCTTTTTTGGCAATTAGTAGTAGTAGTAGAAATGAATGCAATTACAATAAAATAATTATGACGAAAAGATTGAATTAAATTTTAATAAGAGTGATGCCAAGAGGCTGCAGCACGGCTGCATAAGTTGCAGCTCAGTTATGCGACGAACCCTGATTTTCAACGAAATGTCAGCTAATCTATGTCTTACCTGTCCATAATTCTGCTGAGCTGCTGCCTCACATTATCACCGGATTTGAGTGAACGGTAGTTGATGAAGTTGTCATAGCACCAGTGTGGGTCTTCCATGTCTGAGAAAGAGACGAGTATTTCATATAACAAATATTATCATATATAAATATTAATATAACAAATATAGATTGTCTTTAATATATTGCATTATATTAAAGACAATCTGTGTGATGAAGTAATGATACTCAAACTAAACTTAAGCTACAATAATAGTTGTCATACTTAACTTAACTTAACAGGTATGTTATGTAAAGTTTTTTTTAAACAAAAGAACATAACAAATACGGCCGATCTCAAACCATAGAGAACTAGTGGTGACTTTTTGTAGAGTGAAGTTGTTGCCTCAATATTCAAAGCCACGTTTATGATCTTTATTTTATTTTATGACGTTAGTACACTTTCAGCGATCTTGCATGATGAAACTTCTACTTTATATTGTGGACTTTCCTTACATCCTGATGTATTTTAATCTGTCCATTTAAGTAAATTCATTATCAGGAATTTTAATAATGTAATCATGAAAGTGTAGTTTTCACTAAGAGCTAAATCTAGTTGTGAATCTATAAACTTTACGAGATAATCACGATTTTATGCAAATTGAACAAAAAATGCCAAGTTAGAAAAAATAGTAGTAAATTTCTGTTTTCTATATGACATGGAATAGGTAGGCTTTTGCATTTATTCACCAATAGAATGAAATATATCGCGTTTTAATCAGTCACTTACTCTGTTTAAAAGCGTGGTAGACATTGAGTAACGTGAGATGATCACCGTCTATGTGAGCGAACCTCATTTTGGCCTCGTCCGCGGCCTTCCGCGCCTCGTTTGGTCGGACGAAACATTGTGGTACTGGAATATGGAATATAAAGATTTAATTGTTACACTAGCTATGTCCGCGGCTTCGTCCACATGGAATAGTTATTTTGGGCACTATATCATCTATATGCAAATAACCGTAACTTCATAAATTACTAGCTGTGTCAGCGTGTGTCAGAGTTATTGATTAACTATTCCACGCGGGCGAAAAGCTTTATAAATTTTTTATCAACAACAATATAGTATCATTTAATGAAGAATCATGCATGCATACATATTTTTTGGATTCTTGAACCGCACGCAACGAAAACCTTCAAAGATAAATAATTTTCCCCGGTCTTTCCACCTTTCCCACTGTTTCCTCACTTCTATTGGTAGCAAGTCTCTTGTTTTATAGCCTCAAGACTTCCTCGATAGATACTCTAACCATCGCAATAATCTTTGAACCAGTAGTTCCAGATATTAGGACGTTCAGACAAACGAACAGACTCCATAGCTTTATAATATTAGCAGGCTTGCAATGATTATAGTGTATTAACTTATAGAATTATATTTAGATTTTAGAAAGTATGAACTGGAATTAAAACAAACATTGTATTGATTTAAGCTCTGTTACACAGACAACCTACCTGATAACATGGCTGTGATAGATAGTATTTCATTTGAGCAGTTGTGGTTGCAACTGGCTATGAGCATCTTCGCCAATTGTGGGTCCAAGGGAAATTCCGCCATCACTGCACCCAGGTCAGTAAGATTGCCGTCATCATCTGTGATTAAAGAATTTCAAGTTTTGAATAAGTCTCTAAATTATAAGTATTATCAAATCAAATAAAAAAACATTCATTCATATGCAGTGTGTTTTTTCGAACTTGGCATTTCTGGTAAACACACAATTTGTAAGAAGGCGTGATTTTCTCTCAACTACCTCGAATTCACTTAGTAAAAACCACAATTTCATACTAATATTATTACCTATCACACACCACAGATTATAATTTCTTTAGTTTGAAATTTACATAAGGATGGGAAAGTCAACGACATCGGAAGGTAATAGTCCAACTCATGCACGAATAGCGTTACAAACGTTTAGTTAAATAATAGGGACAAAAAATCTAAAATAAACCCAATTATACCCACTCACCCAGTGCAGCCAAGTAGTTGAGCAACTCCAACGCCCGCATCAAGGTCTCGGGCGCAGGTGGGTCCATGAAGTCGAAATGCACCAGGTCGTCGATCCCCAACTTTTTCAACTGCAAAACTACAGATCCTAAGTTCGATCTGCAACGGTAAGGCGGGCGGCATTAGTCGTTGCGTTACGCGCCTCTACTTGTCTGCAACGGGACCGGTCTATTTTATACTTTGACTAATCTCTAGTAGTTTACGCGAGTAGTACACATTTAAATAAAACACTTGTACCGGTTTAAACGCGACTAACTTTAACATTTGAGTCTCCCTGGGACCACCACTACTGCAAAGCATCCGGAACGTCGGTAGTTAAGATAATTTTCAAATAAATTTAAGTAGTTATATATCGTGTTTTAAACCGTTACAGTGTTTCATTTAGATAATCTCTTGTTACTAGTGCTAACATTGAAATAGCTCTTATGTATGTTAGTGATAATAAATGTATAATAGCCGGCAAACATTTTGACTAGTAATATTGTTCAGTAGTAGATTTGTATGGCTCTGGCAGAACAAACGGGACGCGGGGTATTGTGAAGTCTTTCGGCCCACGCGTCCCACTATGTCTCTACTTTCCGTTTGCTCCCGAATATATTTTGTATATTATTGTTGTACATTTATTACTATTTTCTATTGGGGACACCGATAGAAGGCCAGCTGATTTTGTTAAAGTATTCCAGCTATTATATAAATTTTAACTATTAAACTATTTTTAAATTAGTATTATCAGTAAGACTAGTCTATATGAAATTGAATAAAAGCTAGTAAGACTAAATAAATAATTAAAAATAAAATTGCTCAATATTTTTTTATGATTAAGCAATTCAATGAGTAATAAAAGACCAATATTGACATGTGATGAAAATATGCAATTATGAAATGTAAATACAAATGTTCAAACCACCCAAGTCACCTCAAAATTTCCGGATAGGTATTATCCTGCATCTCGTTCTTATACGCCTTCTCTGTGTAGAGTCTGAAGCACTTCCCGGGCCGAGTCCTACCAGCTCGCCCTGCTCTCTGCTGAGCTGAGGCCTTACTGATTGGAGACACCAGCAGTGACTCGACACGGATTCGAGGATTATAGACCTTCTGCTTAGCAAAACCAGGGTCTATCACAAACACTACACCGTCAATTGTCAAGGATGTTTCAGCTATGTTAGTGGATACAACTACTTTACGACCTATTGCACCGTTTGGGCGATTTGGTGGCGCCGGTTCGAAGATACGCTGCTGTAGATTCGGAGGTAACGTGGAATATAGGGGAATGCACTTTAGTTCGCCAGCATCTGGACCGAGATTATCAATCTCTCGTTTAATTCGTTTACAAGCATCTTCTATCTCTTCTTGTCCAGTTAAAAATAAGAGGATGTCACCAGCAACTTCCTCGCAGAGATGAATTTGTATCACTGTACGTATAGCTGCTTCTAAATAATCTCGCTCAGGCTGTGGTGTGTAGAATATTTCAACAGGGTGGGTTCTTCCGGGGACGTTCATTAGAGGTGCATTATCAAAATATTGCTGGAATTTTCCTGCATCCAGAGTGGCAGACATAATAACTAGTTTTAAGTCAGTCCGTTGTTTAATAACTTCTTTTAGGACTCCCATCAATATGTCAGTAGCCAATGTCCTTTCATGAGCTTCATCAAGCAAGATTACTCTGTACTGGTCCAGCATTGGATCAGACATAGCTTCTCGGAGTAACATACCATCTGTCATGTATTTCAATACCGTTAGTGGACCAGAACAGTCCTCAAAACGAATACTGTAACCAACTTGTTGTCCCAAAGCTACATCCATTTCTTCAGCAACTCTCTGCGCTACAGACATGGCAGCTACCCTTCTCGGTTGAGTACAGGCCACACCTTTGGATTTTCCAGCTGTAACGGCAGCAAACTCAACACACCATTGGGGGATTTGTGTTGTTTTCCCAGAACCAGTTTCACCCACAAGTACAACGCACTGGTGGGAATTGAGAAGACGCATAAAATCATTCTTATATTCCCACACGGGTAGACCAAGCCTCTTTCGTAAAAGCTCATGGTATCGCGGTGAGTGTGGCAGACCTGAAAATTTAAGCTTTGGTAAATACAAGTGTAAGTAAATACAACTTTTACATTTTATCAAATAACTAGTAGCCAAATAAATTACCTGTGTATGGATTTACACCTGGTGTGCTTGTAGCGTTAGGCGGTAAAGATGTTCCAAGTGTAGCTACTGATGTGTCTGAAGATCCTTCACCGCTGGTTCCTGATTTTGCAGCCGCTGCCGCCTTTTCCTCACTACAACAATAGATATTTTTTTTGTTTTTAGTTTATTGTAACATATTATATGGTTATAATTTTACAGTAAAGTTTTGTAGCCAATAAGTAAGTACATGCTGTTAATAGTATGCTATCATGATTTTAAAATTGATTCAATTGTGTTTTCTGAAGTTGATACACGCCCGCAGTTGCGGCGGAAAACAATAAAATCTTGTAAAGCATGCATGAAGCAACCGACACGAGGTTTCGCAAGTTAATTGTTTATTACTCACCGCTTCTTCTTAATAAATGGATCCATTACTTCGATCCTTCGTTTAGACATCCTTAAATTCACACATAAAACAATATAACAAAGTAAAATACGAGAAAATTCTCAATATTTTCAACACAATGTACACGCAAGATGGCGTCAACTACACCATAGACATTCTTTGCCAGTTGACACAGACTCACACAATACGGATTTTAAATTGTCGATTTATCAGCGTTCCAATCAACGCAACTCAAATAAAAGCAAACTTATAGAGCTGAACTTTGAATGTTTGTTTAATCTGTAGCATAACATCGCGTTGAATGAAATGCAAATCACAAAATGTCATAGCTACAAAGTAATGCGTATTATGTTAGTCCGTTTTTATTAATAAACTATTGTTTACAGTGTAAATGTGTACATATTTTTGTTATTTATACATTTGTAAATAACAATAAAATGATGTTCCAATGAAAGCGGTAGAAACTGCTTGAATGAAGGCTTGAAACACTTAACCCGAATCACGAAGGAATTATTTTGATTTCGAAAACGACTTAAAAGTTATTTTAATCTTATTTAACAGACGTGAGTATACTTTGGAATATATCTCTATTAAAATATTGTTACTTATTCATTAAAATAGAAATTAGATCATGCATTGAATTGCCTATCCAAGATGGCGGATATAGAAAAATCGGATTTGTTTATTTTTGTATCTATTGACTACAATATCTTAAGTTAGTCCAATACTTGTATCCCTAGATTTCTTCCAAATCTGGTTATAAGTAGTATTTATTTGAAGGACTCTTGAATCCAATTTGTTGACTATAGGTCATTGAACTTGTTGCAACTTGTATTTTTTTTGCTAAGCTAAAACCCTTCGTGGTATATTGAGATTAACTCTTTGGTTATTCACACAATACACAACTTGCATTGAAAGTTATTTCGCAATGTTTAAAATGAATTATGCAATCTATTTTATAACTAACAGCAGTGGTTAATAGAGGAAATACACTTTGTATGTAAAGCATATTATATTATAAGACCTTTGCCTCTATTTTGGCTGTAGCTAAAGATTCTTAGACATGTACTGATGTAAACAAAACACCTACACTTTTCTAAGCTAAGTCATATAGTAATTTCTATAAGCTGTTCAATTTTACTAAAAATCCTTGTTTTTAGCTAGGTAGACTAAGGTGTTTAATCGCTTTTTAGCTGGTTTTAAGCTAAAAAGCGATTAAACAGCTTAGTCTCAAAACCCACACATAAGAACTACCCATCTGAATGGTAATGTTTGTCATATACTAATTATCCACTTAGTACAATAGACAAATGGACTCGACTTGATGAGAGCAATTAAATAGACAATTGGTTTTATTGCTATTGTTTGTGGTTGAAAAACTAGTATGTTTCATTAGCAGGAAAATACGTATCTCGTAGGTGTTATGGTATTTACACATCCTTTAGGAAAATTCACAGTATTTACGCGTATAACATTTGTTTGATTGTTAATGAAATTCATGAAATATTGTTCTGAAGGAAAATGTCATTTCAGATGGTAGTTTGCTGGTTTAACTGCTCATAGTACCGAAATACAAGATGGGGCAGCAGACATCGAGAAAAAGTGAGCTATCATTTCTGTTCAACTGTGTTTTTAAAAGATCTTTTTGTGATATTGCACTTTGTTAAATTATTGTATGCAGGTTATTTATTATGAGGCTGCTAGAGGCAGCGTGGCCTAACAACAAGAAGCAAAATAAATGTGCACTTAACTTAGGCAAAAATGATTTTGTACTATTATTTGTGTCAGAATTATGTTAACAATTTTTGGTCACTCCTGTAGATAAACATTTTTAGACTATGAAAATATAATATATATAATAAGTGGCCATATCTGTCCCTATATCGCTAAGTAAGCTGAAATCTTTAAAACTACGCAACGTATTGTAATGCGGTTTTTTTAAATAGATGGAGTGAATCAAGAGGAAGGTTTTTATATAGAACTTTCACAGTTTTTCTGTTGTGTATTTAGTATCAGCCGTTTAGTAGAAGCCGGGGCGCGTCGCTAGTATTGAATAAAAGACTCTTAACAGTTAAATCTATCCACGAAACTTTTTTGACGATACTTGTTTTAATTTTAAGGTGGTGAATGCACGTGTGGCTGTGGCGCCTGGGAGAGGCGACGTTATGTAGAATCACCCAGCAGCGTACATAGATATGTCAGTGCTGTTACAGACAGGTATGTAGTTTTTAAATTATTTACTAACTAGCTGTGCCAACTAATTCATCCACTTGAAATAGTTTTTGGGCATAGTACTTTTGCAAACAACCTCCTCGTCTTTATAAAGTACTAGCTGTGTCAGTGACTTGGTAGAAAATGTTATTTTGGACATCAAAGCTGACCACGACCCATGACCTCGGTCGCGAGTTAATCTTAAACGATAGACATACTATCGCGGACATTTTTTAGATCATTTATAGAAGAATCATTCTTACAGACATAATTTTTTAGTTTCCACAATTCCCTCTGTTTCTTCGCTGTTATTAGTCGCAGCCTAATGTACTAAGCCAAAAGCCTTCCTCGATAAATGTTCTAACCAACACAAATTGAAAAATTATTTTTGTGTTAAGTTAGGCCTATTTATAGAAGTAGGGTATGCTATACTTGTAAATATATTTTATTTAAATAAAACACTTTAACGGTTCAAAACGCGATATCTTTCAAATGAGTTTAACTAATATATCGCGTTTTAAACCGTTAAAGTGTTTTATTCAAATGTGTAGGTAAACTACAGCGCAAAACAATAGACAGTTATTAAATATATTTCAGTTATGCATATAAAAATAATATTAACTTTAACAGATGGAATGGTCGCCAATGCGCTTGCCGCCGCCGGCGTTGGCGTCGCGCCGCGTGTGTTTGCACGGCCTATCGCAGAGTCAGCGACGCTTGTAACGACGACAGGTAAATTGGCTGTCTGTTTGACGAGGTCAAATGTCATTGTCAATTTTGTGCTCCTTTGACCTCCTCTATTATAAAAATCGTATAATGAAAGACTTCCGGACGAAGTCAAACATATTTCAGAACAATATAGTAATGCGAAACATCTTGGACCCGGTGGGGAGTCATAATCCGTTGTCTACCTACCCCGTACTTGACTGTCCACCTCTATCATACTAAAATTCTTCTCAATGATACAAATGTTGTTTGATTGCCGGTTCGGTATCACTTTGCAATCTTTAGACATAAACGTCCTGACATATATGTCCTGTAACCAATCAACACCCTATTGGATACAGAAGGAGATTTTAGTTCCTTTTTATGGCAGTAGTTAATAGTTAAAATATGTATTATATTATATTAATTTAAATGTGCACTTTTATGTTAAAAATATTTATAAAGGAAACCCAGTTTGGGTATGGACCTTCTTCAAAGATGCTGTGTTGACTGATGATTATACGATGATTAATATTCCAGACTAGCAGCAGTCCTGACTCTTGGCGCAAGAGACCTTCGCAGGGAGTTAGACGCCATTGTCATTAACACAGGTAAGTCTTCATTTTTAATAATATAGCAAATCTTACTTGTAATAAGCTATTTGACTGATTTTTAAAACATACTTTATATTATTTAGTAGATTTTCAACATTTAAGCACACCTAAACGCTAATTTTGCGAAATAACGCTACAACACGGCTAGTGACGTCACATCCTGATATCGGCCATTGGTGTATGACGATCATATGATCTACATGCTTCTGTTGCAAACATTTTAACAGTAATTGAAGTAAATGAGTTAATACATTTATTTATTAATTAATGTAGAGAATAGAACAGTTTTAACACTAGGAAGCGCCGTGGTTTGCACTGTGTATAAGCAAGTGACGTCATCATAAACCCGACCAATCACGAGCGTTTTGTGTTCAAAGGTTTTTGATGTGACTTTGTTACTATTTATAAACTTGTACTTAATACTGATAACGTCGGGGTTCTTTTGAGTATATTATCTTCTCATCCGAAAATTTCAACATAATATATAATAACTTTTCAATTTGTATATAATTTTTGCTCCTTGCTATATAAATATCCCGTATCACCATCCATAATTGTCTCCAATAGAATTCAATAATGATAATTCAGAAACAATACTGCGTCTGTAGCTAAATGGTTAAATGTATTGCCTAGCATTGCGTTAAGCGCGAGATGTCCTGGGTTCGAAACCCAGGAAAAAAAAAATTGTTTCGTTCGGGCAAAGCACAGACGTCTGATCAACTACATGCCTATCAAAGAACATGAAAGAGACATAGAAATGTGGCAAACGGGATTTCACACACACAGAAACAATATAAAAATTCTTTACGAACATTTAAATTGGTTTATATTCGTGATATTTGAAACTTTTAATATTTCTCACAAGATGGCATTGTATAAATTAAAAATCTTTTTTAATTTTTTTATTTAATCATGATATTTTTTTTTTATTTGCAGAGAGTGAGACAAATAATGAAAACGGGGAACCAACTGCTGAAGTTTACGTGTTGTCTGTCGCGCCGCGCGGGTGAGTCAATACTACGAATTGTTCGCAATTTACACATTTAAGAAAAACATTGTTAACTGTTTAAAACGCGAAATATATTTGTTTACTTATTTAGACTCTATCTTCAATCCCCCCGTTACCACGGTAATTGCAAAGCATGTGAAACATCGGGCCATAATTGAAATAAATTGTAAATAAGTAATTTAGTTGTTTAAGGCTAATAGGGTAAATCATAGGATACAAATATAAATAAAAAGGGAAAGAAGAGACGTGTGTATGCGTGTGTGTGTGTGTGGGGGGGGGGGGTTGCGCATGGGCATCACTTAAGTTTCTTTCTGCTTAAAATATTACCACACATGACATTATTATAACAATGATAGCATTGCAAAGTCTATATTAAACACATTTTTGTCCAATTACAGAGAGGGCGAAGTGCCACAAGAGGGTAGGCCTAACGAGTTGGCTCAAAACAGCGACGGCTCGATCAGACGGTTTCAAGTAAGTATTATGGGTTTAAATTCCATAATAAAAGTTATATTGCGCAAGAGGTACATGTATTAATTATTAATTATTTAAATTAATGTATGGATTTATGGTCTGACAAATAAATTATTATTATTATTATTATTAATTGATTGAAAAGATTCGACAACAACGTGTAGGACACGGTAGCTCAATTGGTTAGAGCAACAGCACGGAACGCTGTGGATGCCGGTTCAAGACTGCCTGAGTCGTAATTTTTTTCAATCTAAAATTTATCTTTAATAAACAAATATAAATATGTATAGATATTTCCTAAACAAAGTTAAGTATTTTTCACATTATAAATGACATATATATATATATATATATTTTTTTTTTATAAAGCACTTTTTATGTGTAAGCTAGTGTATAAGCTTACTTAATTGGACAATTGTAATTCTTACGTTACCTTTCCAGGTGGTATGTGGGGGGGAGTTGAGGGCGTTGCTGCTCCGAGCTCCGTCTCTTCAACACACCTTGCCGCTGCCGCTGCCCCTGCCGCTACCTTCGACACACACCAAAGTGCACACACAGGTATGTGATTTATGGTAAAAGGAGTGGCGGCGTGTTTCTTGCCAGTCCTTTCTACGCCCTTGATTTGAGATCTTGTAGTATTTTTTTTTTTAATTTTAACTGTTTTTACGTTCATAAACGTACCTAGCTTACCTACGTGAATAAATGATATTGATTTTTATACTTTTCGTTTTCAGGTTGACTACAAGCATTGCCTAGTTCCTGACCTCCAGGAGATCACGGCCTGTTCCTTCTATTGGGGGAAGATGGATCGGTACGAAGCGGAACGGTTGCTGGATAATAAACCTGAAGGTTGGTTCTAGAAGCTCAACACCAACCAATTGAGCTACCGTGTCTAGTAGCTTAATTATATTTCTTGATGGTATAACTTATTTAGGGAGGGTAAATGGCGTCGCTATGTGTTTTTAATTTATATAAGTAAAACAATTATTGTTAGTATTTTAAATTGCAAATTGAGAAAGACGGGCAAATCTTGAACCGGCATCTATAGCATTCCGTGCTGTGGCACTAACCAATTCTGCTACCTTGTCCTACATGGCACTGTTGATTTTTTTTGACACTTGCACCTTCATGCTAAGTTTAAATTAAAAATTTCTGAAGCATTATTCTCTGGAAATAGTTACTAAAATACATAACACACATAATGTTACATATAAAATTATATCATGTTTGTTACTCGGCTGGGCCACGTATTGGTCAGAGAGAGACAACACGTTACACGACTGGGGAACCAATCAACGCTAGCGCATATGACGTTTACTCGCCCCGCGCCCGCTTCCGTCCCTTCGATACCTTATTTTCGACTTCTGCGCAGGATTCGTTCAGCGCTAAAGATCCGTACCGCTACTTATACGCTACTATTTTTTTTAATGTTAGACCTTAAAATGTACAACACAAAATTTGCACCTTCTATCGCCTCCTATATTTATTACTCGTCAATCATCTTCCAGGTACCTTCCTCCTCCGCGACTCTGCGCAAGAGGAGCACCTGTTCTCCGTCTCTTTCCGCAAGTACGGCCGATCTCTTCACGCGCGCATCGAACACTACAAGCACCGATTCAGTTTTGATTGCCACGACCCGGCGGTCTTCGCAGCGCCTACTGTCACCGGCCTTATAGAACACTACAAGGTAACTGCTGATGGTTCATGATAGCCTGGTACTTGTAGAATGGATATAGAGTAAAATTTTGTAGAGAATACTCTTTTTGACGGTTTAAAACACAAATAACATTAGTTTATATATTTGCACATTGTTAGTTCTGCAAGGATCCGGCCAGTTTCGCCAAATACCAACTTCGACGGAACAGATGACGCTAGCGTAGCAATTTTTACTGTGGACGTTAGAGACACCCTCCATCTTTAGTCGATTTTTAATTTAATATATTTCATCAAATATGTACTAAAATCATTTAGTAAAATCAGTCAATATATTATTAGCTCATTACTATTATGTCGTTAAAACCTGCGAAGTCATACTGGGGCAGCGTGGTGGGTTTAAGCTCTTACTCTCTCCTCTTAAGAGACCAGCTGTGGGCTGTTACTAAAAGTTAGTGATGATTTTTGTCTCACTCCTACAGTCTATCTTTCAGTATATCTGTCTCTTTCAGGACCCCGCGTGCGTGATGTTCTTCGAACCAATGCTGACAGCGCCTCTGCCTCGCACGAACCCCTTCTCGCTGCAGCAGCTGGCGCGCGCCGTCATCGTCTCACATACAAATTATGATGGTAGGTTATCTTATAAGAGGACGGGGGGGGGGGGTTTAATAAAACTACTATTTACATACACAGAAGGGACTTGGTTATCTATGGATGTGACCTAAAACTGTTTTGCTTAAGTTTGATGTTATCTTAATAATTATATAAGGAATATTTAAATTAACACGAACACAAAAAAATTGACACGGGCGGGACTTACACGGGAACCCACTGTGTGTGTGTGAGCTTTAAACAAATTAAACATTTTCTTTCACCTATCTGCCTCTATAGATAAATGGTTGAAAGCATTACCTGAAAAGATATACTTTTAATAATAAATCTAAGACGGACACAGAAAAATGTCTGCAGTAGAATGCATCTAACATGAGTTCTCTTTCAGGCGTGGAACAGCTGCCTCTACCCGGCCGCCTGCGTGCGTACCTCAAGGAGTACCACTACCGTCAGCGGGTGTGCGTGCGCAGGCTAGAGAGAGACCTCTACCACTGACACCTGTCTCGCTCGCACCAACGTCTGCGCTACTCCTACTCGTCTCCGCTGATGCCCTGGTATTCGAGCGGACGCCTATAAGACAATAAGACATCACAGTTAAATCACAAATAAATGTCGGAAGGAAATCCACGGTATAGTTTGTCTAATGTAGGTTTATTGGGATGGTAGACGTAGGATGACATCGAGCTTCCCCCGTGGGGCATGGGGTGTACACATTTGTGTCCGTTTACTGTTACATAAGAACATTTTAGTACCTGCAGGTTTATCAGTAAAAAGTTGACCCCCCCCCCCCCAGTTTTCAGCCCTAAGTAGTAAATTGTAAAGCTAAGTAAGTCTGCAGCGTTTTATATGTAAAACGTTGAATGCCTCGGTTGGCGGAAAAGAGATTTTACAGATGTCACCTCTAAATTACAATTACCTGCTGTTAAGTAGTACATTTTATGTCTGTGCATTTTTTAAAAGGTACAACGTTGCCCCATACCCCATGCCCCAGTGGGATAGACATAATTTCTCAAACATGGCCAGCTAATATGAACTGTTATGTACTGGTTACTAAAAAATAACTAAATTGTGATATAAGGTCTACTTATTTTAAAATACTACTTCTTAAATTGAAAACTACTTAATTGTTCTACTACAGTGTATTTCCTTCAATAGTAATATAGTATAGTAAGTAGTATATGCTTTAAAGGTTTTATAAGTAGGGGTTACAGGTTCGTATCTTATCACATAAAAGTGTCATTATAAAAGGATTTCTGTAAGTTTTTACATTTGACTTGAATTAACTTTATATATTTGAAAGTAAAGGCTATTTTTTAATCATAATACAATATTAAATACTGTCTATAGTTTACGCGAGTAGTACACATTTAAATAAAACACTTTAACGGTTTAAAACGCGAAATGTATTTTTTTATACGAGCTGATGTTTATTACTGATGCAAATCCTTTGCAGCAGTAATAAATAAAAGTTATTTAAAGTTCGCGTTTGAAACCGTTAAAATTGTTTAATCTATATGACTCATTTATTATTTATTCAAGTATGTGTTTATAAGTTTCTATTTTCCATATGTTTCCATTTTTTAATCAACAGCTTTTCAAACGTCACATTTTTTTCTACTGACTATTTTAGATTGAAAAGTCTAAAGACAACACGGAAAGGACTTAGGACTCGAAGCGTTTTTGCTGCATCTGTTTTGATCGAATTGAATTGAATTTGAATTGAGCTACCGTGTCTCACTCTTTGTAATTTCTAAGCCATTTGACTCCTTAACCTACGTACCATACGATATTGAACCTTAATAAAGTTGTAAGGTTGGAATTACACTGTTCGCATGTATCAATTAGTTGAAAATTTCGGTCTAAAATAAAATAGCAAAATATACTTTATCGTCTTTCAAATTTTAGGCTTCAAAAAAAATTTAAAATTTTGGTCTGTCCGTCGTGATTCTACAGAGTGTTCAAAAGAGCAACATAACTGAGAACACTCAAGAAACTCAGTCCGGCTTTTCCCAACATGTCTTACAAACTAATACATTTTTGTGACTTTAATGACCTACGGAGCAATTCATAGATAAAATCAAACACATAGGTACGGGGAACCGTAGCTCAATTTGTTAGAGCAGTTGTCGTAAGTTCGAGTCACACCCGCGGCATATTAAATCTGGTATAGATTTTAAATTTATTCAAAAGCTTTTCCTAGTTTCTGTAATTACAATATTGTTATTAGTCTATAGAGTTGTAAATATTTGTAAGTAATTTGTAATCATTTAATAGTAATGCTTATAAAAATATCGTTTTCAAATAATTGTTTTCGGCTGTATTGTAAAATTATTTTTAATATTCGTAATATGTAAGTGATATAGTTGTTAAAGAACTTTTTATCCCACTTTTGGGTTCGTGTATGATTGTAGTTGAACTAGTTATTTAGGGATAGTGGGGATTCATGGAATATAAAATAGAGGCCCCGAAATCATATAAATGGTGTTGCGAATTTAGGGCTATCCACAAATTACCTTATTTAACACCCTCCCCCTCCCTTCTCACCTCTCCCCCTTATTAACCCACATTGCAGTTCGCCCCCATATATAATTAGTAGTATCTACCTATTTAATATTGATTTTTCCTCTTCCGTCCTACTCTTAGTAAAAAAAGGTAAGACATCTTTATTACCAATGTAAAATTTTGTCCCCTTCCCCCTTCATGTGTTATTTCATTTATGTATGGCTCGTTGAATCATTGCTAAAATATGACCAGTGACTGGTTCTGGGGCCCCGTGTTGCCCCAAATAGTCACCCATAAGACCCCTCGTGTCGATGGATTTTATTAATCGAATAAAAATAGTCGACTAGGTTAAATTTTACTTGTAAATGTATTATATGAATTGTATAGTATAGTATTTTTTAACTACTATTAATAATGAAATGTATTATTACAATTATGTAATCAGCGCGAAGCGTACAAATTATAATGAATAGATTTATTTTAAACAATGTTGTGTTTTATTTTGTACCTGCCATGTCTGTGGGTACTGTAACGAAAAGAAAATATTTTTAGCGGGTTTGTTGGTCGAATGCAGGGATGCACAGACGTATTAAGACTAGTATCCACTCGGGCAAATAATGAACTAATGGCGGGCCGCCAGAAGTATAGACAATTTAAGTCAATAAAGAATTGATAAAAATGTATTTTAATTAAAAAATATATATATATATATATATATTAATTTGAGTATTAGCTGTCGGTGGTAGATGTTACCCCTCATAGTTCACAGATGAAAAAGCCGCGAAGTTTTATCGCATTTGTGTTGCGCAGTTTGTGAATTACTGAATATCGTTGCGATGCTATACGCCTGGTGTACTTACGCTGCAATCGAGTGAACGTCATGCTTGTCTGTCTCCAGCTAAAAGTAAATGTTGGTGTTAAAATGAAATTATTAAAATATCTAACATCGTCTTTATTACATCAATAAATTATAAAGTTATTAGACAATATTACATTACCATGGATTACAAAAGCGCATGCAACCACACGAGTGCGTCGGTACGAACTTAAAGCTTACTTAAGTCAAAAACCTATATAAAATCCGTAGTGAACTTTCTACGCGGGAGAAACGTGGATTCTCATAGATTTACTATAATACTGACGATACAAAGGTGTTTTCTACCACGTGGTAGAAACGGGATGTAGACAATAAATAAATACGGAATGCATTTTCTAAAATACCTATAGCTAACTACACATTTACATCTAGCCTTAATTAGCAACAAAACAGTAATAAATAATCAATATTTTTATACAAAATTCCTTATCTAATTTGAAATTTAACTGGCAAGATAGCTTAAACCTTGTGAGTGAAATCAATCCAATGCAGCGTTCGTCAAACCAGGGCCGTATTGGGAAGTTAATGGGGGCCCCAAAATACACTTTACAAGAACTAGTCTTTAATAAAATACTTAGCGCTTTAAAACGTTTATAAGTTGACTACACTACTCGAAGTATTGGATGCTACTCGCAAGTTAACTATATATTTCGCGTTTTAAACCGTTAAGGTATTTAAGTGTACTCCAGAAACACACTTATAATTTTGTATTGTGTTAGAATAAAGTTTTTCTTATTAATAATGTACGAATTGTAATAAGAACTTAGGCCAAGCCAATACTTCAACACAGACAGACAAGCCTCATCGTTAAATTAAATTATTATGCCAACAGTACATATAGCTACAATTAAAAATCTCTGAGTAAATAACTTATACTACCGGGGTATTTATCTTAAGCTAAGTCTACAATATAAAAATTGAGGTTATATATTTTTATTGATGTTGGTACACGGTTCACATAAAACCTTTTTGATTTTACTTCAAAGCGCATAAATATAGTTTTTTACGTACATATTGTTCTGCTGGAGTTTAGGCCTAAACAAATTCCCTATTATCGATGTATCAAATTGGTGTGTATTGTTAAATAAGTTGTAATATAAGAGGCAGTGATAAAGATGTGATAATTTTCCATAGATAAAACATGGGGCAGTGTCATTTAAGTCGCTTGTTCAGAGGAGTAGTCTCTTTGGATCACCAACGGAAGGAAATTTCTACAAAAACTACGTTAGGATTGATACTTGGTTTCATTTCTTAGTTCTAGAGTATACTTGTCAACTCTAGTTAATATTGCGCGACTATAGATCAGTTATAGAGTAGCTTAGTGTAAAAACGGCGTGTTCCTCGCACACTTCTTGCCGCAGGCGCATTTTCTTACAATTTCTATATCTTTGGTGTACCGGGTCCCATCAGCGCATACTAGACGTATCTGTAAAATTAAAAATTAATTTAATCTTTTAATAGCTCAAGTACATATTTACAAATTGAATTTTTCGTGGGTGCCTTAATTACATCAGAAGCTTACAATATTGTAGATAGTCAAACGGAGTGGAGCCAACGCCTACCTCCGTATGAATTATTAAACTAATTAAGTACTTTTAAATATAATATTGGTATACTTCTGATACACCTAGAGAAGGACTTGTATACTATGTTAGGGCGTTCATGGCTGTGTATATTTGAATGTAGGATGGTGTGTTTGTATTTATGTGTGTGTGAGTCGGTATTACAATGTTCGTTTCCAAGAGAAGAAATCTGTATAAGAAGTAAGCTTGTGAAATAATTTGTGCGGAATAGGTTCAAATAACGCCTGCGATCGAATTTTTTTAAGCGTAGAGTTATCAGTTTATATTTCAGTGGCTAATATTTTGATTTATATTTATTAATTATGTTAAGTAAGCAATGTTGATAACAAATCAGACCCTTTAAAATTAAGTTTTTAATACTTCAAATCTTCATCTTTAAGGTACCTTATCTTATTCCCCAATGTTCATTAAATTTCACATAAATAATTATAGCTCAAACTCCCCTATACAGTTAATTTCTAGACTTTTTAATAGTGTACTTAAGAAGCACAATATTGACCTTTTTACTTCTGTTAATGTTTTCAAAAGACAAGTACTTCAATATCTTGATCAGTAAATTGTCTTAATGAGTATTTTATTATATAGAATCAACTAAGAATAAGTTTTGTTTATGTGGTTTGCTGTGTGTATTGTCTTTATCTCTCTATATACATATCTACAGTCAACGCTGTGTATACTTATATGTTAGGTACACGAGAATTATTCTTACTATAATTAGTTTAAGTAGTTTAAAACATGTTTGTGTACCTAGTTAGTATGCCTTATTAAACAAATGAATCAGTACCTTTCTCTTTTTAGTCTTTCGAGGCGCGCAACACTGCGCGCGGCCACAGGCTCCGGGCAGTGGTGTACCAGAGCTGGACACAGAGCGCGTCGGGGGCCCTACGCAGCGGGCCCCGCGCACTGCGCGGCGACTACGACACGAGCCCTCTGTTACAAATTCACGTGTTGCCTCCTGTTAATATTAAAAGATGTTACTTCGGTAGACTGTTTATTTTTTATTACTCAGTCGTTACTTACATATTGTATACTTATTACGTAATAACATTCGAAATTTAATTTTTAACTTTAATGCCTCTATGGTTCAATGGTTAAACGTGGTACTTAATATTCGTTAAAGACAAATTGAGGATCTTGGAGACCATAAAAGCTTCAATCGGCAGGGAACAGAAGTCTCATCAACTATTTTCCTGTATTATAAAACGGACAGATCTTTATGTCTCCGCATTTTCCCTTTTTCTTTAATATTTAAAAAATATTAAGTGCAGTTCAAAATAATTGTTTTAATACTATAAATATTATTCTTAGCATATTTTACAAGTAAAAGTTTTCATTTTTGATACATGGAACAATAGTTTTTTTTAATTGCCACAAGTTTTTACCTTTCTACAAGCGGTTTGTGGTGTCGAACCGGCGGAAGCACGTTCAGCAGGTTTCGCTGGAGAAGCTGAAACATTTTATGCTTATATGCATTACGTTATAGATTATAAATACAACAACTGAAGAATGCAAAACAAAATTAAAAGCAAATCATCTCCGTGGACTGCGTTTCATTTATTATTTGAGCAACAAAGAACGATAGACGAGAATATAACAATCAAAACAAGATGTTAATGTAATTTTCTTTTGGGCACGACGTACAATTTCTTGATATATGCCCCTCCGTGCAATATGAATCGCGTGTGAGACACGGTAGCTCAATTGGTTAAAGCAGGAACGCTGTGAACGTCGGTTCAAGTTCCGCACGTGTTAATTTTTTAAAATTGTAATTGATTTTAAATTCATATATTATTGTTCTAATATATAGTATGTTGAAAATCAGTGTTGTAGCATAACTGTGCTGCAACGTATGCTGCCGCAAGACTCTTTTGGCAACACTTTTTTCGAATCTGAATATCAAATGAACTCACCAGGAGAAGCTTGTACGTTGCTCATAATCTGTTTCCTTAGCGGTACTTTGCTCTGTGTTATAACTGGGGCCCCACCTGTAATAAAGTAAATTTTTTACCATTCCCTCAGAACCACGCAGATTGAAAAATAAGCCTTGACCAGATTCGTGCCGCATTTAAATACCTAAACCTTTCTAAGGTATTTCTGTGCTATGGCACCGATCACATTTTATGTACAGGCAAGTAGATCATTAGATTTAGTGCCCAACTGAAATAATGAAATATTTACCCGGGATTCGGTTAAAATAAAAAAGTACAGCAAAATTTTTTTAGTAAAATATATATAGCTATAATATTAATTCTTACGAAAACCTTTGTATTGCTTCTTAGTTGAATTAATTTTTAAAATGTTATTGAATATAATGCCATCATATAAATTAAGAATCTACTAAGACTGTAAAAAAATACAACGATATTAATGTTTTAAAACGTCAAACTCGAGCAATTCAAACTTCAAAGATTTCCTAACTTGCAAGGCATAAGACATTGAAAGTAATACGCAAATTTTGATTAAACATTGCGCGAGAGGTACATTTATCAATATTGTCATATTGTCGTAAATTCGTCGATGACGTGTCGGACACGGTAGCTCAATTGGTTAGAGTGACAGCACGGAACGCTGTGGATGTCGGTTTAAGTCCTCTCTGGTCGTTAAATTATTTTTCAATTATTATCGATTTTTATTTTATATAGAACCATATGTAAAAAAATATAAAAAATTAGATATTTGTTTCACAAAAACCTTACCAAGAGACGTAAGAAGTTCACATTGAGCGCCCGCGGTACCTGGTCTGCAACGGCACGTGTAGTCAGAGCTAGATCCTTCTTCCCTCACGCAACGACCGCCTCGTCGACACGGATTTGGTAGGCAGGGGTCCTAGAAGATAAATAGGCATATATGTATTATATAGGATATAGTAAATATACAACTGCCTTTTTTACTTGGAGGAATCGAATCTTTACCGATACCTCCGCCTGGCCACATTAAGTGGCGGGGGGAGTGTGGGGGTCACCCAGCTTGGCCACTACATTTCGAGACAGACGCGGGCGGGAGCGGTTAGTTAGCGCAAATTTACAAGTGCCTATTCTGTATAGATTCCAGACCAATATTAAAAATATAACTATTTTTAACAAGGGACTATGTTTTTTGAACACTGAACGGTTGAAGACGAGAAAAGGGGCGAAAGGCGACGGCCGTTGTTAAAATAAAAAAGTTAACTTCAATGGATGTTTCACGTTTTAAACCGGCAAAACTGTTTAATTTACATGTGTATTATTTGCGTAAACTGCAGACAAGGCTTGAACATATTTCTTATAAGTTAAATTATATTAAGTGTAAAAGGAAATATTTATATTTATAAATGAAAATTCTATGCTCTAAAAAAGAAACCACTAAACTATGTTGAGACGATAAAGATCGAGTCGAGAGATAGTTTAACACTATAGTATTATAAACGAATAATCTCGAAAACAAATTATATACATACTGGCCTATGTGCACCATCCTCTTGCAAAGTAGCCGGCGGTGCTCTCGAGATCGTCTCTTGATCTGCTTCAACTGCACCGTCGCCCGCACCATCCCCACCGCATCCTGCGCCCGCGCCGGCTCGTACCATTCGCGCTGCGTTTACAAAGTCCACACGCTTGTGGTTGATCCATGCTTCTTTTAGACAACCTGGAGACGAGAGGTTTAACTTAACGTTTTTATGTATATACGTATATAGAACTCGTGCTAATAGAGTTATTTTTAAAGTTATACATGCATCTTTTGGTCCTTCAAGCCGGTTTCTAAGAACAAAACTTAGATAAGGCTTTTGTATTTAATTAAAAACTTACCTTTGAAACTGGTGATGTTCCTTAAATGCCATTTGGAAAAGGCTTCTTTAGCAACGTCACTTGGTACTCCGCCCAGGAACATTGGTCTTTCGAGTCGTAGATATTCTTTACTCCCTGTTGATACAAGGAAATACTTCTATTATCGTAATTGTGAATATTATTCTCATGATATCTTTATACGCCTGTACTTTTCGCAAAACAATCTTAGTAAATTAAAAAATCTTTTCTAACGGTTTAAAACGCGAAATAAATAAGTAGATTTTACTTTTACAGTAAATCCATCTTTAGCAACTGCTGCAGACTTGCAGAAACGTCGGGTCATAGTTATTTTTAGTATATTTTGCGTTTTGAACGCTCAAAGACGTTTTATTGAATTAATAATTTACCTTCGTTGATTATAGAGCGCGCTGGGCCATCATCGACACGCAGAGTAAAGTTTTTGTTGTATGAAAGCAATTCCGCCTTATGATATGCACCGTCCGATACCATTTCAAAGCTAAAAGAAAAAAATGTGTATGTGTGTAAAATTGTATAATCTAAAATTTTGGAAAAAATACTGTTTGCATTTACTTTAATATATAGTTTGTATGCATAATGTTTTTTTGGGTTTAAAACGCGACATACATTATTTTAGAACTGACCTGTACATGGTTGAAGTGGGGTGGTTTCCGACATCATAACTAATTCGTATGCGTCCATTGAACAACTCAACAGCTAGATGTTCGTTTTCGCCGAAATACATCAACACACCATGCTGTTGCTTAGTGCTGAATACTGAAACAATACAACGACAGTTCGTTTTAGGCTATTCTTAAAATAGTCTACCAATTTCTTGTTATAATTTTGGAAACAAATGAAAATATTTGTGTTTCTACATTTTAGTATGTAATGATGATAACATTTAAGGAGCCATCGTGTGCATATAAGAACAATATAAAAATTAATAGTTAAATGAAAAGGATCTCAGACAGCGTTTCAATTTTATGTTTCCCTAGAGGTGCATGTATCGATGGGTCGAAAAATTCGACGATGACGTGTCGGACACGGTAGCTAAATCGGTTAGAGCCTGTGGCTGATGGTTCAAACGCAGCCCGTGTCGTATATTTTTAAAATCTAAGATCGAATTTTAATTTGTTTCAAATATACAACAATACTTACCAAGCGTGACGTTGGCTTGCGGGTTTGTCCGAAGAGGCTCCAGTTCCACGAACGAATCGTTGTAGTTGAATGTGAGGGATGTAAGGTATTCACAGAGACGCCCTGCAAACAAAAAACAAGTTGTATTTTTAATTAACAACTTGTATTTTTAAATAACACATGTCTAACGGTTTAAAACGAGTGGCATATTCGATATATACGATTTTTGTTTACCACGCTGCTTAAATGAGTTAAAATTTCGAAACGTGGGGCACGTTTCGAGATTTTAACTCATTACTCACTCGTTTTTTTTAATGATAGTACAGATTACAGTATGTCGGAGTCACGTTGTCTTCTTGGTCACTCATTGTCAGAATCAGCAGGATTCCGGGCGAGAAATAATAATAGTCAGTTCCTTGCAGGTGACTTATGACGATGCCAACTGCCTTTTTATTGTCGTTGCTCTCTCCCGTTGCCGTCTGTACACGTCAAAGTGACGTTTCTGTCATGTGTTGTGTGTGTGACATGACCCGGATGCGACAAGTAAAACATTTAATGGCTTACAACAAAATGCATATTTGAATTTTTTAACTTCGCGTTTCGAGAGTTCAATGAATATAGAAGTTCGTCTCGTAAATTAGAATTAGAAATCTATCTACTCTTTATTTTAAGGTTAAATAACAAGAACCGTTAAGATAATCAAATGTCGTGGAAATATTTCATGTGGCCAAAGAAGGTTTGCCAAGTCAGGTAGCTTTAAAATTGTTTAACCGTTACTCACCAGAATACCCCGGCGCGCACTTGCACAAGTAGTCGTTGGTGGGCGCCAGCAGTGGCCTCTCCATCATAATGTCATCCTGGAAACCAACCACTGCGCACATTATAACTATACTCTCCACGATTCCTACGCCATAAAACACTTTAAACGGCTCAAAACGCGAAGTATATGCTTGGCTTGTACATTTGTATAAGGTTTGAATCAGCGCCGAATGGTATTCTAATTTCAAAAGTTCACGCCAAGTGGCGCACGGCAAAATCTATACTAATATTATAAAGCTAGTTTGCTTGTTTGTTTGAACGCGCTAATCTCAGGAACTACTGGTTCGAATAGAAAAATTGCATTTCTTAGAACGTTACTTTTGCGCGAGGATGGCTTTGGGCTATACACAGAATAAACAGTGGGAAATGTGGGTAAAGATGTTTATCTTTAAGGGATGCGTTGAGTGAGCTGCGAACACGTTTCACGATATACAAAAATATATGTAAGAAAATATTCCTTTTTAAATGATCTAAGAAAGTCTGTGTAAGTACCCATCTTTTAAAATAACCTTGTAAGAAGGACGCAACTCGACCGATGTCGTGTGCAACTGCTATAATATAAAAAGATGAGGAGGTTTCCAAAAACTAATTTTTATGCCTACAATAAGTATTCTACGCAGACGAAGTCGCTGGCACAGCTAGTGTTTAATACACGATGGCGTCACGCGAACTTGATGAACATGGACGAAAATAGCAAAACAACAAAACCGCAACTGCGCTGCTGCACTGCTGCTTTACTCGGTCGGAATCGGCCTGCTGGTTAGAAAATCGAATGATTTCTCTAAGCCGTAATGAATAGAGAAAGATTTTCTCGATAGATGGCGACAGTAATAAATCGAAGTGTACCTGCAGTGCCAGGTGCAGCGCAGCGGATGGCAGATAACAAACGCCGTGTACGCAGTCGTGGTGAGCACAAGGGGAAGTCCCGAGAGCAGCATGAGGAGCCGCTTCGCAGTAGCGACCCGCGTACCCCGCTGCGCAAGAGCATCTGTACTCGTCTAGGCCATCTACACAAGTTGCGCCATTCTGGGAAAATTAGAGAATTGTCAATGTGTGATTATGATAAAAACGGTTCTTGTGAGTTGCATTGATGTGAATCTAAAGCCGATTTTTTATAGATGTAAGTAATCAACTTTGCTGCATAAATTAGTATTGTATGTTAATCTTGCAAACAACAAAACATGTTTTGCTGTACCTCGTATTTTTGTGTGACGTATACTAGTTAAGTAATGTACCTGGCACATATGATTGATACAGTCATCCGCATTAACTGTGCAGTTCTGTCCTGAATAGCCCTTGGGACAATTACAGCTGTAGTGACTGCCGTGGTCCACACACGTCCCACCATTGGCGCAAGGGTTGAACTCAGCCGTGCAGAATGGTATCTTCTTCTCGCAGAACTCACCTATAAGACAAATCTTATTCAATTACATATTCTTTATAATATGTATAATAATATATAATTAGTTTAAACTTTGCATGTATTTTGCGATTGGTCCTTCGAGCCGGAATATTCAGAGAGCGTTGTGGAATGATACACAAATTTTTGTTTCTTACATTATATAGTTGAACTTTCACTTTTTTAATTTCTTTGATGAACATCCTTTATCATGGTCAGAACACAAACAGTAAAAGAAAATTAAAATTTAAAAAGTTTTTACCCTTTTAACACTTGTAAAGTAAATATATAACAACTACCTTGCGTATTACAATTGTAGATAAAAATAAAATAGACAAGAAATGGAATAGAAGAATAGAAGTTATCGGAATAGAAGTTTATATAATATTATTTATTCGATTCCATATTCTTTAAAAACTAATTAAGTAATTTTACTAGTTTGAATGCACTTGACGATTGGTCGTTCGAGCCGGAATATAATGAGACTTATTGTGTTATTTTATTCATTTGTATATACAAATGTTTGTTTTCGATAGAAACTCAAAATATTAAACGATACTACGAGTTAATTTATTTGTCGGGCTCATTGGTCTTATGGTAACGATGCTATGTATCTAACGAGGGGTGCAGTCCGATCCCCACCGGATCCAACATGTTTCTCATCAATCTATAATGTTTTTACTTGTTAGACTTCATCATTCAATCTGGATATCAAATGGGTGTTAGGAATATCGAAATTCACAGATCACCGAACCACATACTAAAAGCCGTGAATCGTCTATTCGCCTCTACACAGAATAAACTCACCCATAAACCCAGGAGCACACTTGCATGTGTACCCTTCTAGATGGTCGACACAGGTAGCATTGTTTTGACACCGATGAGACACACAGTCGTCTATGTTAGCTTCGCATCTTACGCCTGTGTAACCCGCGAGACAGGAGCAGCTGAGGGTAAGTCATTTTAAAACAACTGTAACCTATACTAATATATAAAGCTGAAGAGTTTGGTTTGTTTGAACGCGCTAATCTACTGGTTCGAATTGAATTTTCTTTTTGTGTGAAGAGCATTTATTGAAGAAGGCTATAGGCTAAAAAATATACTGTGATTAATAGGAGCGAAGAAACAGAGGGAAGTGTCTAAAAAGTGGGAAAAATTATTAAGCCTTGCGGGTTTCCATTGCGTACGCTGCGTACACGGTTCAAAATACCCAAAAAAATATGTATGGAAGAATCATTTCTCTTTACATGATCTAAAAAAAGTCCGAGCCAGTATATATCTATCTTTTAATATTAACTTGCAAGAACGACGGGACGAGGACGGCGTCGTGGGTAGTTTAGAATTAAACAGGTTTGCAAAAACAAAAATTGATACCCGAAATAACTATTCTACGCGTACGAAGTCGCTGAATTAGCTAGTGTAATATATATACGTCTAGTAATAGAGACCGATTTAAATTACCTTTTTGTTCGTAAACTAAACGAAACGGCATATTATTGGCGAGGAAAAGATTCTGATTAGCGCCTCTAGTGTCAAAATTGTGAAGCTGTCTAAGAACGACACTTCGACAGTGTGCGTAGTTATTATATATACGTATATCGGAATATCTTTATCGAAATGTGTTAAGTGCTTACTGGAATCTACCCTCTTCCAAGAGTTGGCATGTGCCGTGGGCGCAAGGTGAACCGTAGCACGCATCGATTTGGTGTTGACACGCGTCGCCGTGGTAACCGCGTGCGCATGCGCAGACGAATCCACCCGTTGCAGTTGCGGAGCATGTGCCGCCGTTGGAACACGGATTTCGGTAGCATTTGTTACATTTCGATACAATATCTGCTGGCGGGTCACCTGGATATTGAATAAACTTGTTATTTACTGTACTTTATAATTACTAATAAAGTCATAATAAAATAAAAATATACTTTTCAAATACTTAACGCGAGTAGTGCACATTTAGATTTCGGCTTCTGCGAAGCATCCGATACGTCGGGCCGTAGTTACTAATATATATCATGTTTTAAACCGTTGAAGCGTTTTATTTAAAAGAGTAAGATAAATTTCACTTTTGAAATTATTAAAACAATCTCTAATTATATTTACCAGAGCAAGAGAATGCAGTGGGATGAGTGCTGAGAAGAAGCTTGTCGCGCATGCGCGAAGGCGCCGCACACCTCGCGATCCCGGGTTCGACGAATTCACCACCAGATTTCACCCACTCTGACAGCCATCGCAGGGAACAGTCGCAGTATAGCGGGTTCGATCCCAGTGCACTGTACAAAAGATATAAGTTAGTTCTATGTTATTCAGTTGAAATAAATATCTAGTAGTTTATATTTAACAAATCTGCTTTTTATTTATTTTTTATTAAAATTCTTTTTTTTAATAAGTAATTTTTAATAAGTAAATAACATATCAAAATAAGTAAAAATAATAAAATATCTATGTTTTATTTGAAAAAAAAAATTGAATAAATTGTAATAATAGCGTTCTGAACTTTATGCTAGTAATACAAATAAAATAAATCACTTTTGAACGGCTCAAAACGTTTATCATAATAGATTTTATTATCGTAACCATAGCTGTTGCATAGTCGAGTCGAAATGTCGGGTCGTAGTTTTTTTTATAACAAAGTAAAAACAAATGAGTTCACTCGGTAGCCGGTGACTCCAGTAATATGATATGAATAAAATAACGAACATATTTTTGTGTCCGTTTCAGATCAATTTATTTACATAGAAATAGCTAACGAGACCTATGTGCCCTGCTATTTATTGCACTAAGGACATAACTTCGATTATCAAGATAAACTGACGGTCTATTTCGGTGTCTTACTTTCAGTTATCTCGTTAAAACTTATATAGTTTACTACTAACACATGAGATATCGACTCCAGATCTCTGAAGACACCATCCGCCAGCATTGAAATGTTGTTGCCGTGGAGGGACAACACTCGGAGCTGTGTCAAACCTTTTAAGGCGTCTCTCTGCAAACAAAATGCAAGGTTGGAAAATTTTGTGTGTGCGAGGTAGTGGACGCCATTTTGCAAAGCTTCTTGGGTTTTCGAGGTGTTTACACGTAGTACGAAATACTAGGTGTGTCAGCGACTTCGTCCGCGTAGAATACTTATTTATTTTGGGCATCAAAATACAGCAAGAAATACAGAAAGAATTTAGATGGCCAAACTATACAACGCGGGCGAAGTCGCTGACACAGCTAGTGCTTCATATGGCAAAAGAACGTTTGTCGGGTCAGCTAGTTCTTAAAACAACTCACCTGAACACATCTCAGTCGATTGTAGCTGACGATAAGTGTAGAGAGCTTCGTCAGACCTTCGAAGGTGTCATTTGGGAGAACGCTAATCTTGTTATTGGATAGATCCAGCCGAGTCAGTTGGTTCAAATGACGGAGCTGGTCTGACGATATACTACTTATTTCGTTGGATTCCAAATACCTGTAATATAAATGTGTAGAATTGAGGCAGAGTAGCCTAACTGCGATTTTATGACTTGTCTTATTTATATTTTCATAGTCTAAAAATGTTAATCTACAAGAGCCGAAAATTGTTAACATTATTCTTACACAATTAATAGTAAAAATTCATTTTCGCTCAAATTAATTGCGCACTTTTATTCTCCTTTTTATTGGAAATCATGTTTTTTGTTATTAGGCCACTGCCTGAAGCAGCCTCAACATAAAGCTTAGTTAAAGTAAAGTTTCAAGTCGGGCCGTGGGTTTGATTCCCACCGTGTTCAACACGTCTAAACAAATATTTTTTTTTTAACACCAAACTTCGTCTGCAAAATCCGCATAGAACCACCGTTGACGAATGAAAAACGGTAAAAGTTAATTTCGTTTCAGTTTCAGACTGTCGAGTTCATCTCTACACCCAGAATCTTGCTACATGACAACGCATTTTGTGTAGAGAACATCATGGCTGGGATATTTTCTCTTTCATTAATTGAATCTCACATTTGTCTGTCATTTATCGTGTTCAAAAAAAACTTATAAGACGGCCTTGTTTGCAAAGGGTATGTTTTTAAATTATTTTAAGGACGTTTATTTGGTAACACAGCACTTACGCTAAATTAAACATTTAATGCGCGAAGCATTCAAAACGTCGGGTCGTACTCAAGAGTTCGTTGTAAATTTACGTTTAAAACAGTTAAAAGTATTTTTATTAATACGTTAAATCCGGTAACTACACACGAGACTTAGTACTTACAGTTCCGTAGTGTAGCGTGGGATCCGCGAAGGCAGCGCTGTCAACTTTGCGCGCGCGCATCGTACCACGCTACCAGCACAGGTGCAACCGGCAGGACAGTAGTCAGGTGGTAGGCAGCCGACATCCTCCGCTATAAAACAGTTTTATTAATTAACTTAACTAACTATCTTTTTATGTTTGTTTGACGATAACTTTGTCGTTATCGATTAATTTTTCGTTGGAACGTTTATGGTACCTTTTTCTCGAAGGTTTTGTCATATCTATACTAATATATAAAGCTGAAGAGTTTGTTTGTTTGTATCGCGTTATCTCAGGAAATATTGGTGGGAATCCAAAAATCATTTTTGTGTTAGTTAGAGCATTTATTGAAGAAGGCTATAGGCTACTGTGACTAATAGGAGCGAAGAAACAGCGGGAAATGTCTAAAAAACGGGGAAAATTATTCACCCTTGTGGGTTTCCACTGCGTACGCTGCGAAAACGGTTCAAGATACCCCAAAATATATATGAAAGAATGATTTCTCTTTAAATGATCAAAAAAAGTCCCCGACGTTATACTAATGTCTATCATTACTATACGCGTACGAAGTCGCTGCCTCGGTATATAAATACCATAATTAGGTAGAAGAAGTAACTGTCTGTGAGTGTGTGAGGTTGTATATGTGTGTTAAAGACGAAAAAGGAAAAAATCTCATCTCGAACGATTGTATATACAAAACTTTATTAAAATCAAACGCGAAGCGAATAATTATATTTTCGATACGTATAGTTAGTATAGCAAAATTTCCGTGTATCTAAGCAAGTGAAAAAAAACAGTTTCAACGGTTTAAAAATGTGTGTATTTATTATTACTTTTAATAATACTCACGCGAGCACTTGAAATCAGCTAGCTCCAAATGCGTCAAGTCAGTGCCGGCTAGTCCCACTGGGTACGCGCAAGTTGCTGAAGTCGCTAGATGCCTTGAACGCAACCAGCCAGACAACCATGACATGTGACAGGTGCATTGGATCGGGTTGCCAGATAAGCTCCTGTTAAAAACAATATTGTAATTAAGGAAAAAATAATAAAAAAATCGTTTATCACATTTCGTTTTTGCCGTAGTAGCCATTGTGAAAGGGATATATAGATTTTTAATTTACATAATGACATCACGTGAAAAATATTAAAGTTTTAAAAAGTTAATTTCATTATCTGTGTAATTTCATTATCAAATATAAAGCATAAGACAATGAACGTCTACGTATTGAGGTGGAAATTACATTGCGCGAGAGACGTATGTATCAATAAGTTAAAGAATTCGACGATGACATGTAGGTCACGGTAGCTTAGTTAGAGTCTAACCAATTGAGCTACCGTGTCCGTGCTGTTGGTCTAACCGTTAGACCAACAGCACGGAACGCTGTGGATCAAGTCCCGCCCGTATCGTAACGATCTATATAGTATTAAAATACTTATATTAAGAAAATTTAAATATAATAAAAAACTAAATAATGTAATTTTAGTGTCTCCTTTGTTGGCTGAAATCAGCAAAAGGACATCTGTGCCCAAACAAACCGAAACAAAAAAAAATTTTCTAAACTCTTTAATTAAAGTCCGATTCCCTATGCAGAGCACGAGATAGACACATTTTTGTGACTGTTTAACTAAGCGAATTATTAGGCTGTAGTTAGTAGTTGCTAACTGGTAAGCTTCAATGACATCATTATAATCTTTCAGCAGAATTTGACACTAGATTTTGTAAATATAGTCGAATGCACTTTCTATATAATACTTCTAACGGTAACAGACATAGCATGAAAATTAGGTTAATCAATTGCGTTTCAAACTGTTAAAAATTGTCTTTTAAGTATCGTTAGCTACGGATGCGGTTCCGTTATATCTTCAGTTTTATTTAAATAAAACACTGTAGCGGTTTAAAACGCGATTAATTAGTTAAACTTATTCGGAAATGATTCTTAACTTCGGCCCGACGTTTCGGATGCTTTGCAGCAGCCGTGGTCACGGGGAGACGTCGGGCCGAAGTTAAAAATCATTTCCAAATAATTTAAAAATTTCCAAATTCGACTCGGGCAGGACTTGAACCGGCATCGTCAGCGTTCCGTGCTGTTGCTCTACCAATTGAGCTACCGAGTTACCGAAAAAAAAAAAGATTTTTTTTTTCAATTTATTTTCGATTTTTAAATTATATAGTGCCTTCATGTGCAATAACATGAAAAATATTAATATTTCCAAATAAGTTTAACTAATATATCGCGTTTTAAACCGTTAAAGTGTTTTATTTATGTGTACTACTCGCGTAAACTATAGACAGTATTCAGTTTTATTGTTCTGGTTTATTTTAACTCAGTCAAAAATACTTACAGGGTAGACAGCGTAGTTAAATGATCAAATGACCCAGGTGCGATGCATCTTATTTTATTGTCGCTCAGAGATCTGAAAAAAATTATTAAAAACCTATAGGAGAATCTTTCATATTATCCATTTAGTGTGCGCCGTATACACAGGTTGTATTCTAAAGAAAGTTATGTACATTATTAATTATTTTAAGCGGAACGAAACGTAGGACGATTGCTAGAGATTTGATATCCTTCGATTTGAAATGCCTAAGTTTGCCTATCGAAGCGTGCTAACTTCACATTTAGTATGACGTCCCGATTTGTCAGTCGATGTTCCCTTCTAATGATATATGTATATAATAGATACGAAATCATTACTTGTTTTGTTTATCAGAGGACATAAAAATTACGACATAGAATTCTCTTGATGGCAGTGGTATGAGATCTAATTAAAATGCAATGTGGACCTATTTTCTGGACAATTAAAAATCCCTCTAAAGTCGAAACGCGGTTAAAATTCACGGCATTTTCTATGGACAGTGATTCATTTGATTTTAGGCAAAGTGGATGTTTTAAAAATATTGTGAATTGATTATAAACATGATGGTCGCAGTGGCGGTTGAGACGACAATCCGTTGATTATTAGCCATAATGCTACCACTAGACACCGAATCCGTCAAAATTTATGATGCAATAATAAATTACTAAAACTTACAAGGCAGTTAGGCTGTGAAGACCAAAGAACGTCTTATCAGACAGTGTTTCTATGAGGTTGGAGTCAAGAAGTAGTTCTTGAATGTTGGCAGCTCCGTCGAAAGCGTTGTCTTCTATGATAGATATACCTGTAAACAAAAAAAAAATATTTAAATGAATGTGCATATATTAATTGTAAAGCAAAAAAATAATCGAAAGTCTTAGTCAAGTACCAACATAATTTTTGTATAACATCGGAATACGAATTAGGGTATATGCATTAAATAAAACATTTTTAACGGTTTAAAACGTAATATATTGGTTAACCGAATTATTTAAAGGCACGATCATCCAGGTACGATATACTAACACGGATTTCCTGACCAAAAGAAGATCGATTCAAATATGCCGCTTCGAAAATATGGAACGACCTGCCTCCGTCTATTACAACTGATTGTAAGGAGATGGCATATACGACCTTCAGGCGGCATGATACATTGGATTGCTACAATTGATGGTTATTATTTCATTATGTATATGTTTATTATGGTATACTTGACTGATGTCTTGGACCTGATTATACATTACTTTACTAAACTTCACTCTTTTCCTTCTATGCCCGGGCCAGTCGATCAGCGCTCTTGAGAAAAAAAAAACACAACAAAGGGGGGGCCCCCCCCCCCCCCCCCCCTTTAATAAAATTTTTTTTTTTGAACCCCAATTTTAGTTATATGTTTGTAAATATTTTAAAATTGCAATAAAATTTTTTAATGTAAAACAGTTACTTGAATAAATTAAATTTATTACTTTTATAAAAAAAACTAACAGTGTAACTTTAAGTGTGCATGTATCAATGTAACTTGACATCTTTCACCCGTGGACGGTGGTTCGCGACGTAATGAATTTCGATATTCCCACCACCCATTTTAATATCCAAATTTCCAGAAGTCCAACATGTTTTAGAAAAATTATAAATTGATTTTGGAAAATGTTAGACCCAAAGGGGATCTAACCCGCGTCTCGGTGAGTAGGTTAGCCGTTTCTACCATTATAGCAATGAGAAAAATATTTAATAAGTTTGAGGTCTTACCATTATTTCTGAAGTCCAACTTCGTGAGGTCTGGGAGTCTGCCCAAGAGGCCGTCTGACTTAATCTGGCCTAAACTGTTGTCTGGCATTATTCTGTACAATATTAGTTACATTATAATTTTAATATATACAAAACAAAAATTAACTTCTTTAAAAATCATTAACATTATCCATACTAATATTATAAATGTGAAAGTAACCTGTCTGTCAGTGCCGGCTTTAACTCCGAAACTACTCAACTGATTTAAATGAAGTTTGTGTACACAAATATTTACATAGATTTAAGGAGACTGAAAAAAGGCGTTTATATGCCAAAAAAGGATGAAAGTTTGTATGGAAATTTGTGGCTTTTGAAGCTTGCTCAATGAAAGTTTCTTATTTGGCGTTTTGGGAATAGGAGTGGGAGTGAGTATAGGAATAAGAGTGGGAATTAGAGTAGGAGTGATGTGAGATGGGAGTCGGAGTTTGCGGAAAAGTAGCACTTACAACATAGATTGGCTGCCTTAAATGCACCCTTACATATTTATGAAGTGCATTTAATTTTAATAATAAACAGCCTAAATAATTAAAAATTCTACCCCAAGTCACTATTTCCACGCGGACGAAGTCGCGGGCACAGCTAGTCTCTTATATACAAAAGGGTTAAGTCGTAGTCATAAAGGATTTTTTTTGATTTGTTTGAACGCGATCAGGAACTACTGCTTCGTATTGAAAAATTATTTTTGCATTGGTTAGAAAATTTATCGCGGAAGGTTTAAAACATCACGCTGCAACCGATAGGAGCGATGAAACACTGGTAAATGTGGAAGAAACGGAGAAAATCATTCATATTTGATAACAAGAAACCAACAAAAGTGTATGAAAGAATGATACCTATTTAAAATGTCTTTGTTTTAAGATTAACTTGCAAGAACGACGGGACGTGGACGATGTCGTGGGTAACAGCTATATTTTTTTAAAGCTGAGGACGTTTGTAAAAACTAATTTTTATGCCCACAATAATTATTAGACACGGACACTGAGCTAGTATAATTTAATAATTAACTTGAATAGAACTCCTTATCAGAAATATCACTTCACAACAAAAACCGCCTTTGAACTGATTAGCCTAGTACTCACAGCGTGTGCGTATCTAGAGGTAGATCTCTAGGTATATCGGTCAGAGCTGCTCTCGCGCATGACACGCGTAGGCCACGCCCCCAAGTGCCACGGGCACAAGCACACGGCGCAGGACATGGTGGTTCGTCTCCGCAAGCTTCTATTGTGTCTTCGCCAGCTGAAAAGGGTAAGACAAATAGCGTTTGTAGTTTACGCGAGTAGTACACATTTAAATAAATCACTTTAACGGTTTAAAACGCGATATATATTAGTTTAACTTATTTTAAACTACGGCCCCACGCTTCGGATGCTTTGAGGCCGAGGTAACGGAGAGATTAAAGATGGGTAGTGTCTGTGACGATAAAGTAAAAACTACGCTAGCGCCATCTGTTCCGTCGAAGTTGGTATTTGATGAAACTGGCCGGGTCCTGTCTAATGGTGTTTATCGCGTTTTAAACCGTTAAACTGTTTTATTTAAATCATAGATGTCTGCTAAAATAATTCCTCATTTATTCAAGCCGCTCCGAAAGAATCACCTTTGCACTTAAAATTGTCCTCTCGTAACGTGTCTATACGCTTTCTGTTCATTCGTTTGGGCGAATCACATTTAGCACCGGATGTCTCGATTGGATTCCGTCGCAGGTAGCCAGCCAGCCATCGCAAAGAACAGTCGCATGAGAAAGGGTTCCTTCCAAGGTGTCTGAAAACAAAGAACGATTAAACAATTCAATATTATGGTTGGTTCTTCGCTGTCGTTGGTTTCAGTGCGCAGGAATTAGTACCTTATATTTTTTACTATAGAGGACGGACAAACATGGCTTTGGATGGTAACGTCGCGATTACCGAATATCCAAAGATTAATATCGCGATTAAACTTGATGGCTTTATCAATGAGCGGTAGTTCGTTACCCGGACGGAGTTTCCAGAGACCAGTCATTTATTAGCCAGATTTCCAGAGGAAGTCCAACATGTCTGAACCAACGACGGCATTTTTATATTTTTCGTTGATGCTATTTTTCGGTAGAAGCATAATAAATAATAATTTGTAAAAGTAACTCACAATGTTTGTATCGAGATTAGAGCATCGAAACTTCCGTTTGGTAGAGATCGTATGTTGTTATCGTACAGAGATCTGGAAGAAATAATAGTAATTTTATTAATATACAACAACATATTAAACATTTTTTTCTCTTTTTCTTTAGAAGTTAATAAAAATCGTTGAAAAAAATTTCAAGTTGAACAATTTGCACTGGATATTAAAAAAAAAAAGTTTTAATCGTATTTTACTAGGAACAATATGTAATCCGCCATTTTGTATCGACGGCCATCTTGGATTTATAATATTTTTGATTTTATTATATTGTATTGTCATCTAAATTAAATGTGTGTACCGAATTTCAGATCAATTTGACAACGGTTAGGTGCTTAATTTTCAATGTCTAATTTTGACTTAAATAAATGAATTCCATACGGGGCGAGCTAAATAAAACCGTTAAAAAAGGATTTTGCTCATAGAATATATTTTATATTTTTAGTAGAAGGAAAATCTAATAATAGTTGTATAGAACATAAATGCTGATCAGCCAATGATGTAGATCCCAGCATGTATTTGCTATATACATAACAAAGAAAAAATTAAACAATAGTAAAAAGTGGTCTTGATAATATTCTGATAATGACGGACGGGAATCGAATCCCTACCAGCATAGTAGTGCATCTACCAATTTACAATAAAGTTATTGTTTAATAGATTCTTTTATCCATAAAAAATCCTATCATACATGGTAGTATTAATTTTAATAAATAAAACTCCCCTAATGGAGATAGTTAAAAAATATAAATACATACAATAGTTTCAAACTCTGCAAATCCCGAAACGTGTCCTTTCGCACACATGAGATTTCATTGGAATTCAGCAACCTGAAATGTCAAAAACAATTAATCGAACCTGGAACCTTTGAACGCGGTTACAGTGTAATTACAGAAAATCTAATCTATCTATTAAAATTTTTAAATGTCAAATTCAATATCTATCTTCAATGATTTCTTAAGCAAAGCAAAAGACATTGAACTTTAATATGTAAGGGTAAAGGTTGAAATTACATTGCGCAAGAGTGCATGCATCAATGGTTTGTCAATTTCATCAATTCAACGATAACGTTAGAGTAGGAAGGACACGATAGCTCAAATGATTGGAGCAGCACGGGACGAACTTAATTTTTAATTATTAATAATTACAGAATACTGTTTAATAAACAAGTTTTATGAAGCATTTTTGGTCTGCGTTGCGTGCATCCGTTGCATTGCACAGTGTTACAGAAAATTTTAATTGCACACTAATCAAATAAATGTTAAATAAAAAAATTATAAGGAACACTTAGAACAGCTTAAAACGCGAAATATATTAATTAATTCGTAACAGGAATCGTCATGTTGTAGTTTCAGTAAATGAGAGTTAATTAACTAGTATATTATACGTTTTAAACCGTTCTAAGTGATTTATTTAAATGTGTACATCTAACGTAAGCAGACAACACTTAAATGATAAGCAATTCAAAAATATTTTTTTCGATTTGCTGTATCTGCTTGTATAGACCCTAAAACGGACACACAAATATGTTTTCTCATTGAAAAGAATTACTTACAAAAGTTGAAGTGATGTGAGGCCGTGAAATATTCCAGATGGTAGATCTTTAATTTTGTTTCCGTACAGGACTCTGAAAATATTTTTTTTATTTAGGTACAATTGTAGTGTGGCTAATAAGTAACAGGTCGTAGATTCGATATTTATCCAAAAATTTAATAAAGCAACTAAAACTTTCTAACATATTTTTCGTCTGGAAAATCTGGACATTCAAATGGGCGGTGGGAATATCGAAATTTTGAACAGTCCGCAGCTAAATTCCTTAATTAAAAAACGGGTCGTTCTATCTCTATTTTTCGTCAAATAATATCTAAAGAAAAAAAAGGGGGGCGGCGCATTTATTTTTTTTTTTTGGAAAAAAATTCTGGCCCCATACTTTATTGCCCAAAGACGTCCAGACATCTCCAGAGTTACTCGGCTCTGCCATTGAACCTGTCAAACTCCCCCCCCATCCTTAGGAACTTGGTACAAAAGATGGCACTCACAGTGAGGTAAGATGCACAAGTCCATTGAAGGCATCGCCAGCTATCTTGGCGATCTTGTTGTTGGACAGATCGATCCTGGCCACACGTTTTACTGATGAGAATGCGCCGGCGCTTACTTCCGTTATTTCGTTGTTCTCGAGCCGACTGAAATGAGACACAGTATATTAAATAGAACATTTTTAACGGTTTAAAACGCGAAATATAATTAACTCATCTGAAATTAATTATATAATAATTAATTTTAAATGAGTTACATAATACACATTTTACGGTTTAAAACATGAAAATAAAAGTTTTTGTAACAATTTATTATCATACAGCTAAATAAATTACTTTTAACGGTTAAAACGTCACAGACATACATATTTAAGTTTTATAGCGATTCCGTTTCAGTCTGTGAATGTGTGCGCGATGTTTGCCTTCGTTGATTAATGCTCTATCTAACACAAAAATAATTTTTCAAATCCCACCAGTACCTTTTTGTGATTAGCGCGTTCAAACAAACAACAAACTCATCAGCTTTATATATTAGTATAAATATCTGGTAACTGTCATCTACAATTTGGGCATTGCTCTTTAATGCCCAAAGTAACTATTCCACGCGAAGTCGCAGGTAAGGCTAGTATTCTAATAACGTTAGTGAATACTTACATCTCAGTAGCTCGATGTGGTATAGTGGCTGGTAAATGAGATAGAAGTTTCTCCCGACAGTCAACAGTTCCATCTGGGGTACATCTGCAGGCTGGTGGACAGCGAGGCTCCGCTGAACATTCTCCAGATAACGCTGTGGTGGGACCTGGTAAAGTATAAATAAAAGTGTAAAATGAAATTCCGTCCGAGTCACGAACCACCGTCTACAGATGTTACGGTTAGTGGATTTTCCGAATATCCAAAGCCAAAAACAGCGCATCTCTAAATGCGATATCCCATCGAGCGAACTCCATTCTATTCTATGGAAACGATTGTGTTTCAGATTAATTAAAACACTTAAAACTGTTTAAAATACGAAAGATACCAGACGCAGTCACGCGGGGCAAATAGGAAATAACGAATATATTTCACGTTTTAAATTGTTAAAATTATTAAATCCGGGTCCACCATGAACACGGCTGCTGCAAAACAGCAGAAACTTCGGGCCGTAGTTACAAAAAATTAAAAATAGGTACATAATATATTCCGGATTTTGAACCGTTAACAAGTTCACCCTCCGCTCTCTCTGTCCTACCTTAACTTACTCTCTTTCTTCTACTCACCATTGCATATCAGTTCGTGTGGTTCTATCTCGCTTAGGAATGCTCCTCGAAGAGTAGCTGGGGCTTGACATCTGGAAGAATGTTGAGTGGAAGATTAGAAGAAGAAGAATTCGTTCGGTAAGTTTATTATATATAATATTACTTTTGTTACCCACGACGTAGGTCGCGTTCCGTCGTTCATACAAGTTAATCTTAAAAGATAGACAACAGTGTCGCGGACATTTTTTTTAGATACTTTAAAGAGGAAATCTTTTATACATATTTTGTGGATATCTTTAATCGTTGCGCACGCAACGGAAATCCACAGATATTAATAATTCTTCCCGTAAATTCACAGTACGCCTTTTCTTCGCTTCTATTAGACACAGCGCGTTTATAACCTATTATAGCCTTCTTCGATAAATGCTCTAACGAACACAAAAATAACTTTTCAATTCGAACCAGTAGTTCCTGAGATTAGCGCGTTCAAACAAACAAACTCTTCAGGTTTATGTATTAGTATAGATATAGATATGTTACCTAGCACCAACGCCAAGTAACGCAGCAGCACGAACAGCAGAACTCAGTCGTGCGACGCGACAGTCGCAGACGATTGGATTGTCGAAAAGTCGCAGCGCGTGCAGACGCGCGACTAGAGCGGCCTCCAGCGACAGGTATGTTAGATTATTATTGTTGAGGGTTCTGAAATAAGAAAAGTTATTTATTACACGAAGGGGGGGGGCGTTGTTGTAAACCTGCGACAGACACATCGTGCTGATTGTATTTAGACATTACTAGATCATCAACGACACGGCAGCTGGTTCGATTTCCGTCAGTATATCAAGTTTTTTAGATACCTACTACTTTGAGACTGTATAAATTCGCTTAAAGAGTAAACACTAAGGTGGAGTAGAAGAGTTAGTTCTATTCCTAGTACCTATTGTGTTAAACGTTGGGTTCGAATCTCGAAGAGACAATACATTTGGATCGTGCTGTTTTGGGATAGACAGACAGCCAGACAGCATGGAGTACAATTTAAAGAAAAAAAAAAAAGGGGGGGGGCCATTTTTTTTTTTTGGGGGGGACATGCATGGGATTCTTTTGGTGGCCAAATTCCCCAGATACATAACATGTCAACAAGATGCGCTGTCGACCTATTAGCTATTAAATGCCAATCTACTTGTCAGTAAAACAGACATGGATGTGTGTCTAAACGGATATCTTACATAGATGCCCATGTATTAGTACTAGGGCACAAGAACGACGAAGAGGTATACTCACAAATACTGCAAGCTCTTCAAGTGTTCCAGGGCTTTGTCATCGATACATTTGATCTGGTTCCAGCCTAGATGAAGGGATTTCAGCGCAGACAGGCCGCGGAAGGTCCTCCGACTGATCGCAGTCAAGTCATTACGGCTCAGGTCTCTGAAAGGATGGGATTAGTTAATTTGTAAGAGGAGAACAAGCATGTGGCGGGTGAAACCTAGCCATATAACAGCTTTCGGCGTTGGATATTCGGAAATCATGACGGAAATCGAAACGCGATTACACTTAGGCTTCGTCTTTAGACGGTTGGTCGTGATTTCGGGAATAAGATAGTCAGGACTATTTAATATTCAGATTTCCAGATGGAGTCCAACATGTTTCAGAAAAGTATAAATTGATTAAAAAAATGTTGGTGATTATTACATACATTACACAAACTGTAATTTAAGTTAAACAATATAACTTAAGTTACACTAATCTAGCGTTATACGTGGTGATTACATGCAAACAATTTATATTCAAATTGTAAACTTTCGAATTTTTTTACAACTTATACCAACTATTAAGATTTGCTTAAGTTATAGTTAAGTTTCCAAACCCAAAGACGTTTAAAATGAGTAAAATTTTTGCAAGTTGTATTTTTAAATAAAACACTTTAACGGTTTAAAGCGCGATATATTAGTTAAACTGATTTGAAAATGATTCGGGGAGATCGGGGAGACTAAAGACTCCAGTCTTTAGTCTCCCCGTGATCCACGGCTGCCGCAAAGCATCCTAAACGTCGGGCCGAAGTTAAAAATCATTTTCAAATCAGTTTAACTAATATATCGCGTTTTAAACCGTTAAAGTTTATTTAAGTGTTTTATTTAAACTTGCTTTGTCTAATGTAAGCCATTTTGAAATAAAGAATTTTAAAAATCAAATACTCGCGTAAACTATAGACAGTATTTAATTGTATTTTTAATTAATACAATTTAAAAAATATTGTCGGGTCGTAACGAGAAGTTAACTACTATATCTCGCGCTGCATACGAAATTTTAATTAAATGCCCAGTGAAGTGCACGTATTATCGATAAATAAATTTAAATCGTATGTAAAACAAAAACTGCTGATTATTATGACGTTAATCAATACATATTTAAACGTTTAAAATACTTGGAGTGTGGAACCCGCTCTAACAAGAAAAAATATGTAGTGCACTTAAAGAAGAAGAGTGTAAAATAAAAGTTGGCGATAAAAGGAGTGCCGGCGAGTTTATTGCCAGTTCTTCTCTTTCGTTCTACGCCCTTGATTTGAGAATTGGTAGTAAATGTAAAGTTAGTTGTCTTAAATTTGTGACTTTAATGAGTGTAAGATTTTTGCCTTTGAAAAATAATTGTCCATAGGTAACGAATAACATGTGAAAAATGTTATAGTTTTCAAAGGTGTCTGTAATTTCATCTTCAATTATTTTCTTAAGCTGCAAAGCATTACACATTGATCCTTTATACGTGTTAATGCATGTATCAATAGCTTAAAATTCGACGATGACGTGTAGGACACGGTAGCTCAATTGGTAAGAGCAACACCAACGAACGGAACTGGTCCCTGAATTTTTCTTCATGTTATTTTTGTTGTGTTCTATGAAAAATAAATACGTGAATCTATCTCTGTTGAGAGGTATAAATGAGGGGTATCATCCCGTGTCCCCGAGGTGTAGCAGCAGCGGCAAGTCGGCGAAATTACTAAATATCTGCAGCTGAATAATTAATGGCGCCCGCCGCGGCTGGGCGCGGCGTCACGACACGTGAGTACGAAGTTTGGATGCGGTATTTTTTTGACCTACAGTATATTATAAAGGTGAAGAGTTTGTTTGAACGCGCTTATGTCAGGAACTACTGGTTCAAATTCAAAAAAAATATTTTCGTGTTTGTTAGACCATTTATCCAGAAGGGCTGTAGCCTATAAGATATCAGACTGCGATCAGTAGAAGCTATAAACAATGTTAAATGTGAAAACAATTAAAATAAATATGCATCTTTAAGGGCTTCCATGTAAGTATGATCCACTTACATTATGAATGGAAGAATGATTCTACTTCAAATGATAAAAAAACTGTCCGCAAAAGTATATCTCATTTCTTTAAGATTAAATCGCAAGAACGACGCGACGGGACGCGGACGAGGTCGTGGGTAAAAGCTATAATTTTTTAAGCTGAGAAGGTCGTTTGCAAAAAATAAATAATATGATGTCCTAAATAACTATTCCACCCGGCAAAGTCGCGGGCATAGCTAGGGTGTCTTATACAAATACAATAAAAGGCATAAATCTCAGTGGGAACTTCAAAGGATGTGACGTTCGTTTATACTATACGGTGTAGCATTTACGTAGAGTAGGTGAACAATTTCATAATTACCATAACGCGTTACGTAACGAAGCGGTTTACATAATATAAAAATATAGTGTTTCTGTCCATTTTTGATATCCTAAATGAAAAATCAATGGCTCGTAAGGATCGTAGTTGATATTTGTTTAAGTATCGTCTATAGTTTACTTATTTAAATAAAAATGCATTTAAAAACGCTCCATAACGTGAAATGTATTTGCGGGGGATATCTTAGTATCGGAGTCCTGGCCTGAGTTGAAATAAAATTTAATAAACTAATACATTTTGCATGTAAGAACCGGTTTCTTTAAAATATAACTTGTAGTCTAACTACAACATACAACGGTCTTCTGCTTCAACAAATCCAATGTTTTCCGGTATTTTAACCGTACTTAGCGACTGAATCACGACGACGTTTTCTAATTTATTATTGTAAATTCCCCAACCTGATCGACCTAGCAATGGTTGAACAACACAAAAAAAAATGCCACCTCCATATTTTCGTGACGCCGGGCCGTCTTTGTCTGAAATCTATTAGGGTATTGGGGAATGAAATTAATATTACAAGACAATTAAACCCTTTTCGTATTTCGTATGCGTATCGGCGCATTTACATATATTATTAAAGTTTTGTAGCGAGTTTAAAACCGATGATTTTTTATAGCGATATTTAGTTGTTGATACATATGTATTATACATGGGGCCGCTAGAGCTAGAGTAGCCTAACTGCATTTTTTATAACTTGACATATTTATATTTTCATAGTCTAAAAATGTTAATCTACTAGACCACAGTCACTGAAAATTGTCAACAGAATTCTTTATTATAGTACAAATTCATTTTCGCCTAAGTTGATTGCGCACTTTTAATTTCTTTTTTGATGAAATTTAACATGTTTCTTTTTTTGTTATTAGGCCACTCATGCTCTAGCGGCTCATATATGGCCCTTAGAGTTATTATCGATCCAAAAATGTGAACACATATTTTAGTGTGTTTTACTGATCGTTTCTTTTAAAGGCATGTTATGTATTTTTATCCAGGTGAAAAAATCTCTTTACATCGTAAAAGTTTATATTTTGTGTTTTAAAAGTTTTTGTTTGATTCGTTTGTCCTAACTAATTAAATACTAAAGTAAGAAAACTTCTCATTAAGAAATGACTAATATTTTTACAGAACCTAAATTTTCTCTCTCTTGTCAAATTAGAATGATTAGTAGATGTGCAATTTTACGGATCCATGGCATGTATCGCATAGTTGGGGTTAAAACCACGAGAAGCAGGTGACACAAATGTCACCGAAGCGAACACAAAAGTGTGAATTATTCCTCTCGAGATCAACTCGACGAACTATTGTACTTTAAGAGCGCCATTAGGCCCTTTGTGCGCCATCTTGTGTTCAAGTGCACACAAAATGGCGGCCTAACCTCACAATTTATCGTGTACGTTTAAAGAATTAAAGGCACCCCTTTGATGGGATAACTATCGGTTGTTAGCGAAAAACTATTGAGAGTGTGTCGGCATTTTAGGGGATCTGTCACATTTAAAATTGCAGTATTTATACTTATAAAAGGTTTTAACACTAAAACGATACGCAAAGTCACTTCATATATCTATACTAATAAATAAAGCTGAAGAGTTTGTTTGTTAGTTTTCTTGTATATTTGAACGCGCCAATCACAGAAACTACTGGCAGGTTTTTGTTGCGTACGCTGCGAAAACGGTTCAAGATACGTAGAATATGTATAAAAGAATGATTCCTCTTTAAATGACCTAAACAAATGTCTGCGACACTATATGTCTATCTTTTAAGATAAACTTGAGAATAAGGGGAAACGAGAGACGTCGTGGGTAACCGTGGGTATGTATAAAGATGATGAGGTTGACAAACATCCAAATGATGCCCAAAATAACTATTCTATGCGAACGAAGTCGCTGACACAGCTAGTACGCAATACAACTCGCTATGTTTAACAGCTTTTAGCAATATACCAAATTAATACAAAAAGCCATTAACGTTTCCACTGTGTCCTATTACAAGAATATAATTGTTAACAAAGCTCATTAAAGCTCCTCGTTTCCGGTAAGATGGCTGTACTTCCGGCGTTCAGTCGGCGTCTACGTAACTTCCGGTCGCACTACATAACGATAACATTTATTTTTACTCTCTTTCAATCTCAATTATGTAGAAACTTACGTTTAACATTACTTAAGTTATATATTTCTTTATTATTTATGTAAATTTAAATTTATGCTATGCATCATAGAAATATATAAAGCTGAAGAGGTTTTTTGCTCATGATGTTCCAACGCGCTAATCTGGGGAACTACTGGCTCGAATTTAAAAATTATTTATGTGTCGGATAGATCATTTATCAAGGAAGGCTATAACCCGTTGTCACTAACAGGAGAGAAGAAACAGCGGGAAATGTGGAAAAAAACGGGAAAATGATTCATCTTTATGGGTTTCGCAAAATGCGCCTACGGTGCGCAAAATGTCCAGGATATTATATGTCTATCTTTTAAGATTGACTTGCAAGAACGGGTGGCAACGTCGTGGGAAACCACTTCAATTTATATTTATAAAGATTAAGAGGAGGTTTCTAAAAACGAATTTGGTTGCTCAAAATAACTATTTTACGCGGACGAAGTCGCTGACGCAGCTAGTATGAGATAACAACACAATTTAGGTTATAAATCTTAACATTGACAAACTAATGAAATTGAAATATAGGTAAATAACGTTAATAGCACACGCACTAACATAATATTATGTTCCCTAGAACGTCATTAGCAT